TCAATTCTTCCTCCGAAGTCGATGAAAAAAATGAGGTAAAGCGAACTAAGAGAAGAGCGAGAAAGAGATTGGTATTTCCGAAAAAGAATAAGAGTAAGAATTTATGAATTTCTTCGTATTTTTGAATTATTCACCAAAAAGTTTTCTTTTAAATTTTTGATTCGTTCAGGGCAAATGAATGGTGCTATCGCACATGGGTCAGTGAAAAAAAAATTGGACGATGCGCGAATCAAGTGTAATTTGAATAAGGTTCAAGAACTTGCCCACAACAATAATATGGAAGATAAATGTTCTCGAATGAAAAAAAGTAAATCTGTTAATAAATGGACAGATAGAGAGTTAGAAAGGCTTAAAGTTAGTACACACATTTTGTATTATTATGTAATAATTTTAGAAAAAATCATCCGTGTACTGAAAAAACTTAGCAATACGAATTTTTTGGGTACATGATTCCACTTCTAATATCTAGCTTTGCCAAATTCTTTCGGGAATCCGCTCCACTGAGTTTTCTGCATAGTTTTTAAAGAATTTTCCTGCCACGCGGGTCTTTTAATTTCACATATAATATAATTTCTGTGGCCAGCGCTCTCCTAATGATTTTCTCACTGCGAACTTCAAACTTGGTAATTAAAATTTTATTTTAATTCTCAAACAATATACAACAACACTAAACACATAAAACAGATAATATACAACAAAACAAAAGATTTAAAGCAAAGCAGCCATTCTTCTGATATTTATCGTTAATCTTTCAATTTCAAATTCTTGGTGTTATATAGCCGTATCCATTTGGAGGTCACCTCTGTAACCTTTGCTCCATTAAATTGGTGACCTGATCGTATTTGCAACTATTTTCGGCCATTCAGCGACAACCCACTTTTTATTCAAACGAAATGATTTGATGAAACCTAAATAGATTCATCTGACAGTTATGGTGTTGTCATCGAAAATGATTTCTAGCTAGCAGTAACTGCAATTAAACCACAAACCGATTTGGATTGGCAAAAAGTGGCAAAATCTTTGCAAACTCGCAGCGTTGAGGAATGTCGTAATACTGCAGAGAAGAAACTTCGAATTGTTTTCGAAAAAGCGGCTCAAACAAATGACGACGAAGCGTTAAAAAAGCTTGCTGAAGCAACATTCTCTTCTAAAGTTGTGGTTTCATTTTATCACTTTTTTGCGAATAATTAGATTAATTACTTTTTCGAGAGTCAGCATTTTGGTTGAACGCTTGAAAATTGTGTGAAAAAAATCTTGAAAAGTCGAAATATTTAATTTAAGGTGGGTACTCTGACTTACCATAAGAAAGCTCAAAATTTTACGAACAAATTTTTAATGACCGGCGATAACAGCGACTATTTCGAATCAGCAGGTGGTCCAGAATTGTCTAACGTACAGGTATTTACATTTATTTAATAATTTTATTAAACAGATTTGGTTTTCATTGTTAGGCTTTAATACTTTGCGATTTTTCATTGATTTTTATTTCACTGATTTGGGAAAAATTTGAACATTTGAAAAAATTGATTTATTTATTGAAATTTTTTCGCATGAAACATAGCAAATTTCTGTATTCGATTTTTCATCCAATGCATCTAATTTCTTTTTTTATATTTAGTTATTTTATTTAATTTATGGAGTAATTTATGGAATATGGAATAATAAAAATTTTTCGAGTCTTAGTATTTTCGAAAACTTAAATTTTCTACGCTTCATCGAACTCAATGTTTTATAGATGATGCCATCAATAGCTGAATTTAATCCAAATGATTCACTACTTGATGTTTTAAAAACTCCGACAAGGAGCGGAATGCGTCGTGCGAATCATCGAGAATTTATTCCCGATGTGAATACACCATCCGCTTCATCAAAATGTGATGCGGATTCGGCGATATTTAATATCGACTCAGCTGAACGGTTTGTTTTTTTTAATAGGTTTAACTTTTTTCAATTTCTTTCAATTTTTTATTTTTTGATTTTCCTTAAAATTTAAAAATTTAGAAACTTTAGAACCAACTGTTATTTATATTTTAAGGACTCGACAGAACTTTCGCATGCAAATGGCTATAAGAAGCAATAGAAAGCGACAAAATTTGTTTAAAAATAGGCCACAACGAATTTTTAATAAAAATTACAAAGTAGATATTTTTGAACTGACTAAAGACAAAAGTAGCGATACGAGTTCAGTTTTCAACGAGAATGATTCGGCGTGATATTTATTAATTTTCAAATTTAACTACGATTATTATGTAGCCTGTCATTTCCATTTTACCATTGTTTCTACTTAATCCCAATTTTTTTCTTCAAATTTTAAAAATTTTACAGTCTTTTACATCCTTTTGATATAAAAAATGAAAATGGATGAATTTCATTTTTTTATTGTACTATATTTTGCTTATATTATCTCATATAAAGGAATTTTTTTCTTTTATTTTTGCATTTCTTTCAATTAATGAAAAATTAATCAAAATTAATGAAACTAATTTGGCCAAAAATGTAGTGAACAACTGATGAATAAAATGAATGACAGTGATTCTCGTTTCACTGGTTTCCAAAATGATTTTGCCGAATAGTTGACCTGGTGTCGGAGTTACAAATGGATTCTGGAAGTCTCGATGGGATCCAATTTTTCTTTCAAAATTTGAAAAATAAATTTTTGCAGTACAGAAAAATGAAATAAATGATCGGAATTTTCCTTATATACCTCGAAACTTTATTTTAAATTGACCTTTGTTATTTTTGTATTATAATTTTTGTATTATATTATACAAACATATAATATTAAGACAGTCGTTCTATTATTTGCCTTATATAACAAATAAAGCAAAGGAAAAAAAAATTACTGCCGAGTTCAGCGCTATTTATTTATTTATCACTATATCACTATAAAAAATTTTAATGTTAAAAAAATCTCGGCTATTCCATCCAGAAATATTTCTACAAAGATTGAATAAATACTTTTAATTGAATCACTTATCACGAAATAAAAAAAAATGCGAAAATGCGATAAGCGCTATTTATTTATTTATCACTATATCACTATAAAAAATTTTGATGTTAAAAAAATCTCGGCTATTCCATCCAGAAATATTTCTACAAAGATTGAATAAATACTTTTAATTGAATCACTTATCACGAAATAAAAAAAAATGCGAGATGCGAGAATTATTGCTGATACTTTTGACAATTTTAGCAAGTTCTTTTTAATCAGTCATCCATCCATCAATTCACAGTAAATTTCAGCAAACACTTATTACGATATCAATAAATTAAAGAAGTGATAAAAGCAATGAAGAGCGAAAAAAACAGCAATAACTAAACGAAAATTCGTTAAGTTTAATTCTCGGGCATGCTTTATTAAAATCTCGAAAAATTCAAATGAAAAATCGAATTTTGAAAATGCTTAAAGTGGTTTATGTGTAATTATTGGACATTTTAATAAGCTGTTATAGTTGTTGCTGTTATTAATAAAAATAAAAAATTCATAAGAAAAGAAAAGTTTTTAAAAATCTACAAATTGAATGTTTTTTCGAGCAAACCTATAAATACCTTTTTTTGTGCAAAATTATTAAAATAAAACTAAACCATAATAAAAATGATAGAGATGATACGAAATAATTTTAAAGATACTCCATATTCTTTAAACAATAGGCATTATTATAAATGATAATGATAAGTGCAGGAGAAAAATTAATATGGACGTGGTGGAGTGCGAGGCCTGTCTGGTATCCTTGGTGGAATTCCATTCACTGATGGTAAACTACCATGTACCCGCCTGAAAGTCACGAATTTACCATTAAACAACACGTACAACGACATACGACAACGGTATACTTTTTCTCGTCCATCAATACAACGATATGCTAATTGAAGTAGAATTTCCAGCATCGTAATATATTATTCCGTATTATTTGTAAGTTACATTAATAGCACTAAAGCCACAAAAAACAACTATAAAAAACAACTACTAGCTTAAACTAAAAACAACTACTAAAGAAGTATTTTCCATAAAAATGAAAGCAAAAAAATGCTAACTGTATTACTTTTCTCGTTTATCATGCTAAAAACGAGTTTTCAAAACCAATAACCTACCAGTGTAAAGAGTGAGAGTTGAAAGGTAAACAAAATAATGGCGCTAATCGGTGATGAAATTCACTACTACTACGTAACTAACGACAAATCAACTAAACAATATAAAATTATTATAACGATTGGAGGAAATTTTCGCCTGAATGCTTCGCTACTATTCCATTCATGAAACTACGAAGATATTACAAGAAAACGGGCATGCAGAATGAAATGGCATTACGATCGTTGATCGACTCGCCAGATGAATACAACATATATTAAAATATTAATATTAATATTCACTTAATTTATAGTTATAATTGAAATTTTGGTTAAAAAAATGCTAGAAATTAAATTTACCGTGGAACAATGCAATCAAATAATCGAATTATTTAAATAATTAAAATTCTGCATTTTTAATTTGAACTTGGTTTGAAATTTTGGTTTAAACTACAAAAACCTGTCCTAAATTTACAAAGATTTCAATAAGACGTTTATGTATAAAAATTCAATTCAAAAAATTCAAATTCAATTCAAAATTCAAAAAACTTGAGATGGGGCAAATCTAAATGAGAACTATACAAGTATTATGCATGCATAAACTAAATAATATTCTAAAATAATACACTAATATAGCCAACTTTTTACCGATTTCTCCTCATTTGGGACGCCTGTATATTAAAAATATAACCAATTAATTATAACTGGAAAAAAAACTGGGAAATAAAAAATTTATTTCAATTGCAAATTACATTTAACTTAACTTATGATTATTCCCGCCTCATTTCATATGCTACTTAAACCATAATTTTTATATTTCACCAAATTAATTCCTTTGGAAAATTGTCGCAAAAAATTTCCATTCACAGCATCAAATTTACAACCAGTAGTTTGATGTCTCATAATTTATAAAAATATTGAAACAGTTAATTTTAAGAAAAAGAACAATTAAAAGCAACTAACATTGGTAAAATTGGAGCAGGAAGACCGCCTGGAGGACCTGGTAATGGTCGATTGGCAATCGGTGGCATATTTTGTGCGGCATTCATTGGTCGAGGTGGCATAGGCGCCATACGTTGATTTATTCCAGGTGGTTGAGGAGCTGATCGTGGCACTGGTGATGCTCCTTCCGACCTAAAAGAAATTTCCTTGATATATTCACATATTGATATATTCATACAAAATCTAAAAAATATTGGAAAAAAATAAGATTAAACGTTATATAACCTTATGAAATCATTATAGACAGGAGATGGACCATCTATCGGTGTAGACATATTCACTTCTCCAATGATCCTCAATGCTTCTTTGCATGTATGATACATACGTATTATTTCTTCTCGTTTTTGGGCTTCAAGTTGGCTTTCTTCCATCAATGAATCCTATAAAAAATATTTTATATGAAAATTTATTTGAACCATCTTTTTCCTAATTTTTTACTAATTTTTTACTAGTACTTATTTACTAATTTTCCTAATTTTTATTATTGATCAAAATTTATAGCAAATAAAATGCCGAATAGCAACTGACGCCATATACAGAATGGCTTACAACGAAAATTTTTTCAAACAACAAAATAAGTGTGATGATGAGGGTCAAAAATATGCAAAAGGAAATACATGAAGGGTGTTATGAAAATGCACCATAAAAGTATAAAAGCATAAAGAGTTTTTATAAGAAAAATGAATGTCATTTAGGAACTTGAATGGAGAATAAAGAAAGATGAGGGTAGCAACTTCATAGCATTTCGACTAATCGTTCATATCTTGCTTAGAAGTATCATAACTTAAGACATAAGAGGCTGTTTAAGAGATACAACGCAGTTCCACTAGGTATTAAGGAAATACTGTGGGATGGGAGATACCAATAAAGAAAAAAAATATATTGGAAGAGAGCTCAATACGCAAATAATAAGATTTGATGTGGAAGTGGTCTTAAGCTATACTATTCATATTTGGAGTTAAGACAGATATTCTGAAAGATAATGGAGTGCAAAGGGATCCCAAAGTGGGTACGGCGACTTTCAATATGTGGATACCTTTTCAAAAAAGAAAGAGACAACTCGAGGCTACAAAGGAAACATATGGGAACTGTAGTCGTGGATTTTAAAGTACCAAAGGAATTTACAAAAGATTAGATAGAAGTGGTTGATCTTCGAACGCCATTTTCATGCGTATAGTAATATTGATATTCCATATGACACTGAGTTTTGCAGTATGAGACTACATCCATTTATAGAAAAGAAAAAATAAAAAATAAACAACAAAAAAAAACAAACCGTATCACCCAACTGATAAAGACTTGCAAGAAGATCACCATCGCGCAAAAATTCACCAACCTATATAGGATCGATAAAATAATAAGAACTCATTATATTTTTTCGATTTTTCCATTTCTCATATTTTTATTTAATAAAATTTGAAAGTTATTAGCTGAACTGATTTTTTACTAACTTTATTGACAATGAGAAATGTTATTGCTTTGGGAACAGTACTACGTATTGTCTTCGTCACAATGCGCATATAAGAGTCAACTAAATTACGAATCGTTTCAACTTGGCGTTCAAGTTGTGGATCAACTGATGTCGTTTCCTCGAATTCGCGACCATTCTGCAAAAAAATACTGAAACAATGTTCACAAAAAATATCTACAATAAACGATAATAATCTAAAAAAGTTAAGATTTATAAGAAAATTTTATAAAATGATTGCATTTTAAATCATAAAAAATTATGAAAAAAGACTAAAGTTATCATTTTTTACATATCCTTTCTTCTGAAAACCGGTTGGAAGTCCATCTTTACTTCTATTTTTACATAATTTTCGGCAAAAAGATTTCTTAACACTTCGCAAGTAAAAAAAGCGAAACTAGAAATGGAGAACGAATAAATATAGAAGCAATAAAGGCACACTTTTCTTCAATCAAATTTTTAAATTTATTAAGCCCTATACTATTTTATTTCTTTTACCATACTTCCATTTACACATAAAAAAAACGACTAAAAAAAGAAATTAAAAAGAATTGAAGAAAGAAAAATCACCTCGGATTCTTCAACAGGTTTTTCTTTTTCAGGATAAACACCAGCACGAAGAAATGATGCTTTCCATGCATCCACTTCATCCAAATTCGTTGCACTTAATTCAAGTTGTTTATAATCCTTATAAATATTCCTGAAAATAATTATTTATAAAAAAAATTCACTAACAAGGTTTAATAATGATAGATCAGTTTTTTACAATTTTAACGAGTCCTAAATTAGACGAATCTAAATTAACCTAAATGCCTAAAATTCTCCTAATTTTTAGATTTTATATTCTAACTGAGAAAGATATTAAAAATATTCCAATGTTCGAACGAAAAAAAATTTTTTAAAATTATATGAAATAAAAATTGAATTAAATTAATTGAAGTGAATAATTTTTCGCCGACCATTTATTCTAAATTCCTTCATATTTATTTACTCTATAAGAATTATATCGATTTTTTAGTGAAAATATGAAATTTTCATACGAAAATTTTACCATTCCATTGGGAAATCACAAAAATAAATGATATAAAAGTTAATTTAATTTTAAGCATAAAAAAATTATTTAACTAGTTTCTTGCTAAAGAATAGGAATTTCTCTTATTTTTATCAATAAAATTCTCGATGAAGCCAAATAAATTCAAATAAATTCAAATTGGAATGTCGCTTTTTATAAAAATTCCATAAAACTCGATTAAACAATTCAAATAGCTTCTTTTTTCTCAAAATAAAAATAACAAACAAATTATAATAACAAACAAATCTATTCACATATACAACATAATACAATCAGGCCTATCTATACTAAAATAATAACACAATAACACGACATAGAATGTTAAAATAAAACCAACGAAATGAGATATAAGTTGAACTTTACCTTCTGCAAATAATTTTTTTAAATTTTTAGCGGCTAATTTATTTCAAAAAAAATATTTAAAGAATAACGTTCTATGCTGAAATTTTCTGTACTTTTTAAAAAATTGGATTTAAACATATATTTATAGAAAATTATAGCTTTAAAAAAAGAAAAAAAGGCAGAAAAAAAAGAAAATTTTAAAAATTACTTAGAAAACTTAAATAGAAATTTTTTTGCAAAGAAAATTAAAATGAAATTTAACATCTCAATATTCTAATGTATCGACTATAGATGGTTAAAACTGCTCAAATACTGGTTCTCACTATCACAACTAAGCCAACATAAAAGCCAACATAAAAAGGATCTAAATATAAATCTAAATATGATCTAAATATAAATTTGTAAATAAAATGTAGCAACATTGGAGTAAATATTTCTCAACCTTTCATAACTACTATAAAATGAATTCAAAAAGCAAAGTACTCCAGGAAAACAAAACTCCTATAGGGTTTTTGAAAAAAATCTGGAAAACTGAAAAACAGAAAAAAACTTATCCTACAAGAGTAGGAAAATTATTTCCTCCAAGTCTAGTTTATATGCTGATTTAGTTGCTTCCCTCTGTAAACCAGGAATAATAAATAGAATATAATACTCAAATAATAAATACCTTTTTTCAAATAAAAATCCCCAAAACTATTTGATAATAATCAATAAGAAAGAAAATAGAAAATAAAGTTTTTCAAAACATCAAAAATTAAAAAAATGAACAAAAATAGTTTACTTTCCATCTGGATAGAAAAGAGCGAATTTGTGTTGTCGCGACATAAACCCTGCTTCTAAATCACGCAACTTAATGCCATCTAGTGGTAGCATATATTTTTTTTCTTTCTCCTGAAATAAGAGAATAATTGCTTAGGAGAAAGAATTTTCAAAGCCAAAATTATTCAACAAAAGATGTTATACCTCATCATCTTTGAACCATGAAAGACTATCAGACGTCAATACAAACCAACAATCTTTAGAGCCTCTCACAAATGATATATTGTGTACTGAAAGCCAACCCTTTCGTATAACCTGATTCCCTAGATTTTTTTTAGCTTGTGATGATGATGCTTTCGCTTCTGCACTGAAATCATTCAAAATAAATTTTTTTTAAAATATTTTGGAAACATTTAGTTGTTATTTTTTATTTATTATTTTTTTATTTATTTAACTTATAATACATTTCATATAATAAAAGGGGAAAAAAATTTATAAAAAAATCGTATAAAAAATAGAAATCTTTTAAAAATGAAACACTTGCTTGGAAAATCCAATAAAATCCTCATGATTTATATCCATATAAGCTCGTTCATAATCAACTAGCATCGAAATTTGATACTTCGCTACCTGCTCTTTTTCACGCATATTTGTTGTAACAATACGTTCAATTTCATCACGAAGCCTCGGATATCTAGCAGTCTAAACGAAACATATTTGATAGTACCACTAAAACCTATAACTGGATTTGCCACGAATTATTAATATTTATCTCAATAATTTGATAGCTTCGATATATTACCAAATTTCTTATGAGAACTCTCCTTTAGAAAACGATTTCTGATCTGGTTATCTTTAATGATTATTAAGATTCTTTGAGATTAGAAATCCCTTGGAAACAATGGGATTCGTGCATCTAAATCACGCCTTGATCCTTTAATAGATTTGCCTCTATGAAATAACAGAAGTCGAATTCATGCCGCTTTCCCTTCTTCAAACAACAGAAGACAAGACAATTGTGGCGCAAAATATTCTTATTTTTTGCATAAATCAAATTTTTGTAAAATTTCAAAGAAAATTGAACTACAATCATACACATTCCGCGCATTGTCGAATCACAACTGCAAGCTCGTTGACAACTAAATCAACACATTTTAACGAGGGTTCTTTCAAACGTTCGATTTGTTTTTTAACGATCGCTTCAAAAGCCATATCTGGTGTGAAAAGGCCAACACGCAAACCATGAATATTTCTAATCGCTATTTGAATCTCACGTCGCATTTCCTAAAAAAAAATCTAGTTAATACAAATAATATGAAATCCAGACAAACACCAACATGAAAATACTAACAAATAAAAAAAAATATAAGTACTTTCTCATCGATTTCCATTTTAACAATTTCAAATGGAAATCTTTCGTGGTAAATCCGATTTATACGAGCGCCACCAGATAATTCATTGGTACTAACTGTTTTTGCAGAAGATCCTTCAATAGATCTTTCAACGTCCATTGTAAATTGTTGCACCATCCTGAAAAAATTTCAAAGTTCAAAATGAGTGGTATGAGTGGCCACTTGCACCTTCTCACTCAACTTCAGCCAGATCAAAAACAGAAAGCGCTGTAGGAAAAAAATAATTCAAGATTAAGACAAGAATCAAGTTTAAGAAAGTAATTCATACTGCATTAATGCTTTAGTTTTTCTTGATGGATCATTTGGCTGAAAATTCTTGTATTCAGATACATCCTTCTCCAGTGCAAACATTTTTTTCTGGAGAGAATCACGAAGTGCTGGTAGCGTATCTTTTATATGATTTGTGAGCTGTTGATTTAATACTTTTTGCAAATAAGGTGTACCTAATCGATCAGCCATGTGCCTAAAAAATATTTAGTCATAAAATAAAATAAAATATTATAACGGAAAATATAACGGAAAAAAAGAACAAAGAGTTTTATAGTAACAAAAAAGAACCTTGGCAATGATTATAAATTATACCAGTTAAATATAAAATTCCAGAGTATAAAATGTTTTTAAAGTTATTATCAACTCTGTTAATAATTATTAATAATTATTATACTTCTTCTTCTACAGCAAAATTTAACCTATAAGCTGGATGAGAAATAAAAAATTTTCGTTCCGCATCCAGAGCAACTCTTATATCCTTCTTACCAACGATATCTTTCTGACCACGATTGACAACACCGATATAACCTGAAAGTATACCAAAAAAAGATAAAGAAATGCATAAATTAAAATAATCATGAAAAGTCGAAGAATATTTTTTAAAAACACCTCTTCTAAGTGCAAAAACTCGATTTTCAAGAATATCACGGGCATCTGTGCCCTCGTCCATGAGATCCAATTTTGTGAGCACACCAATAGTACGTAATCCTTGCGGATCAACCTGGAGTTTTCGAAAAAAGTAGAATAGAAATTGTCTAATTTTTCAACATACATAAACAACAACAACAATATTCTTAAGCAAAAAAAATGGAAAAAAAAAATAATAAAGCGTTAGCAAGAAAATAATAAAGCGTTCATACATTAGCATTTTCTGTACTCAAAAGTTCAAAAAACCTCTTTGGCTAGTTTCAAAGCATCAGAAGTAGCAAGGTCGCTATTAGCTGGAGTGACAGCAAGAATTAAACAAGTTTCACGAGAAATGTAAGTGAGTATCATCTCACGAATCTGGGCTTCTATATCGGCAGGTTGATCGCCAACTGGCACTTTGGTAAGACCAGGTAAATCAATCAGAGTAAGATTCAACACTGAAAAAAATCAGTCAATAATGATAAAAACTTGATTTAAATAGAAACGAAATAAAATTGAAAAGAAATAAAAGTAAATTCACCGTTCGGACTAAAAATTCGAAGATTTATCGGTATAGGTGAAATTCCCTTATTTGCACCCGTTAGGCGATCAGTTTCGTCTTCGATTTCTTTTCGGACAAGATCAAAGTCGGTAAATTTTTGTCCTCTTTTGTGCAGAAATTCTCCATATTCTAAAGTTTAAAAAATTTTTCAACTATATAATCGATTATTTAAAAATTTTCTAATAATGTATTTTTACATGAATATCATAGGCAATTAATCACTGTTTTTATTACCATTATTTTATTTACTGACATCTATAATTACCAGCTTTATTATTATTGACATTTCATTATTAACATTAGAACTGAAAAAAAAAAACTAGTATATTATTATTCTATCATTTTTATCGTGACTACCATTGCTGCAATATTAATAATAATTTTAATATTACTAATGTCGTTATCCTATTGTAATTATTATTACTACTACTATTATTTTATCGTTTAATTTTATTTCTTTGTTTTATTATTATTGTAGCAAATTTTTGCTTCAAAAATCGCAAAAAAATAAAAAACAAACCAGCTCTACTACTATATACTAATTGCAATATTAATGGGCGCCTTGTTACAATACCCGATCCACGTGGAAGAAAATCTCTGAAATTATAAACCAATTATCAAAAATTGACTTTTTTATACCTATAAATCTTTTGTTAAAACCTCTCGCAGAAAGATAATTAACATCGTTGAAATCATATGATCCCATAAATCGCTATTAACTTTGCTCGATCTAAATACCAATTAATCATACTGTTTTTGTAGATTTTTGTAGACAGAATTAGGATTTACCCTATTTTCGCTAAATTTTCAAGAGTTTCAACCTTCAAGTATACTTTTTTAGTAGATACAATATTGAAATTCAAATTTTTTAATTTTCTAATAATGAAAAAAAATCACAAGAGAATCCGACTCTCTTCTGCAAAAACAAACAAAAAAAATTATCTTTATTTTTAAATTTTCATGAAATAAATAATAAAAAGAATTTAATTGTTTTCTTCCAGAAATTATTTTTAAAAAATAGAAATACCATGGAAACTTTAATAATAAAAAATATTATTCATGCAAAAATTCATTAAAAATCGAAATTAAAAAAATTTATCGAATAAATTCACATTAAATGAATTAAATTAAAAACACATTAAATAAATAAACTAAATTTAAAAAAAAATAATTTGAATTTAAAAAGTTAGCTGGTAAAATTTAAAAAAACAAAAATAAACCTTCCAACGAAATTCTCAAGAACTGATGATTTTCCAGCACTCTGACCGCCGACGACCGCAATTTGTGGAAGATCGAAATTGAGTGATGTTCCAAGTTGTGCAAATGTATCCTTAAATTGCCATTTAAGTTAATAAATAATTTAATAAAACAATCATCATTTGTAAAAAAATTGTAAAAATATAAAAATATAATTTGTAAAAATGTAATTTTTGAAATATACAAAAAGCAATTTTCTAAAAATATCAACAAAAAGAAATGAAAATAATTTCAAATCTATAAAGAATATCATAAAATATTAAAAATATTGCAATGCAAATCATACGAAATTAAATCAATTTAAATTATAAAAACTTATAAAATTTTGAAAAAATTTTCTTTTTATTAATAGCAAAAGCAATAATTTTTTTAAGAGTAATAATTTTTTTCAAATAACAAAAAAAAATCGCAAAAAATTAGAAAAAATTTTCTATTTAAAATTTTTTCACTATATTTTTAGCACTTTTCGTAAGATTTTTTGCAATTTGAGTTTCAAAAATAAATAAATAAATAAATTACAAACAATCAGTTTATTAATTCCGACAACCTCGCGAAATTAGTGGGAACAGTAATAATAATAAACAATAAAAAATACCTGCAATCTATTAACGATTGGTATCAATGCTTGCATTCCAGTATTTGCCCACGACATTTTTATCGAATTTTTTTCGCTGAAAGTTTTCGAAAATATATTTTCAATTTTTTTTCTCATAAAATGCTTCATTTACATTGAGCAAGAAAATCTCATTCATCAATAATTAACAATTCAAAACAAAATTATAAAAAATTCAAACGAAAAAATCCCTTTAGATTGCGAAATTTCTAAATTCCAATTATTCAAAAGTATATAAATATAAATAAATAAATATAATAAAGCACTCAACGTATAAACAATTATACCCACGCATTTAACAAGAAAGAAAGACTTTTTTCTCATAATTTCATAATTTCGGAACGAATCTGAACAATAATCTGAAGAGAAGCAGCTGACCCCCGTTGTATTTCTATGGCCAAGCGACTTGCTAGGGAAAACTTGCCACGGCCAACGAGACAGATTTGGCCGAAATTATGAGCGTTCTTAGAAAAGCGAAATGAACAATAACAAATAGACAAAAATAAAGAAAACACAATTAAAGCGCAAAAATTGTATTGAAAAAGCATTCCGTGAAAAACAAAACAAAAGCAATTTTAAAAGAAAAAAGAATACTTCATTTTTTCCAAATTTATAAAATAAAAAATAAATTTCATAAATTTTTTAAAAATTCGCAAAAATTCTTTGGAAATTTTGAGAAAAATAATAAAAATAATCGACGACGTAAAATTTAAAAAATTTCGAAAACAAAGAAAAATGAAAGAAATTTGGCCAAAAATCCATAAATAAATTAAACCAAACGAAGAAGAAATCCAATAAATCGTCGAAATGAGAAAAAATAATTCACTGAAATAATTCAAGGCTAAGCCGCAAATCAGAAAACCCGCCTTGAATGCCTAATCGTCGGTCGTCCATTTTTTTAGTTTTTTTTTAAATAATTTTTGATTTTTCAAATTTATGAGTAACGATGGAAATTTCTTTTAGAGAACAATTTTTGCTAAGGGAAAACTTCAATAATAACGGACTTTTACTGCATTTAAGATATTTATAAAAGGAAGAAATCTAAAATCAATACGAAAAAGACGCCGTACACAAACAGCACAACACACAAACATCGTACACAAACCATATATGAACACATTCTTCAAAGGTCTCCACATAAATATTTGCGCAAATATAGAAGATATTTAGTTTGGAATTATTCACGTTCACGTTTTACGTCAAAATTTGCTCCAAGAAAACTGAATTTGTTCACGTTTTATGTTAAAATTTATTTTGACGAATACTCCACTTTTCGTGTTGTACGTTAAAATTTATTTTGATAAGCGCTGAATTCGTTCACGTTTTGCGCTAAAATGTTCGTTTGCGTTTCACGTCAAAATTTGTTTTAACAGGCACCCCTTTCAGTTCTTTCACGTCTTACGTTATAATTTATTTTAGTAAATATTCGACTCCTTCGCTTTAATTTTAATTAATATTCCACTCGCTCTTCTTCTATATTAAAATTTATCTTAGTTAGTTGCCGACTCACGTTTTGCGTTAAAAGTTTTTTAATAAACGCTAACTTAATTTATCTGCAATATTTAATATTTTTAATATATTTCTTCAATAATTATTAACTAATTCATTTTTTAATAGTTCTGGTACCATTACTTGTTAGACTAGTATTTTCCTGGCTATAGGAAACGTTTCCAAACTCCTCGATGCGATGCCATGAGGCAGTCGTTGTTTGACTAATCCTCTTATATTTATTATTATTTATAATTACTATTTATATTTTCTACGAAAATTTGCCGTTTATTGGAAGGAATTATTAAATTCATAATTTTTATAAAAATAATTTAAAATATTTCAGTGAACAATATAATAATGAAAAATCGTTTTTCAACATTGGACTTATTCGCAATAATACACGATTTAAAAAAACTCGAAGGCATCAGAGTTCATAATATTTATGACATTGACAATAAAACATACCTTATTCGTTTACAAAAGTAAGTTTACTTTTCTCGGATAAGTAAAGTCGTCTTTTACTTTTTACTGCCACAAAACAAATAGCAATCTAGCAAGTAAGTATCTTACAAAATTTCATTAGAAATTTTCCTAACATATTATTGAACCTTGCCAGATCACTTTGCTTTCGCCTCTTTCCCAGTCTCCCTTCTGAACCTCCATTTCTTTCTATATTTTGTCTATAGACCCAGTATCTATTAAGTTTCGCGTTGCAATTTTGTAGGCACTCTTATAGCATTTCATAAATCGAAGTATACAGCGAAATTCGACGGGGCTTCAAGAGAATAATGAAATTATGAAATTAACTGGCTGGAGTTGACCGCAGTCAAATCTGTTAAAGTGGTAAAGAACGGCTTTATTTTAAGCGGTACAAAGCGGTATTAAAGAAATTTGGCAAAGGAATACTACTGCTATATAAATACACAATACACATATTTGGGCAAATATGCAATATTAGCACTCACCATTATTGTTTGAATTAATTCTACTGACTTTTATCCGAGAAATTCATGGGAATCTAATTAAATATAGGAATATAATTAAAATTAAAGATGATGTCGTCAGCACCGCCACCGGATGTAATTATTTATGATGGGTTTATTCCTAATGGCCAGAGAATTGAACCAAAGGTACGGATTGAATCAGTCCACTGCGTTCGGTGATCCTTATTTCTAAAAGAATATAAGGTGTTTTGTTGGAGGGCAGCGACAATGATCGGATTTCTTGAGGCGTTAAGGGGATTTAACGAAACTTGAGAAGGTTTTTAACGAATGTATTTAGAATTTTTGACGCATTATCATAGAAAAGTATTTTATAACCTGAGAATTTGTAATTTATAACTGGAACCAAATTAATTTTAGTTAAGTTTAATAAATTTTAATTGTGAAATGCAAAAAATAATCGAAATTATTTAGATCAAGTAAAAAATATTTTTTATTAATCGAATCGGGTATTCGAATTCATAAAACAGATTTCGATTGGCGAAAATCGATGTTTCCTTCATCATTTACGATGAAACTCCGTAAACATATCAAGCAAAAGCGTTTAACTGGTTTAAATCAAATTGGAATTGATCGAATAATCGATCTAAAATTTGGTGATCAACAGCAATCTTCACATATCGTTTGTTGTTTAATTTATATTCAATTCGTTTATAATCGCTTTATTGATGAATACTTATTTGCTATTATATGCATCGGTCTGCATTATTTTGTATGAAATGCAGAATTTGGTAAATTCTGTGGTGAGAAAAAAGTCTAAGCAAAATCTTTGCAAAAGTATGCAAAAGTAACTATGCCCATTTCTGGGTATATTCGTTCCGCTAGCTTGCCGGATCAAATGAATTTTGCTAAAGAGTCTTTTGGCGACAGAAGTGCATAAGTGTACATAAGTCTCTAGCATTATTGGGATTTTTGAAAGATATGGTTTATTCCTAGCAGAAGTAGAGTCTCAGCATCGGCGTAAGTAAGATCAGTGAAAATGGTAAATAAATAAATATATGTAAATTGGTATTTTTTCAATAATTTTATATCAGTTAAATAAATGAATTCTGTTTTAGATTGTTGAATTGTACGATAAAGGCAATATTATTTTAACCGATTATGATTATATAATTTTGAATATTTTAAGACCGAGAGAAGATAAAAATTCTGATGTGCGTTTTTTTGTTGGTGAAAGGTATTTTTTCTTTGATTTTTATTTTTGAACTACTTTTTGGCCTATTTTATGAAAAATTTTAAAATTTTTACAGAAAATTCATTTTAAAATGATTAAATTATTGGTTATAAAAATTTAATAAAATTAATCATTAATTAAATTAATCTTTCATCATTTCCAAAATTATTCATAAGATGAGGTTTTCAGATATCCCATTTGTGAAGCTCGTCAAAAAGTTAGCTGTCCGACTAAACAAGATATCAATTCCATATTTTTAAATGCAAAATCAAATGAAACCCTGAAAAGAGCTATTGCACCGTTAACGCAATATGGTCCATCACTCATTGAACATACTTTGCTTTCATGTGGTGTTAATGGTAATGATAAGGTATTTTCCCATTTATAATCATAAATTATAAACTTCTACAAATCTCAAAAATTTAATCTTTAAAGTTAAAAAAGGATAAAACAATGATTAAATCATACATTGTTTTTGCTGAAAGCAATTTGCTGCATGGATTGCCTTTTAGCCGCAATAAATCTGTGGCATTAGTAAAACCGAAACGAGTGTTATTGGGTGAAGAATGATGATAATTGGTTTGTTTATTGTGTTTTATTTTAGGTCAAAAATATTGCGCATACTGAAGAAAATATTATTCTTATCTTGAATGCCCTTTCTTCTGCAAGAACAATTTTTGAAACAATAAGATCAACTCCATCGTGTGGTTATTTGTTTAGTAAGACCAATGTTCGATCAGACGGTGTTGAGTTCCAGAGTTATCAGGTTTATTCTTCAATCTTTTTTCCAGTCTTTCAATCTTTTTTCTCTTTTTTCTCTAGTGAATCCAGTTTATTAGCCAAATTTACCGAGTATTTTTTCTTTTTCTATAGTTTCCATCTTTAATTTCCAGGAATTCCATCCTTTCAAATTCACTCAATATTGTAATATGGAAATTAGCGAATTTGAAACATTTTCCGACTGTGTAGATCGCTTCTTTTCAAAATTACAAGAACAGAAAGCCGATGAAAAAGCATTGAATGCTGAAAGAGAAGCGATGAAGAAACTGGAAAATGTCACTAAGGATCAACAGGTGATTAATTGATTATTTCTTTCTCCTAGAAAAATTTATAAGAGATTTATATAAAATTTTTTCTCAGGAACGTATTCGATGTTTAGCTTTAGCGCAATCTGATGAAGAACAAATGGCGCATTTAATTGAACTAAATGTCGAGCTTGTCGATAAAGCTTTGTATGTTATTCGATCAGCCATTGCTAATAAGGTTTTTATATTATTTTAAATTTTAAGCCTTTTAAATATTTGTGAGAATATAAATGCTTTTTTGGCAAACACATACGAATAACGATTTTATGCGCAACTTTTATCTCAGTTTATTATTAACGATTGGATAAGACAAATTACATATTGGAAATTGAGCCTTGTCAATAAATTGCATTTATCAGCTAATCAAGAGATCTGAATGAATATCGAATATCGAAGAAATATAAAAAAGTTTCAGGAGCTCATTTTTGTCTTCGAACATTTTTAACATCATAATTTTATCGATTCCATGGTTTTTGACTGAATCTGCTAACACTAAAATACATATTATAGCTGATTTAGTTGATCAGATTTGATTTATTTCTTATGATCAATTAGGTCAGCTGGGAAGCAATAGATGAAATGCGTTTGAGAGCAGCAAAGATGGGTGATGAAGTCGCTTCAGTAATCGTCGAATTGAAATTAGATTGCAATCAGATATTTCTTTTACTTAATGATCCAGAAAACGAAGAAATCGGACCTAAAAAGGTTTGTATATGTATTTTATATTTCTCTATTTATTCTCTATTCTCTATTCTGTACTCTATTCATTAAAGTTTTGTTTATTTGGCTGCCTTTATTAGACATGGAATTTTTTCCTTTTATTTTTGAAGGTTCCTATTGATTTGGCACTTTCGGCTTATCAAAACTCACAGAAGCTATATTCTCTTAAAAAGCTTGCAGCCGAGAAACAACGAAAAACTGAATTGGCTGCTCAAAGAACGTTGAAATTGGCTAACGTTAATACGAAGGAAACTATCGACATTGTATAATTTTGCTACTTTTATCGTATTCTGATTTTTTCTCATAGTTCTTTAGCACGATTTTCGATATGACCATCTCCATTGGTTGCAAGTTTAAAGCAGTTAGATGACGATAGAATCAATGGAATTTAGATAATATAATTTCTTAAAAGATCCATTTAGGTTTGTTTCATCCTAATTTGGAAAATTAGAGAACATTGGCGTGAGGAAACCTATTGAAATCTTGCTGGAATTCTCTTTTTTTTGCCTTCTTTAAGAATTCTGCTTAAACCGAGTTTGAAAATTGATTTAGCCTTTTATAAATATTTAAATTTATTCAATGGGGAAAGATGTGATTAGATTGTTTTTTATTTTTAATGATTTTTCTTTGTTATATAGTTCTTTTTTAAAACACAATTTATTTCAGGTTCGACTGAAAGCAGTTGCTAGTAAAATGCGACGTACTATGTGGTTCGAAAAGTTCTACTGGTTCATTAGTTCAGAAAATTATTTGGTCATATGTGGACGCGACGCCCAACAAAATGAGCTTCTTGTGAAAAGATGAGTTGAATTAAGGGCTAAATTTTGTCAAATTTTAAATTTTGTCAATTTTGCATCAAGTTACCATTTATTTACCATTCTTTTTGGTATAAGGAAATTTATTTTTTATACTGTGAATTCGCTTCTATAAATAATTTTTTAGATATCTTCGTAAAGGAGATGTATATGTGCATGCTGATGTAAGAGGTGGACCAACAGTTGTTATTCGTAATGAAACCATGAGTGAAATCCCACCAAAGACACTTAATGAAGCTGGTGTCATGGCTATTTGTTATTCATCAGCTTGGGCTTCGAATTTGAGTGCTAATGCTTGGTGGGTCTATCATCATCAGGTATCATGACTACTTATAAATTTATTTTATTTGATTACGAGATTTTTTTAAACAGTGGTTACCACTGATTTGTTTAATGTTATTCTTTTAATAATAGGTGATTTTTAATAATTGGCGATTCTTTTTTAAGGTTTCTCGCACTGCTCCAACTGGCGAATATCTTACTCCAGGAAGTTTCATGATTCGTGGTAAAAAGAATTTTTTACCTTCGTGTCAACTGCAAATGGGTTTTGGATTGATGTTTAAGTTAGCTGATGAATCCATCAGTGCACATGCCAATGAGCGCAGTGCATGCAGGGCCGCCAATGATATTATTGAAGAGGAAGTTTTTCTGTCAAGTGATTCAGAAAATGAAAGTAAGAATGGTGATGAAGTGGTTGAAAATTTTCCTGATATTCAGGTTTATTATTATTATTAACTTATTATTATTATTATTTATTATTAACTTATTATTAATATTCAGGTTTATTATTCTTTAATAAATATTTTCTATGCACCAAAAAAAAGCATTTGTAGTGCAATAATATACGGTCCACTGAGTTAATATTAGCCCATTTTTTTTTCTTAGTGGACATTAGATTTCGTGCAATTTTGTAAATAGCTTTTGGAACAATTTCTCATCAATATATCTAAACATGGAAAAAATTGAGAGGTTTATATTTACCAGTTTGTAATAGAAATGAAAATTTTAAAATAAATTTTTATCACTATAATTTTTATTTTTTTAGGTGCCATTAGATGAAATAGTTGGTACTGAAAATGGAGAAGAGTATACTATTATGCAAATTGGACCAACCGTTTCTCGGAAAGACTTCGTAAAGACTCCGGAAATCCGAGACGAAGTTATTGATGAGTACAAAAGCAAAAATATTAACAATCAATCAGACAGTCAATCACGGCCATTAACAATCAGACAACGGCATAAAGCTGCGAAAATAAAGAAAAAATATAAGAATCAAGACGATGAAGAACGAGAACTTAGAATGATGATTCTTGGCACAACAAAAGGACAAGAAAAAAGTAAGCATTTAATGAGGATATTTCTTTTTTTAAGAGCTCTCACCATTACTGGTTGGACTCGCTGTGCTGGCTTATCGCACTAGACAGATATGACAGTAAGCCTTTTGGCGATATAAGTACTAGTGAGTCGCTAACATCACCCGGATTTTTGAATAGATTTATTCCTGCTGGGAGTAGAACCTTAGCTTATTCTATGCCCACTAGTATAATCATGAAGTTGACTTCGTTTTGATTTCAATTGATTTCAGTTTTGTCTTTTTATCTTCTTTTATCCGTTTTATTTGTTTTGTTCTTTTTTTCAATTAAAATGTTGTGTTTCAAATTCGAATACTAATTCTTCATCAAAGGTAAAAAGAGTGTGGAACCAAAAAATATTTCAACGAATAAAAAGAATAAAAATTTTCCAAACTCTGTACCTTCACAATTGGATTTTCGTGAAACTGCTTTGAAACCAATTTCGATTTCTACGACTTCTGCAGAAAATAAATCGAGAGATATTACAGTTGAGGTTGAAATATTTTAAATATATATTTTAAATGTATTTTGAAATTCCTTGTAATAACAATAATTTGCACTATATATTATCGAGAAGAGTGCAGAATGTTGTAGAAGACCCCCCACTTTTGTAATTTTTTTCTCTTATGACTGTGCAAAAGGATTTAGTGCAGCCAGCGGAGCTAGTGATAATTTATAGTATATTCAGAAATTCGAGAAAAGAATTCGAATTTGAAAACTATGTATAGTAAATTGTTACATTCATTATGTATTTTTAGCAAGAAGCCAATGAAGATTTTGATGAAATAAATGAGCAATCTTCTAACGAGGAAAACTTGATCAATTCATTGACTTGGGCTCCTCGACTAGAAGATATTTTACTATTTGCAATTCCTGTTGTTGCTCCTTATCAGATGATGCATAACTTTAAATATAAAGTGAAATTAACGCCTGGAACTGGTAAAAGGGGAAAATGTGCAAAATCTGCTATGCAACTTTTTGAAGTAATTCATTTTTATTGTAGCAATACTTATTAAAAAATTTAATGTTATTTCATCGATTTGTTAATTATTTATTTATTAATTGTTTTATTTTATAAAAATCCAACATATTAATTTTACTAAGTTCTTTTAAAGGATCCTCACCGTTACTTGTTAGGCTCGCAGCGCTGGCTTGTCGCACTGGACAGGGAGTCCTTTGGCGATAGAAGTACAGGTGAGTTGCCAGCATCAGCCGGATTTTTGATCAGGTTTATTCCTGCATGGAATAGAATCTCATCGGCGCTCAGAACTGAGTAAGAACTGATTGAGTCATTCTATTCTCTTGATAACTGATAAGTAATTTTTAGCAGAAAAGAATATATCTTATATTTTCCAAGTAAAAAGTGAAAGGTATTTTATTTAAAAATGAAGTTATCTTATGGTTACAGCGTGACAAAAGTGCTACTCAGCAAGAATTAGGACTTATAAAACTATTGGCTTCTGATGATCAAATATCCCGAAATATTCCTGGCAAAGTACGCGTATCGGCACCATTGCTTTATCACCGCTAATCACTATTTTTATTTTAATTTGACAGTGGTAAATTCCATTCGTTTAGAATATTTTGCATTATGTATTATGCATGAATCAGAATCTCAAATCTGAAATTCAGCAAAATCTGCAAAAAAAGCCTTAGGATTGGTTGAGCAATAATCGATACATCTTTGGGAAATATTTTTTTTGGGAATATTTGGGAATATTTTAAGAAATTTTTTTTGCGCTCAAACATGATAATAGATGACGTGATTTTTTGTTATATATTGTTATAATATTTATTATTAAATAATTAAATGATTAAATTATTAAATGGTTAGGTTCGTTTCATTACCTCTTATTAAGGTAAAAAATTTTTTACTCTAACGCTTAAGGCGATAATTTTAGTGATGGCCACTCGGTTTTATTGTCTTTATGAAATTGCAAACATAAGAAAATTTTTTAAAGTGATCAAATGTTTGCCTTACGTATATAAAATTTTTATTTTTTTGTAAATTTATTTACCATAAATTTATTATCATTATCAGTTAATTGTTTTCAATGTGAATCAGTCGACATCGTTGTTTTTTTTTTGGTTTTTTTTGAATAGCAATGCTTAGTTGTTATCAATTATTATCAGTTAAGTTCAATATCCTAATTTTTTTCGGCGAAAACTTTGTTTTGAGATGTAATAATATGATAAATATGGTAAATGATCGATATGAAAAAGATAAGAATTAATTAATAAGAATTAATTGTGCTGATAAGCCTGGTCGTTTATAATTTTGTAGTATTTATATCGTTTTCTAGAAATTTTAATTTTAATTTTTAATTTTATTATGGTTTGATTGAAGTGGATATTTTTCGTGGAAAATCTTAAATTATTGGTTTCGATTTTACTACGATTTTCATCATTTCGTTGTTTTTTAAGTTGTTTTTTTGACGGATAATATTTTAATTAAAATTTTTAAAAGAATTTGAATTTTCCTAAAATTTATTTATGCAAGCAAATGTTTCGTAAAATGCAACTGGTAATTTAGAGTAACGAAATTAATCAGGCTTTCGTTGAATTCGTCGAGGTGCGAGGTATTGTAGGAATCGGCCGATATCGTTGGACATCGCCAGATTTGTTAGACTGGATCTAAAATTTAGAAAGCTGTATTTGAGTTCGTTGTATCTTTGTTCTTATTCGTCTATCTTCGAGCTTTTTACGTAAATTATAAAACCTTTTGTACAAAAAATTTCGCTGTGGACGAGAATTTTGCAATTCATCGTCGCGCATAAATGGCTCGCGATCGTTTCCTTCCAAAGACAAAAGCAATATTGACTTATATCTAAATTGGAATAGATTATAAAAACATTGATATCGAATTCTATTAACTCCTTTTTCTAATAGATATGATTGTTTTTGGCTCGCTAACGCTGGCTTAAGTCGCACCGAGCCACTTCTTGTTGTCAGAGGTCTGATTTGGCATTTGACGATAGAAGTGCAAATAAGCAGCCAGCATTATCTGAATTTTTAAAAGACAGGTTTCGCCAGGAGTGGGACTCCAAAATTGGTATTCGGATATAATTACGGCAACGCGTGTCACTGATCCATTCTCATTTATCATGTTAGCATTTTTTCCTCTTTAGTAAAATTGCTAAAGAATATTAGGTAGGCTTGGTATATGAAGCATTTGACTCTTCAATAATTTATGGCACTTTTCAAAATGATAAATGATAAATATCATACAAATGATAAATATCAAGTGATGAATTGGAATAAGTTTTATTACCGCTTTCTTAAATCGGATTCTTGTGGCGTGACTATGTTGAAGGCTATCAGCGTCGACATGAGAAATAAAGCGATCTGATTTGGCATTTGTTCGAATTCAAGCAGCTGTAATTATGGTTTTAAATGGTTGCAATAAAACATAGATTGGAAAAGTTACGTGTTGAGAAAACGCTAAACTCCTTCACAACATTGATATATTCTTTTCTTCCAAAAAATTTATTATGATAGATTTATTTGCTTCGAGATCTCCTAATAGCTCTGGCTTGACTGCTTTGGGAGTTCCATTGGTCCATTGCTGTGATGCGATTCTTTTATCAGATTTCATAACGGCGTAAAAAATCAGAATCAGATCCGTAATATTAACTTTCAATCGAAGCAACATATAATCAACAAAACAACAAAATCTAATAATTAAGCAATTTTTTCTAAGAGGAGGAGTTCATCCATTCCTGGTTAGCCTTATTCCCAATGAGCCAGGCGAATCTTGCCAAAGAGCCTCTTGGCAGTGCAAATAAGTCACCTGGATTGTCAACTAATTTGATTGTCTTGAAGGAAACGTAAATTAATTTTGAATTTAGACTAAAAAAAAGAATAACTTAAAAATATGAGATAAACTTTTATGTGATTTCCTAGGAGAAATGAACAATAAAAATTTGAAACAATTTCCAGTATTTTATGAATAATCTAAAATAAATGGTGCGGCGGCAGATAATTCGATTGATATTTTTTAATTTAATGGATAAAAATAAATAAGATTACAAAATTAAGTCAAATTATTTTTCTTTGTCCATGGGACTTAGAAATTCCAAAGTAGAAAAAAGGAAAGGGAGAAAAAACGGATAAAGTTTGGAGAAAGATTTACGCGAATATAGGCTTCATTGAGAGGCAATTCTCCGATAAGTTAATTTATACTTTGTTCTGAATGGATTTGGTTGAATGATTCAAATGGCTTAGTAGTGGATTTGGCGAAAGAAACAAAGGAGAAATCAAAATCGACGTCTCTTTTTCAACAATAAGCTTTTAGTTGGATGTTAGCACTGATAAGTTAGTACCACGATTATTTCTACTAGTTGAAGGTATCTGCCGCTTCTTTTTGATAAGATTGCTAGATTCTTTTGGTGGAGAGTCACTTAATGGCTGGAATACAGGTTCGATGCAACTATCCATCTGGACTTTAATGATGAGCTTGTTTTCATCCATACCTCACATTTTGACGAAACAATTATCGTATAATTCAACTATCCTAAACTGATAAGTGATTGGTGCTGAATATTCCTGGTAAGGCAGTTTGAACAGCTGGAAATATTTGTTAAGAAGACATTTGACAATAGAACAGATTAATCGCTAGCATAATCTGGATTTTTTTATGACAAATTTATTCCTTGAATAGAAGCCTAACGCTTTCTCACCAACACAGTAACCTAAGCTATTATCCATTCTGCACTATAAATTTAGCGCCCAAGTTGTAATACTTATAAATGTAACAATAAATAACATTATAGGAAAAATTAATATATTTGCCATATTTTTAATTTTTTGAGTATTCTTGTAAAATTATTTATTATTATTACGATTATTTACTAATGAGCTTCTTTATATTATTCGTGTTTTACTACCATAATTCAAATCCTTTCGCGAAAGTTGTATGCATTTATGGAAATCATTATTATTATTTTATTACTAATTACTATTATTACTATTATTAAATATTATTACTATTATTAAATATTATTAGTTTGTTATCAATCAATTTTTGTTATTATCGTCATTATTATTGTTATTATTATTTTATTGTTATTATTAATTATTGTTATTAAATATTATATTTTATAAATATGATAAAAAATATTTTATCATTAATCGATTTATTATTGCTCTTACTGTTACTACTATTCTTAATATTATTACTATTATTGGAGTTGACATCATTAGAATTAAATGAAAAAAATTTTTAAATCCATTGATTACTTGCCTAATAATTTAGTTTTAAGGCAACTTAGATTGCCTATAATTGGGAAACGATACAAAATGCTGCAAAGGTGCAAATGAAGTCATTCATAAGGATTGATAAAATTGCCGACTGACTATGCATGCCTTTCACTAAATTTTTTTCCTAGAATTTCTGAAATTTTCATATTATTGAATTTTTGATAAATTTTCTTTCGGTTTTCAATCGGAATTTTTTATAATCCACATTCTACTACCATATGACAAATTTTATCTCGTCAATTGCTCACTATTTCTTCCACAGATTCACCAATTTCAGTTACCAGTATAACAAGAATACTTCATTATTTCAACAGATTGCTTCAAAACTTATATTTCTGGGTTTTGGATTTTGCCATTTTTGATAAAATCTGATAAGATTCATATATTTTAATTCGAAATAATCTCACTTTAATATTTTAATCATTTCTAAATTTTTTCGAAGTAATTTTAAGAACTTTAGAATATTTAAAAATAATTTCAAAAAATATTTTTCAAAATGTAAAATAATTTTGCTCAAAATGCTTACAAAAACAGCGAATAAAAAAATAAGGAATAAAGGATTTAATTTTGTAAAATAGATAAATCTCTCATGAAAAGATTTTATAATAAATAAGGTGAAAATAAAGATATCTCTATGATTACCATAGCAGCTAATTGCTATCTTTTTAGCTATAATTTATTTAGAAAGGAGGAAAAAATTAATTAATTCTTCTAGTAACAAAAGATTTTAAAATATTTCAACACAAATGATTTATATTATCAATGAGAAAGCATGAATAATGATCATGAAGGGTTGAGAGAAAAAAAATTCAACACAAATATACTCCGAATGGTTGTTGGAGCTGGAAACTTATAGCTCCATCCAAAATGAAGCTCTAGCTAAAACATTCTAGTAGTCAAAAACCAGCAATGATCATTTTGCCCGTGGTTTCATCTAAAAATGACAGCCATTCCTATTACAATAGAATTAGAAGTATTTATTTGCTCATACTAGCTTATTATTGTTCAGAGTTATTGTACGAGAGGACCAGCTAGTAAATGGTTCGATTCACGTATGAGCCAAGCTTTGCATCCACCTTCACAATTCTAGCAAGTGAAGCTAACTGCACTGCCATACAGCGATAACTTTAATGCCTTACAAATTGTACAAGATTTAAAAAAAATCAAACTTTTATAAAAAATTTTGCTGAATTTGAAAAACGTTGTGGCCTTAGCTTCACTTTTCACTTGAACCAATGGTTTGCAGAAGTTAAAAACTCATATATTCTTCAGTAATAGTAGAATGGATCATTGGGTTGTTGATTACATTTTTAAGTGCCAATCTTGAAATTTATTCTCACTCAGTGAGGATAATGCTAGTGATCCTCAAATATTTCTAAGTAAATGATTCCGAAATTTGGTTCCGGATAACGTTACCGGAAATGATGAACGTGGTCTAACTTGATTTATTTTTATAATTTATTAATTATATTTGTTAATCAATTTATTTTTTTAAATAAATTCAAAAATGGTTTGCAAAATTTTTTGTTCCACCATTCATGTAATTTTTTATACAGAAATCTTGAAAATTTTAAATTTTATTTAATTTTATGCATAATGAAATAATCAATGATTGATAAGAAATAATCCAATGCTTCAGTATCGCAACGTGCTTCTTATCATTCTCGTTCCTTTTTCACCACTACTATTTGATACTTGTAATTAAAGCATATGACGCAATCAATTATGCTATGTCAATAATTTGAACAAGTAAAATATTGTGGCGATAGCTTGGAATTCCTTAAGAAATGAACGGCAGTTCTTCGTTTTTTTCCAAATCTTCCTATTAATTAATCTCAATAATTTTACGAGAATTTCAATAAAATACTCACAATATTCTCCTTAAATGACTCAAATGAATTACATTTCTTAAATGAAGCATTATTTTTTGTTACTTTCAAGTCACTTTAATCCAGGCCTTGGTGATCCTGGACCAAAACAACTCATCCATGCTTACATCCCTTTTCTTTCCAATCCTATTCAAATTTTAATTATTATAAATATAAAAATATAATGCAAAATACAAAAATCTCATTTTTATTTAAAAAACAATTGTAAGTATAAAATACAAAATTTAAAAAAAAATTGTTAAAATTTCCATCATTTGACAATTGACTGAAATAGCGAAAAAAAATGATGCCTTTTTCAGTAAATATTTATAAATATTTATGAAAAAAAAGAAAGATTTTTTAGAAGAGCAACCGATTTCGACATAATTTACATCGCATTTTGATATCATTTACTAATTTATTTATAAATTTTTACAAAAATTTGTTCAAGGGAAAAATCATACCAAATTGAGAAAATTCTTAATAGAATTCCTATAAATGAAAACTATGAATCTCTTAAAGATCCATTTAAATTGACATTTATCCACCCTTTTGCATTAATCTTATAAATAACTAAGCAATTACCCCTTTAATTACCATTATTCAATCACCCCTATCGAAAATATTTTCTGGTTGATAATTAGATTTTCTATTTTTAATGAGAAATATAACTACTTTTTTTTAGATAAAATTTTATATAATATCATTTTTATCATAGAATTCATACTTTACCCCTCAAACAGCAACCAATATTTTTCTTAAAAGGGAATATAAAGAAAAAATATTAAATGTAGCGAAAGACAAAAAAAAATGAATTAACTCGCAAAAATATTTTAAAACTAGAATATTATTGTAAATCCAAAAAATGAGCTACGAGCAAAACTAATCTGTCCACAGAGTAGTAACCGATCATTGAAATTCGCGGGTTTCAGGTGCTTTCAGGGTCACCTGTAAGAAATTTTCATAAAGTTAAAGTTATCATACCAGCTAAAAAATTGCATTTCCTGAATAATTGCATTTAACTAAAAGTGGTATAAAGTAATAATCTTAAATCCACAAAAGAAAATTATTTACAATATATTTATTGCTATCTGGCGCTGGTGCAAGTATAATGTCGACTATGGAACCAAGTCTGATAACACTTTTAATATATTCATTATCATTTTGATCGCACAATGATGGCCAATAAAGGATAAGAGTAGGGCGATATCCATTCTGAAAACGTGCTTCACACAATGTTTTCCGCATAGACTGAAATTTTTATTTATTTTATATATATATATATATATATACTATACGTTCATTGCAAAAATTATTTGATAATAGAAAATTTGGATAAATTAATTAAATTTACTGACTAAAATTTCATTTTGTTCCTCTTTTTGTTTTAATTTCAAAAAGTAATTAAAAAGAAATCTTCCTGGAAATTTTTTAGTAAAAATCCAACTTAAAATATCAAAAAAAGCGTATGAATAGAAACAAAAATGAACATTATAAAAGATTGCTTTAATCCAACCGTAGTCGGAAAGCACGACGTTAAGATGCGTCTTAAATAAACCTACAACAATAGCCTTAAGTACCATCGGACCTTTCCTCTGAAATTTTTTAAAGTATAAAAATCATGAATTGGGTTTGGATAAATGAAAAGAATTTGGGCAAAATAAATCAAAAAAATGGTATTTGCTAAATTTTTTTTAAAATCTTTTTTTAACAAACCGTTATCAGTGAACTAAAAAACATCTCAAAATTCGCCTCCTCAATATTTGTAGCTATTTGACATTTCTCATTGCAATAATCAAGTACTTCTTTCAATTCTTTACTTAACAAACCAGGTGGAAGAGAATACCGCAATGCGCCTGATAGCAAACGGTGAACCTAAAAGTCAATTAGTTAAAGGCGATTTAAAGATATAATCTGAAACTAGAGGAATGTTGGATCTTCGTGACGAAACTCCACTAGAAGCTGGAACACTAGGACCACTATTTTTGAAAAAAAAACTAAATTATTAACTAGTAGGCGAAGCCAGTCAAACCAGAAATAATATTCGCTGCTGAAAAATTCGGATCATAATTAAAAAGAAGCAGCAAAAATAGGTAAGTAAATGGTTTTCACTCACCACTTCTGGTTCTGGCTATCTCCACTGATTGTTCACTTGGAGAGGGATCCCCACAGTTCTTTAAAGTCAGATTTGTCTGCAAAAGGCATGGTCTGAGCCTTGACACTCGAAACAATAATCTGAGGAATAGCCTGCATTCGACTATCCCATCTGCAGTGCAATTTCCCCACTGATTTCCAAGCAATAGATACCCAAGTCCATAAGTCTGAGGCCGAAAAAATCTTCCCGGAAAAAAATTAAACCATTATATCAGGATATCTTGTACATGGCGATGTGAAATTTGTATAAACTGGAACCGAATATTTGAAATCCGCATAATTATTATCCACTCCACCAGCATAATAATAAGCAGGCTGTAATGCGTCGTATATCTGGGCAATAGGTGACTAAATTCATATCATATTAACATAAATCGAATAAAAAATATTTTCATTTATAATATTATCCCTATTTATGAATGTGGTAGACCATCACTCTTAGCAGACCTTCGCAATTCTGCGGTACCTTACAGTACTGAAAAATGATCTTCCGCTCCATAACGAATAGTTGGATTTCGCCTCGGTAGGAGAAATGAACTACTAGAGCAATTTTTTAATGAGAAAATCTCAACTAACTTCATTTATTGCCTTAAAATATGATATGCAAAAACTAACTTCTTTAAAGCATACAGCTAGATCATCACTTGCATGATGACCATTGATGCAATCAGCAAATGTACAGCAAAGTCCATTTTCTGAATCAAAAAGCTTCACGCATTGTTCCACAATATTTTTTAATACCTTTAATAAGCCCTTTAAATGTATTTTAAAAATCCAACTGCAGCAGGAAAAAAAAAATACAACAAATTTTAAAAAAAATGGAACCTTTCGTTTGGGTATTTCTTGCTTTTTTAATATTGCAATTTCGGGAAATGTATATAAAATTTTTCGAGCAACGTACATATTGGTTAAAATTTTAAATTCATCCATCAACAAATCAACATTACTATACTAAAATTTCTGATTAATTCATGCGAAAACCTAAATTAAAATTGAAAATATGGGGAAATTTCTAAGATTAAGATTTCAAGTAACGAGTAACGAATTCTGATTAATTCTAAAGAATTCTAACCAATTCCATGTATTCATAAATTTATTAAATGAAAAAACCAAAAATAAATTTCTTTTTGTTTGTAAAATAATTAACCTCAATTTTTAACAAATCATCACAAAGATCATTGTTTCTTTCAAGTTTTAATTCAAATTTTGGTGGTACCGAAGTTCGAAAATGGGGGCCTAAGCGTTTTGTTCGGAACTGTTTAGCTATCTAAAAACTTCATAAATATTTTTATTAGTAAACCCGGGAAAAATTATTCAATATATCACGAAAGGCCGATAAATTTGATGATAATCAGCTGTCTCGATATTCAAGATTATAAGAAAATAACTAATTTGGCAATAGAGATGATATGAAAATTATATTTGCAAAAACTTAATTTTTTCCAAATATCAATTCAAAATTTGAAAAATGATATAAAAATATGACAAAATTGCCTGAAACAATTTTAATAACGATTCTGTGGCACTCAGTGGCTCATTGTTGTCAATCTTTTCATAAATTTCCGTTAAATCACCGCTCAATATTCTCTGAAATTTTTCCACTATAATTTATAATAAATGATAAATAAACCAATTTGAAATAAAATAAAAAGGCTTCCAAAAATTTTAAAATCACAACGATAAGCAAATACAATAAACAATGATTTGAAAAAATAAAAGTGTTCAAATTGGTTGTCACAATTGTTTAAAATTTGGGCCAAAATCTAGGCCTAAGCCCTAAAATCTAAATGATAGATTTTTAAAAAGAAAAGGGTAAATTAAGGATAAAAGTGAAATTATTACTTCTGCAGTTTCATTTGTAAACTTGCGATTTAGTTGAACAATAGAACGGCCGAACCATATGCTACAAATTTTTCCATTTTCGTCAATCTTTAATAAAACCGAAAAAGTGAGACGAATTATTCCCGGTTTCAGCAGACAAAGATCATCCGTTAATATTTTTGGCAACATTGGAATTATCTAAACAACAGGAAAAAAAATTTTCCTAATTTTCCTATAATTTTTTTAATTATAGATAATTTTCAACAAAAAATAAAGCCTTTTAGAATTGTTTACGGACTTAGTGTTAAAAGAATGGCTTCTGTTGCTATCAGGGAGAGACTTAGAAGCGCTTCATCCTTTTAACCAATTGAACTACCCGCAGGAATTATATGAACTGTTAAAAATAGAAGAAAAATTATTTCCAACTTAATTTCTATTTTCAATGAAAAACTTTACCTTTTGTACCAAGCGTATAGAGGTGACACGACTTGCTGCCCAATTATCAAGCTCAGTACCTGGCTGAACAAAATGAGATACATCAGGAACATGAACACCGACCTAAAATGGACATTTCATAATTATGTAACCAAACTTTTAATAAATTGATTTATTTAAGGTGTAATTTTTTAAGATGAAACTTGAAATCAAGAGAATTAAAATTCTCAAAAAAGAACATGCCGTCTAACATACTTCAAATATTGGACCATGGTTATTTTCAATTTGGAGTCTCCTCAAGTGCATAGCAAAATCTCGATCATGAATAGCTGATGATTCTATTGCGAAAACTGTTTCATCACGAAAATCTCGTCGATACTTAAATTCTTTCTGAACAACGAACAGTTTTATATAAATGCCAAAGCATTTCATTATCTTCTTATCATTTATCATTATCATTTATGAGGAAGTCTAACTTCATCGATTTTCCAGTCAACATTTTCTGTGATCGGTAATGAAGACAATACGGCAGGTGAGAATTCTCGAGTATCAATATTGTTCGTAAATAATAATCCTTCTGTTTCAGCATCCAGGTCACCCATTACACCAAGCCTTTTATACAACTTACTAAAATAAATACACGAGTAATAAGAACGTTTAAATCCAATACTTTTGGCAGCGATGACCGTCAAAGAAACTGGATAATTTAATGGTACTTGTGTCTCCAAATAACTCTTCTATGAAAAAATCTCACCAAAGTAGTGGCAAAAAGTAGTCACTGCAGATGAAATTATTCCAAATGAAAAAGTAATGTATACCCACGGGCATTCCGGTCCCTTATATTCCATTCAGCTATGTTAGCTAAATAAATAAATCGTGAAGATAACTGTGATTGATCAAACAGGTTATTTGGTATTTCTTCAACCGGTATCACCATTCGAGGAATACGGGAATCAATCGGTAAAAATAGCGCAAAATTGCGATTTTTATCAACGAAATTCTTTAATATTCCTACAGCAGCTCGACAATTTCTCTTTTCAACGATGAAAACAACCTAAAATCTTTTTAATAAAAAATTATTCCATTTTTTAAAAGTTAACCATAAAATAGGAGGCTATAGCTTTATCGACAGTGAAAAAAGAGCATTGATCCTACTGGTTAGAAAACTCTGATGAAGTGTGTGGTATCTGACTTCAAAATTCTACTTCTTCTATCTCTAACAGCCACCAAACCAGAAACAGCGAAAAAGAAATACCTCTGCTGTCTTTTGAAGGCATAAATCAGGCATTCCCCAATCTTCGCTCGACATATTCATTAATAAACGTCTATTAAAGCGGCAATTATCGCCACCATTACCATTTTGTCGTATTATAGTAACGAAATTAGAGCTTACAGCTATATTCTTGTCATAATTCCCATCACAACTAAATAATTAAAATTCTCAAATAAGCCATAAAAAGGACTGTGTGAAAAGGTATAAAAAATCCGGATATAGAAGAAAAATTTTTTAAAAATAATCTAAATCTGAACCTTGGCATCGAATTACTTTTATCAATTGATAGCTTTATAATTTTATCAATAATTTTCTGATCTAATTTAAAAATATCCTTGTTTCCATTCTGTCTTTCCAGTTCCATATGAAACAAACAATATTTATCAAGTTATAATTGACTAAATCTGCGAAATTATGATTAAAAATATTTATTGGCCTAGACATAGTGGTTTCAAATTACTTTGAGCTAAAAAAAGGCAGAGCTTGGAAGCTTTGTTAGCCACTCTAGCAATGGAAATAGAAATGGTAAGGATTTTCAGCAAGAAAATAATGCAAATGGATTATTACTGACTAAATTCCACGAATGGGTAGTAGATTCCTATAAGACGAGAAAATTCAAAATAAGTAAGCTAAGGTTTCTTTTACTTTTACCTTGTTACCAATTAAAATTAGCTGGTTTCGATCATATTTTTGTCCGAATACTGGTACGTCTTCATTGAGCAATTTGTTTTTTATGCAAGCCGGAAGCTTAAGTAAATTAGAAATTTTAGCTGCACCGAAAAGGGCATTTATGCATCAAATTCAAATATATATATATATATATATATATATAATCTTCAAACTTGCTCTTGAAAGAAGCAATTGATGTATGACATATAAAATTATTGGTGGCCAATTTTACCGGGGGCACTGTGATCAACTGTCCATCATCATCCATTCGTTCGTTCAGTTTCCCTTCTCGCCATGCAAAATATAATACATCGCGTACCTGAACAATAAATAACTTATGTTGAAATACTAAACGAGTAGTTTCTCGCATATTTTAGACTTTCACCGATTATTCGGAAACTCGTAAATGACCTAGCAATATATTTAATATTAAATTTCAGTCTCAAAACCTAATTTTAAATTAAGCGATCAATTTCTCTTAATATTTTGCGCAAAAATCATAAATATATCCATATATGTTAGATTTCATTCCATAAAACTAATATCTTACCGCCCAGCGTTCACGCTCTTTAATACGAACAACCACAATATCACCATGCAAAGCTCTATTTCGATCTTGAATTCCAAGGACTAAAATATCTTGGTTATCATCGCCTATATCCACATAAGCTTCATCATGCTTATTGGAACTGATTCGCAATTTTCCCTAAAAATACGAATAGCTGATTTCATTTATCAGTATTCATGCATTGGTTAGCTAAGTAGGATGCTTCACATAAAGAATCAGTTAGATATCAGTTGGAATAATTCAAATCTTACAGAATTGGTATTAGGAAACAACCTCTATCTCTATATAAGTTTTTCAGGTATAGCAACCTAGCAATTAGTCTTATTAGTTGGAAAAAAGGCTATGAATTTTTAGGGAAAGAAATTGCAATGCAAATTTCAGTACCATGAAAAAAAAATTTCCTTTTAGTCCACGCTTAACGCTATCTTTATTCATATATGGCAGAAAGTACTGTTTTCTGTTATTTTGCTTTGCTCGTGAATTACTTCGACAATGTGGAAAATTGGAACGATTTGCTTGCTGTTTAAATCGACTGAACTCAGTTCCACGGCAATACGAAAATGTATCACAATTGGAATCTGAATTTCGAACTCAAATGATATGATATTTATTAATTATTAATGGCTTTAAATACAAAAAATATTTAAAATTATTATAAAATTATTAAATAATAAAAACTTATTACTACAAAAATAAGCAGATTTCTGTGAATCCTTTTTGACAATTATGGTTTGCGGACTTATTAATTCCCAAAAAATTAAATATAATGTATAATAATATATGATGTATAAATTTTTTCCTACACAAATCTACCTTTTCGCGGTGCAGTTACGGAATTGAATGGATTTTGTCCAGGTGCTGGTGGAGCTACTGGACGAACATTTGGTATAAGCGGATACATCGGTGACAACGCTGGTAATAAACGCACAAGTCCTGGTGGTGGTAATGGAATAGTTTTTCCACAGGAAAGATTATTTGCTAGAATATTTTTTTCAAACTTTTTAAAATAAAAATTAAATAAAAATTAATTAGAATAAAATATAATTACACAAACAAATTTGATAAATTTTTTTGCTTATAATTATTTCTGTGCAATTTTCGATTAAAAATAATAATAATAATTTAAAAATAAAAATATTGATTCAATCATAAAAAAGAAAAATACCATTATGGTTCGCTTTGCTTGAAGATAAATGAGCGATTGCCGATGCTTTCATCGTTTTATGAAAAAGTGATTTGGAAAACGATGAGGAACTTCTCCGATTATAGTCTATAAGAATTCTCATAAGAATTTCATTTTAAAAAAAAATTGACTAAATTTGCAAATATATTAAATTCATTCAATGTTTGAAATTGAAGTTCCATTGCTAGTTTAAAATTTAATTTTTGAAATTTGAGAAAGTTTTTGGTTTTAAACTTAATTTTAAAGGTGGGAAATTTTTAAAATTCTTGGAATTTTTAAACTTTCCAGTCTCTAGAAATTTATTTTAAAAAATTTTTTTAAATTTTTAGTGGTTTTATAGCTTTTCTTCGAAGACAAACCTAAAAATTTTTTGAAATTTTCAAATTCTTTCATTTTTTTTTCACAAACAATTTTCGTTGAAATATTAAAAAAGGTGATTGCTCGTGTCATTTTTCATTTATATAAACACTTAATTTGTCTAATATTAATTAGAAATCGATTTTTAAAGAATTTTAGCAAAAAAAACAATTAACTAAAAGAGGGAGTTCCTAGAGATAATGGTGATTTTTTCACATTTTTGGTACTTCTTTTACTGGTATCGTTTAAAATAAACGCATTTTCTTGTTTTTGCTCATCCAAATTAATATTTCTTCGTTGATAGTGTAAGAAAGGGTCGATTCGTCTCTTTTTCTCCCAATTTTCACCACATTCACCCATTAGTTCGGAAATTCTTATTCTTCCTTTCTTCAAAACCTAAAACTAATCGTGTTTTTAATAAAAAGCAAAGTCAGTCGATGAAAATACAAAATATGCGATACTTTTTTGGCCCAAAATGAAATTATAAATAAATAAAGAAAATTATAAAGTGAGAATTATTTCTTCTTTGAAGATTTATAATAGAATTTATGTACGAATTGGTGAAACGATTGATGAAAATGAACTCGTTTCTTTATTTAAAATATTTTTTAAATATTTTTTAAAACTTTAAAACTTTTAAAAATTTATTATATTTATTTATTTTTTATTGCGAAAACTATCGTTATAAATTCATTGTCATAAAAAAATTCTTTTTCCTAGACATTAAAAAAATGCAAAAAACCTAAATGAATTTTGAAATTTATTGAAAATAAAACATCAAAAAATTGAGAGACAAATTATCTGAAAGCAAAATTTCACTTTTACTTAAAAAAGTAGCATCAAAATAATTAAAACGATGACAATAACTGTGATAAAATATTGAAAACGGTGATGAAATTTGAATAATTATTAAAAAACAAAAAGAATAGTAAATATAAATAAAAAAAGTAAAACATACATTATTACAATAACGGTAACCGACTTAAACTGATATAATTCAATAATTAAATAATTCAAAGAGGTTTTTTAAAACTTAGAGGTTTTTATCAGATCAAAGTGGATATTTAAATTAAAAAGTAAATTCAGTAAATTAAGTAAATTCTAAAAAAGTCTTTAATAATTTGGGAATGAGCCGGAAGTTATCTTTAAAAATTTCAAAAATGACTTAAATTAAGCCATTTATCATTATATGCAAATTTTCAATCTATTTTTAATTTCATCTTTTGCAAAATAAAATTATGATCTGATTGCGTTTTTTAAAATATTTCTTATCTTCATCGTAGATGATCTTGTTTTTCATCTCTGGTTAGATCCGGTCGAAATATTAATCATGGCTAATCTTTAATGATTAATCTTTACTGATATTTTCTTAAAGGTTTTTCTAAAAATAAATATGCATAAGCAGCAAATTAAGTTTTTTTGAGACTAAGCCTTTTTCGCTCTATCGAAATACAGTTGTTATTATCATCAGTACCTGTTTTTTGCATAGAATGGGCATAGAATGGCTCAGTGGGTTGTTGCTTAATTCGAAGCGCAAATACTGAGGTTCTATTCCTCGGAGCAAACCTGCCCAGATGCCGGCGAATCATCTATTATTGTCAAAATATCTATTGATATCTATTTACCATGAAACTTTCCAAAATTCAAATCAGATTGACTACATTGTGGGCAATCATCACTAGAAGAGTAATGCACTTTTCGCAGTTCAAAACAAAATCTGCATTAAGCTAATGATGTGTAGAAAACAATTCCGAATCTTTCGACTGTCTTAGATTCGATGATATTTCAAGACGAATTATGTAAATATTAGCAATATATTTGGAATGGTCGATAAGTAGTGGTCCAAAAAAGTGTTGAATGGTTCAGCTTAATTCGCTAGAAAATGCTATGAAAAAATGCGCGAGCTAGAATCAAAAAAAAGGAAAAGTCTCCGGAAATACGCACATTAGACGCTATCGGAAAGTTTAACATCCAAAAACAGTGGCACGAAGGTAACTGACTGTTATGGAGGTGAAAAACCTCTGAATATGGAGATAGCTTCTCGAATAGATTATACATATATATATATATGATATGGTACAGAGAATCAAGACAAAGGTAACTTAAAACCGTAATAATCGTAACTCTTGAAATGGTTACTGAAATGATTTAAGAAAATGGGATGTTTTTTATGGCTATTCTAGATCGCCTCGCACGGTCAATGCCCTTTTAAACTTAATTAATATGCGTCATAAATTCCGTACTTGTAAATTCATCACTGGTTGAGGAAATGTCGAATTTGAGTATTTTACCTGCATTTTTATATCAAATGTGCAAACGCGAGTCGAAGCCCTATTTTGGAAAGCGACAGCTACGAATGCCTTTTTCCAGTTCGCGAACATGGAATTACAGCAAAACCAAAACCACCATCAGAAAAAAACTTGATTGCAGTGCGATGCCTTATTCGCTATAAATAAGAGTAAAAAATATCGAAAAGCAAATCTTTAGTCACTCTTATATTTTACTTATCCGTCTTGTGTGCGCAATACCATTTCTATTAACAAATCATCCTCATTGAGCATTGCGTCCAAACTGAGTTCGTTGCTGCTCATCGCATAATTAACGCTTATCTCTTTAATATTCTACTTATTAAGTATTGAGATGGATGGTTTCAAAAGCGAGAAAGACCAATCTACACACTGATTTGCAATGGACAGCCAGATGAATAATGGTTAGTGACCCAGTGACCCTGAATTAAGAAACTTGGAAGCTTCTCACTCTTCAGACCAGCAGAGCGACGATGATGAAACATGCTGTTACGAGAAAAAGATTTTAAAATAATTTTAATAATTAATAAATACTAATGGATAAAAGGAATGTAATTTTTAAAAACTCAAAATTCAAGCTTTTTTGAATTAAAATATGAATTTATAAGAATTAAGAAATAAGTATTTTTTTTAAGAAAAGGAGAAAAGGTTTATGAAAAAAGAAGGAAACAAAACGAACGAGAGAGGTATTTCTTCGAATTCGATTTATAAGAGCGATTTCATCTTCAAACAACGGCCTTCTATAGTTTCCAATCATTTTAATCAGTTTTAATTTTTAAAAAAACCCCTCTGAAAAAATTTTTTGCTATAGAGCAATAGATTGTTGTCATTTCATGGCATCTTGTCGTCTTATTGAATTGAATTTTATTTATTATTTATAGGATTATTAGTAATTTTATTAATTTTTCACATTTAAAGTCAGCGTTTTAATGGAAAATTATGAAAGACAATAAGGCTTCTCAAATTTTGACTTTTTATATTTCGATTTTTTTTAATTTTTATAAGCTAAATTTTGACTTAATTTAAATTTAGAAAGGAATTAAAATAAAATAAAAGAAATAACTGTAGGAAATCTAGAAATGAAAAACTAATAATAAAATAAAATAAATGAAAATAATTATAATCCAACAGAATTTAAAAATTATAAATTGTTTATAATTTTATATTTTAATAATAATAAATAATACTTTTATTTTTAGCGCCATGTTTCTTCCTTTTATGATCTACTTAATTCATTTATTCATTAATTAAATATTTACTTTATTCACAAATTTTATTTATTTGCAAAATTCGACATTTATTAATTTTAGGTTAATATTGTCTTTTTTTCTTTGAAAAATTCAAGACATAATTAATTGAATACAATCGATAGTTGGTCGAATGGCTCAATAAAAAGTTTTTTAGGAGGTTCTTCTTAGGGGTTTTTCGATAAGAATAAACCTGTTTTTCAAAAAGCTGAGTGGAGCTCAGACATCTCATCTGTAATAATTTATTCGAGTAGAATATAATTGACCATGGTACTCGAATTTAGAAAGTTTCTCATCCCTCATCACAAAATTTCATTTAATTACGACCTTCTAAACAAATATAGCCATTTATGCATATTTACCATGCTTATAATTTATTCACCTTCATCTCAATTATTTTCCCCAAAAGTGACCAAATTATATCATATTCTCCTCTTCTCGAAAGTTTCTTCTACTCCGAAAATCCGGCTGTACTCTATATTATCCTGACCTTAAAAGCAATTTTGCTATAGACATAATATCCTACATGACTCTTTCGAATCCCACCTTATTAAAACTATCTTTAATATACCCCTCAAAGCTTAATTTCTTTTAAGCTTCCCTAATTCTCCTTAGAATTCTATTATATTCTGTTACAATACACTGAAACACTGAAATCACTGAAATTTTTAAAAACAATGCTTGTAAAATCTTGATTCGTATCAAACACGTTAATATCTTTAGAACCACGCCATTCTTCATCCATTTTAGTAATAGATCCATATCTCGCGACAAAATAAGCCTTGTGATGGATGGTTTCAAAAGGAAGTTAAGTAACTGCCTTAGAAACAAGCTTTTGTTACTTTCAGGCATGGTATCCGGCTAAGAATTTACCCTTTTTATAGCTAATAAAACAGCCTCAAAAATAATGGTTCGTCCTATCAGAAAATGAAATTTAAGGATTTGGAAATGTCAAGGGTATATCTGATAGGATGCGGTGATTAAAGAAGACTGGTTTTTGGAATATCTTTTTTTTAAAGGCCCTCACCATTACTGGTTGGACTCGCTGCACTGGCTTACCGCACTGGACAAATAGTTCCATGACGGTAGAAGTGTGGGTAGGTCGCCAGCATCACGAGGTTTTGTGGATAAGGTTATTCCTGCGAGGAGCAAAATCTCAGCATCTGCAGGAGCAAAACTCCGAATTGAACAATAACCCACTGAGCCATTCTACTTTTGGCAAATACCAAAAGGTTTTGATGTTCTGACTTCAGAATACAACTTTCGAATAAGCTGGCCATGTGACGAGTTTTTTCTGGACTCATGTACATTAATATGACAAATTATTATATGGATTAGTAAAAGAATAAAGCCATCGTTCATACGTTAAAGAAGGTCAAATAACAAAATAGAGTAGCGAGTATGATGCATTGTGGCGATTTAGCGGAGCATCGTGGAGAGGTTATTACGAATTACGAAATGCGGAGGGTTATGGCAAGGTGCGAAATTTTTTGAGGTTATGTGGTCTATAGGACATTCTTAAATGGTCACAAAAGGGAAATAGATGAAAGAACAAAGTTTTAAGGGATGATGGTTGAATTCAAGAGAATATAAAAATGTAAAGAGCTTTAGAAATTTCGCAAAAAATCCATTTTATTTTTGCTTTTCTTTCAATTTCTCGTGATTAAACTGTTAAAATTCCTGATTAAACTCGTCGCACCGGCATGTCGGGTTGGATAAATTTTATTAAACAGCCACTTGTTCATTGAAATAAAAGTGAGGTACCAACATCACCAGCTTTAGAAGGTAGTTATAATTATCTTTCCGCAATAGACTCAATTTGCTCAATTGAACAATTCGAGGATTCCTTTCTATCTGATTGAATTTTTAAAGAATAAATCTGATCCAATACAAACTTTAGTTCCATTGTATGGTATCGGTTCAAAAATGAGTTAAATTATTTCATTCAAATTATTAAATATTATTTTCCAAATTAATAAAAGAATAGTCGAAATCGTTCCAACTTTTGATGAAAAATTGAACACAATCCGTTAGTTAACTGGCGAAATATGAGAAATCACTGATTTTTTTCACTAAATACTTCAAGTTGAACATATTCTTAAATCAACATCACAGAATGAATTAGGTAGCGATCCACAATCTTCATCAGTTGCGCAACTGATCGTGGAACTTTAAAGTAGGTATGGATCACTCCTGAAAATTTACAAGGAAGAAAATGGAAATATGGGGGAAAATTAATGTCCAAAATGGCCATAAAATTTAAAATAATTATCGCAAATTGAAAATATTTTAAGGAATTTTAAGCATATATGATTTCTTACATCTGCGAATAGCGGCAAACGATATCAAATACCATTTGTAGATTGTTACCAACGCATATTGAAATGCCACAACCTATGCTTCTGGCTTCAAATCGTGTATTCTGAATAGTATTTACTACACATTAAAATACAAAGAAAATATAAATTGAGAATTTAGATAAATGCTTTCTCAATAACGATAAAGATTTTATCATTTTATCAATACTTGCTAAATGTATGACTAAATTTTTTAAATGTATATGAGATTCTATTCAAAAATATATTCAGTTTAAAAAAGATTGATAAAGTGACAGCTTTTTATTTTATTAAAATATTTAAATTATTGTAAATTCTTTCAAAGTTTTTAAATTTTTGGTGCGTCGGTGGCTGAATGGCAGGATATTGCCACAAGAATCCAGGCCTAGGTTTAGAGCGCCGACACTGAGGTTCTACTCCCAAGAGGCAAGCCTGTCCAAAAAACTGGAAAACTGAAGTTGGCGACTAATCTATCTATCGACTCCCTGGCATATGCCTAGTGCCATAAGCCAGCACAGCGAGCCTACCAACAATGATGAGTGCTCTTTTTCAGAAAAAATTCTTTCAAATATTATTTAAATTATTTTTTATTATTTCGAAATAGCCGCTAACTGCTGATGTATGAAATTTTTCAGTATTTTTGGAAATACAAAATTAATTACGTAGAGATGATCAATATTATTTGCATTTCCCCACCAATTTCTAATTGCTTGATCAATCTTTTGTTCTGAAATAAAAATAGAATCAAAATCCAAGTTTTTCTTCTTTTCGAAATTTAAGAACGGTAAAATTACTTCGAAATGCGAAGATTTTAATTTTATTAATAAATTAATGAAAAAATATTTTCCGAAATGCCATTTTGACTAAAATAAAGTAAAATTTTTCTTCATTTTGAACCGAATTATTTTAACTAAAAAATTGAATCAAAATCTGGAAGAAATGCATAAGCGAAAAAATAATAGGAAATATAAAAAAAATAATAGAAAAAATAATGAATAAATAAAAACCCAGAAAAATAGATAAATTGTTAAATTCGAAATTATAAATATTAGCCCTATAGTAATTGCATTCGGCTTCGCGAGGAGGCATGGCACACTTTTCAGCTTCCCTTTGAGCTTCTCTTTCCAATTCACAGTTCCAGTACTAAATAAATTTAAATAAATAAATAAAATTTTAATCTAAATTTAATTTATTTATAAATTCGCTGTATTGAAAAAAAATCTTAATGAATTTTTTTCACTTATTAAATAAAAAATTAAAAAAGAAAGTGAATTTTAAAATAAATAAAAAACATTTAAAAAGGAATAAAATTGAAATAAATAAGCCTAATCAGTTTTTTCCAATTCAAATAAAAAAACAGAGAAAATTACCAATAAAAGGAATTAAAAAGAAAAGTACCAATTCAAAAAGCAAATCCTCTTCAATACTCGCGAAATTACGAAGAACGGCACCATTTGCAAGTTTCTTTCTGTATTCTTCATGTTTCTTCTTCAGTAGAGAACGATGGGTGTTAAGAAGCTTTGTGTCACTACCACAGTCTTTAAAAATATTTCAGTTTTACTCTTCAACTATCAAGAATAAAAATAGTCAAGCCATTATCATAAAACAGGCTTTTACAAACGTTTACAGCCAACCATTTCTAGATAGGGATTAAGCAGGTTGGTCGTTTATAAGGTAAGAAATTTTTGCCAGATTTCAGCCATGTGGCAATTCGGTATTCAGTCATTGTCGCCATTTGGATTTTTTAATGAAAATTCGTACTTCTAATCAGGAAACCGAATCCATGGTACTCTTTAGCGACGAACCCTGAGAGACCATGCAACTCAACTTACCTTTAACTATCCACAGTTTCACCTTTTATTCTTTATGATAAAAAAATAGAATACGAAATTAATGAAATTTTAAAGTAGTAATTCGAAACATAGTTACGATTGCATTAAAAATTAAGGATTTCAATAAAATATAAAAAATTGAAAATATGATCATAAATTTCATAAAGTTACATTGTTTTTCATTGTCTTCAATAATTTTTTCACTACTTTCCGATGAGTTGGATACTTTTTCTGCAGTAAAATTAGCATCTTCTGTAGTGCGAACATCTAAAGTAAATAATTTAAATGGAACAAATAGCTGAAAATTTAGCAAAGATTTAGGCAATAGTTCTAATGAATTCGAAGGGTTTTTTCTTGAAAGAAATAAATTAAAAGGAATTCTTTTAAATATTCGGCTTCTTAGGATCTCATGATTCTCCATCTTTTTCTTCTAATAGCTCTCACTATTACTGGTTAGGTTGGCTGCACTGGCTACAGAGTCTTCATAGTTGAGTCTTGAGTTGAATCTCCTTCTTTACTTTTAATTCTATTATCTGTTGTATGCATTATAGGCGTTGCTTATTCAAAAAAACCTGTTATTGGAGTAGTCTGGAGCTCTACTGCATAAAAAGGATCAGGAAATACGAAATGATCCGGTATCTGGCACAAACCCATCTCAGCTTGGCAAGAAGATTGGTTATAAGCATCGCAATAATCATCTGTCTCGCAAGATGGACCTTGTTGATATAAAGGACCAGGTGTCGCCCTCAAAACTTAAACATTAAACTTTTAAACGATTCAACGTGAATTCTTGAAAATGATCAATGTTTTTACTTCGGCCAGTATTGGCAAACGACAATAACTTCCATTCCAGGGCATTTATGGATACCACAGCCGACTAATAAGGTTTTCCCATATAAAATCTAAAAAATGAAAGATATTGAAGAAAACGTTTTTCTTTCTTTCTCCAATTTGAAGAATAAAAAAAAGAATTAATGTTCCACAATAAAAGAATAATAATGGCACCTGTGCAATTTCTTGGCTCTCTGTATTTTCATTCTCCCAGAAATTGAATGCTTCGTCAAGCCAATAATCTAAGAAAAATCAGCACACTTATATATAAATATTATATATAAATATCAATAATAATTAACAAAAATCTATAGAAATCAATAAACTATATAAATGATGAACATTATCTAATCCATTTTACTTGTATCAATGTGAAAATTCCTTCAACTTCTACACCAATCTTTATTTAAATAAAGATTCAGGCTTGAAGGGAAACCATTAAAAGAAGTTTCAATTGATTACCCGTTGAGGAATTTCCATCGGTCTTAATTTTAAAAGCATTTTGGCCTGTTTCATATGACACATCCTGATTGCGCGACATTATACAAGCATCTGCATATCGTTGAGCCAATCTTTCTAATTCACAACTCCATTTCTAAAAATTAAATTTTTTGCAAATGTTAGAAACATAATGATAGACACCGCAATAAGACTCTTTTATTATTATAGATTATTAACAATAGAATTTCAGTGTATTCTCTTCTTCTAATAATTCTCACCGTTATTGATTAGGTTAAGTCCACTGGTTACAAGGGTAAGACTGCTCGGTCCGACGCTATCGCTAATAGTAATAGAATGGTAATGGAAGCCATTCCTTTTTCTACCGATACGTTCAAAATCTTTCTTGACTATATCAGTAAAGGCCTTGATTGGCCCAGCTCGTTTTTGATGCCACCCATCACAGGGTTTAGCAAGTCATGAAATACAGCACCTGTGATGGACGACGAAGAATGTGCCCTAACCAGCGAAGGCGACAAGTGGTATTTGAACGAAGATCATGTAAGATTTTATCCGTTCGACGAAACCATAAATATCCGTAAATGGAATTTCAATTAATGACCATATGAAATAATTCAAATAATCATGAAAAGTGGTATAAAATATGAGCCAAAATACCAGTGAATAAATATTCGATCCAGATGAAAAAAATTCAATATTGCCATGTGCTAACTGAGATCGAAATAAATTATGTTCGAAAAGTATATCATTGCGTATATCATCGCCCATAATTTTTTTATTACATAATTGAGCGATCACTATAATTATAGGCAAACAGTATAAATGATGGGGGTTAAAGGCTAAGGGAAAAAAAAATTTGATATTTAATATTCTTGCCTTCAACACCTTTAACCTCTTTACCAATTTAAGATCTTTGGCTAAGATTTCACTTGTAAATTCAAATTAGAGATGTGGGAAAGCCAAAACAGTCCTAGTAATATGATAATAGTACTACGAGCTGTGACCCAGAAAATAGAAAGGTGTTTTCCACAAATTTCAGGAACAGTTCAGTGAACTCCGTTCAAAAGGGCGCATTACCAGGAAAAGCTAAGGCATAAAACCCTTCATAAAACCCTAAAGCTGCAGAGCCTCTGATAGGTTGATGATGTTTCTTACTACCCACAGGTGATAGCAAGAGATTTTCTGAGATATGATGATATGTGAATTTACGAAACCTGTGAAATATTTTCGCAAGTTTTTATTAAATCTGAAAAAAAAAATAGGCAAAAACTTTAAAATTATAATTTTTATTCATTTTTTATTTTAATTTTTAATTTTGCACTTAATTTTAAAATTAATAATTAGCCAAATAGCCAAATATTATACGAATATTTTAAATAAATATTTTATTTGAATCTGACATCCGAAATTTGATTTGATTTAGATATAAATTTAAAATTATTTTCGGTGATACTTGAATTGGAGATATAAATTATACCATTTGATGCAAGAAGAGTATGAAACGAGTTCTGTATTTCGGCCTCACTGCGCAAATCACACAGTTTCGTGTCCAATTTACAAACTGATCCTTTGTAAGTAGTACAATCCCTCGACGATTCACATATATATCCAGTTTTGTACAATTCACCTTTTTTTGCACTAAGAAGAACTCCAAAAATTAAAAATTTATATTTAAGAATTTATAAATTAGGAATGTACTAAGTTTTCAGTGGAATTTTCTTAAATCATAAAAAAAGCTAAATAGTAAAATTGTTAAAACTTGCAAATTTGATATTGTCAAATTAAAGATGAAAAATCTTAAAAAAATTTTGATTATTTAGAAAAATATTTAAAAAGTCGACTAATTTTTGTATCGAAATAATTTGGAATTAGTACATCGGCCAATATTGACAAACTAAAAACATTTCCTGTATCACTTTATTTTTAGCATCCACTTTTTGGCACTCATTTATGCCACAACCTACCAGAAGTGTTTGACCAAATATGATCTGAAATATAACTATATTATCATTTTTTTATTGTATTACCATATTAAGAGAAAGATAGACGAAGAAAAAGAAAACCTGGTTTCGACTACTGTTCAATTTTAACCAATGAATTAACGCCTTGTAGAAATAATCGCCTAAATTATAAATTATCATTGTGACCTTTCCTTAACAATGACTAAATATTGAATAATGGACGACTCTTATAAACCTGCATTTTTTCTGAGCTGGCTGTCTAGTCATTATCTACTTTTACCAATTACTTTTCATAAATCTGGCATAAAGCCACGCGTTGGTGTTAAAGCCATGTTGAGAGCAAAGCAAGACGGAGTAAGCGGAAATGGAATAAATGTAAAATAAAATTGAAAATAAGAAAAAAAGATGGCAAAAATGGACTAAAGCTACAATTTTATAAGGCATTAAGGTCTGAATAGCATTGTTAAGACTCTTTCTAAATGTGGCGACTAGTAAAATAAGAACAATTTCACATGCCGGTAATATAGTGTAATATTTGATATTTCTAATGGAAACTATGAGAAAAGACATTGAACCCACAAATAAATATGAAATTCAAGTAGAAATTATAATATAATATGGGTAGGGCAATAATAGGGCAATTTAATTTAAGGGCCAAACAAAATCTTTAAGTGGTAGTCTCTGTTCGACTTTTCCAACTCTTAGTGGTGGTGAAAGATACAAGGCTTAGTGGTTTTGGTTTTGGATAAAAAATGGATTTTCAAAGTCAGGACTCCACCTTAAGGTGCAGGTTTATTTCAGGGCACAAGGCAAGAGAATCGAACCCATAGCGTTTGCCACAACCTTCAATTGAACCCTCAATTGAAGCATATTTGAATCTAAATGCAAAAATGCCTCCCAAAATTTATAATTGTTGCCAGAAAAATTTTTTTTACCTATCATGCATACTAATTTTATTTTTGGTAGAAATTATAACAAATATTAGAGTTTAAGATAAACCATTATTTTTCGATTCATTTCGATTTTGTTCATAGATGCTTTCTCCAATTTTTTCTGCAAAACGATCCAATTCTCTACTTGTTGTACAGCTATTCGCTCTCTCATGCGCTAATTTTTCCAGTTCACAATCCCATTTCTAAAATTCTTTCATAAAAATTTTCACTTTTAATTTTTATCACCAATGGGGTAAAATAATATATAACCAGGACAAATAACCAACCAGTGCGTATATATTTGTTCCATTTTCGTATCCTTCAATATAACCGCGTGCAAGATTCGATCGAATTTTATTATGAAATTCAGTAATGAATTGTCGTAAACTGCTTGTAATGTTCGATTCGCAAACCGTTTCATTATTAAACACGAATGAATCTAAAATTGAAACGATTTTATCGCAAAAAAGAAGCTATAAAACTGCAGTAATTTTTTGTAAACATAAATAAATGTAAATAAGAAAGTTCAAAAAAAGTTGATCAAAAATCAAGATGAGGTAAAAAATTGTGGCATATCCTTGGAAAGTTTTTTATTTAAATTTAAACTTCCTTAAATTCGGATTTTTAATATCCAGAAAATCCATGATTTTCCGTCATTAAATGCCAAACCGCTGCATTCTTTCAACCTTACCATTTAGGAATATCGATGAACCTCAAATCCCTAAATCGCCAATAGCCCTCTTCTTATAGGCAGTTACACCCCTTTTAACATCACTGAAAACCTCAGTACCTTTTAGTGGAGAGAGGGTGAGAGGATTATGTGATGATAGAAAGAAATTAATATAAAGGAAAAGCTGAATATATATTAACTTACTTGTTGTTATCACAAAAAGGAGAATTAGGACCACCATGGCACCAGTAGTGTTTCTATACAGGCATTCTTGGAATTGCATACGGTATAAATACCATTCATCTTCGATAATGCTCATTTGCATTTGTGCGATGGAAAATTAAAATCTGTGCGAATTATACAATAAAAATCAGTTTTAAAAATGAAATTAAAGTTTAAAATGATTTATAAAAATTATACAATTATATTTGCCTTCATTTGAAATTGAGGAGTACAACTTCAAATTGATGTGGTCATTCTTTCTGTTGGCAGTTGGTTCATCAAGTTCGGTTTTACTCAGACGCAAAATTCATCCACAATTTTAGGGCAAAAATTTATTGGTAGTATAGATTTCGAAATTAAAACTAAGAAATATAAACAAAATTTTTGCAGAATTTTTGCAATTTTGCAAAATTTCAGAAAAGTGGAAAACCATAAATTAAATCCTGAAAATCCTGAAAAAAATCCATCGGATGCAAGTTTTTCATTTCTTTCGAAAAAAAGAAGAGGACCCTAAGAAATAAACCAATTTTAAATTTTAAATTCTGCGCGCTGGAAAATGACTTGTAAGAGCGAAGTTTACCGATATAAAATAAATATCATGAAATTTACATATTATCATGAAATTCTTTATTCGTCAACTAAAATCGCAAAATTCAATAAATTTAGAATTAAATCGGATTAACAACTTTAACATTCCCAAATTATTATAGTTTTCATACAAAAATAATTTTCAATTTAGTAATATTCATAGGGATAGAATGGCTCAATGGGTTATTGCTCAATTGGAAGTGCCGATGCTGTGGTTCGATTCCCCGCACCAGTAATCCGGATGGTGCTGGCGACTCATTTGTATTTCTATCGCTAAGGGACCTGGCATATTACTCAATGCAACAAGCCAGTGGAGCGAGTTTAACCAGCAATGGTGAGGACTCTTTAAAAAAAAAATCATAGCATTTATTTGTTGTAAGGATTTGGCATTTTTATTAAAACTATTTTACAAATGTATCAAAAAAATACTGAAATTCTAGTCGTTAGAAGATTTTTCTATTAATAAAACGATGAAAACAAAAAAACTGGTCAACTATTACATATGGATGAAATGTTGTGTACTGAGAAAAGATCATAGGATTATAGTACTCTATAATCTTATCATCACTATTTTAGCGCTAAATCTATACTAATACTCTTCCTTCATCCAGAAGGAGTTCTTGGTCTAGATGCTTTGATAGCTTTCGTTACCATAATCTTTCACGTCTGAAAAATTTCTTAGAGGAAATAAATAAACGATAATTTTTAGGGAAGATTACAAATAAATAAAAGTATGTACGATATGCGATTGAGTTGTGGAATTAAAATTGAAGAAGTGTAGATAAATATCATGGATAACTTCACTGTTTTGAGACATTTCAAAAAAGTTGAAATGAACTCGAACGAATTTAATTTAATGATTTTTTACAAGAAAAACGTGAAAAACTGAAAAAGTTCAAGCTAAATTGATGTAATGACTGGGAGCCATTTTGGAATGCCGACACTTGGAAGTTCAAATCTCTGTACGAGAACTTATTTAAACTTATCGTTATAGCTGGGTGACTGGGTGGTGTATTTTTACTGTCAAGTGAGTCTCTGGCACAATTTCTGTCGGAGCGAGTTTAACTATGAACTATAGAAATGGTGAGAGTTCTTATTAAAATTTCTCTTACTGGCTAGATAACGTAACTTTTTTTAAGTTCTTTCTAAGTTGTTCAGGGCAACTCTTCCTCAACTCTCAAAATTTTTGTTTATATAAACTACTGAACTGTTAAATATCCAATTTTTTTTAAAAACAGTGTAATAATAGTCCCTATACCCTAAACTTTCTTAAAGAGGAACTTCCTTATGTGGGAACGGGGGTTTCGAGAGAGGATCATAAGGTTTTCACATTGAGAATATATAACGGTTTTTAAAGGAAAGAATGCAAGGTTAGAGAAAGTTCCTTAAAATCTCAAGTGTGCATTAAAGGCACTGTCGAAAACTGCTTAACATCTCTTGGTGCCTATGATATTTTATTGAAAATCTTCCCATATACCTTAATATCTTTAACATCTCCAAAATCATTTTATTCTTTTTTAATAAAGCATTGATGATATTAAACCAATTTTTACTGTTTGAAATTCTTCTTATTATTATGATTTTAGACGTTAAAGTGGCGACTTGCGACTGGCCTGAAGAGCATGGCAAGATGCCATAGTCCTTGCCAAGTTTCTCATATTTAATAGGAATTTTATAAAGGAACTTAAGGAAAGTTTGAAGGTTAAAGTACATAAAAATCCAGTGAGAATCCATATCACCAGAACCCTTTCAATACTCCTCAATACTCTATCAAATGCTGCAGTATACCAGTTTTGCCAAAGCCCATAAATTGCATATCTTTAAATTCTAGTAGACTACATTAATTCTAGCTGCCATTTTCTATTATATCTCATCGCATATTGAAGACCTCGATCGGTATTATTGAGATCCTTTTTTTGAGTAGCAGAAATATTCTATTAAAATTTTTGCAAATCTTGTCAACAAAGCCATTTTTTATCTACCTCATGAATACATATTTCTCTACATATGGTACAGAATCGAGAGATTTCGAAATGCCGCGTTTCAATAACCAGTGAAGTCGACTTCAAAACTATAGTTGGGCCTGTTAGAAAAAATATAAAAGGGACTCCGAGATGTTAAAGAGGAGGTTATAAGAATTTGAGAAATGCAAAAAGATCCGGAAGAGCATAATGTACTTTCGAAAATGGTAGCCAAATTTTTTGGACATAGTAAATTATTGGATGGATTGGTAAGAAGATTCGTCTAGCAAACGGCAGAATTACTTTCAAACCTTGGCATACTCTTCAACTTCCTCAGAATCTTAAATTTTCGCCTTACTGCTGCCCTATCCCTATAATTCTTCCAAATATAGCCTCACTTTTTATTGAAAGACTTAAGCCATTGGCAGATATAGAATATCAGATTCGAGTATTTTGCGAAATGCCCAACACGTGAATTTTAAAAAACTTTAGCACTTTAACAATCTAAACCCCCTTCGAAATAGCAGATTTATAAATTTTTTATGAGTTATTGAGGTCGTATTCGAATTTAATTACTCAAATTTAATTAAAGGCTCATGTGGTGCAAATATGAGGAAAAATTAGTGAATCTATATTCTATTAAATGTGATATTCGATTGGCTATTTCGGCTGGCTGGCTTTGGTTACCAATTGGTTAAATTGGTCAAACTTGAATGGAGATATCTTATATAATTCGATTAAAAGAAGGCACATAAGGCATTGTTTCAAAAATTTTGAGAAACTCTTTATTTAAAAATATTAAATAGCAAATACCAAACATTTTCTGTAATAAATTAATAGAACCTCGGAAAATCTAAATTTCCAAAAAAATAAAAATATTGAAAATATGAAAAATATGTAATTTTTATGCACTGAAAATTTTGCTTCACTTTCGGCAAATTTCTAAATAAGTATCACAGTAGGAATTTGGCAGCTACAATCTTCGTCTTGTGCACAACTAATTGCATAACTGTAAAGTTGACTGGGATCGCTCCTAAAAATAACGGAAGAAATTAGACATTAGAAAAAATAGGAAATATCTATCATTCACTTCAAAAATGATCATAAGGAAAGAAATTTAAGCCAAATTCCTTACGTCGGCTAGTAGCGGCAGACTATATCAAGTACCATTTGAAGATTCTCATCAATGCATATTTCGATGCCGCAACCTATGTTTGTGGTTTCAAATTGCTAAATTGAAAATTGAAAATTCTGAATCTGAAAATTAGTACTAAAATAATGAAATGCACATCTAATTTATAGTTTTTAATTTGGGCAAAATAATAAAGCGAATAATTTAAATTTATCAAATAGTTATCAGATTTCTAAAATTCTTACAAAAATTTTGTTTTTTCATCAAATATATTCATTTCAAATCATAAAATTGAATTAAAACTGCTAAGGCTATTATTTAAAACAATTTAAAATACCTTTTAAATTATTTTTCATTCTTTGAAATATTCAATTCCCCAACTATTAATACGAATAACCGAAATTCCTCAAAGAAATTTAATTTTTATAATGGAAAAGAAACCGATTCCCCACCAACCATCGATTGCCTAATCAGTTTTTTGACCTAAAATTAAAATAAAATGGAAATCAAATAATTAAATGTATTTTTCAGAATGCAATGGAAATAACTATGAAATGCGAGGATTTCGCGAGAAAATATTCATCGAATTCTGGGTGTCATTCTGATTAAAACGAAATTTTGGAATTTTATTAATTATTTTTAAAAATTGGTTAAAAACCGAGAAATTTAGTCAAATCGCTGAATTCGAAATTATGGATTATCGTTCTGTGATATTTATAAATGGCATCGCGAGGAGGCTCAGCACATTTTTCAGCTTCCGTTTAAGCTTTTTTTTCCAATTCGCAGCTCTAATTCTAATTTATTTTATAAATTTTTAAATTAAATAAAATTAAATAAATTTAATAAACAAATTATAAATTTTTTGCCTAAAATATTTTACTGCAATAAAAAGATATTTTAATAAAATTTATACATTCTTTTTTAAAGAAAACTATTGAAAATATCGTAGAATTTATGATTCTAAATTGTTTTATTAAATCATTTTTCCAAATTCAACAAATGCAAATACCAAATTGAGGAAGAATTCAACATTTTCGAAATTGTAAAGACTGATAATGCCCTTTACAATATCTTTCTTGCTATATTCTTCATATTTCTTCATTTTTCTTGATGAAATGGATACGGTAAATGCTACGAAGTTTTGTCCCATTGCAGCTGCTTTTGAAGCATTTTAATATTTTAAAATATTAGAAGTGTTTGAATATTAAAATTATTTACAACTTATATAGTAGGCTATAAGGGTAAGGTCATTTAGCTATTCAATTGAGAGCTTATATATATATATATATATGTGCTGCATAAATAAGAAATACCAGAGAATCACTATAAAATATGAAAAATAATATTCGTTCATGTTTGTTGTTGCTCGACATCAACTGTTGCTCGTAACAAAAGCAGATCTATGGCACCGTATCAAAAATGAGAAGAAATCTTTTGATTTTATTCAAAAATAGTAAGTAGAAAATAGCAAATATTATTTTCTATAAAAAATTGTTAATACAACAGTCGAGATGCCCCAACTTCTCTTGAAAAATTAAAAATATTCCAGTCATTAACTGGTGAAAATATAAAAATCACTGAAATTATAAGTGGTTATGATTGCTCGCTGAAGATTTTGCTTTACGTTCAGCTTCCACGCATATCCCCAAATCAGTATCACAGAATGAATTAGGTAACGAATTACAATCTCTATCTCGTGCGCAGCTGATGGCATAACTGTAGAGTTCGTTTGGATCGCTTCTGAAAATTGAAAAAAATTTAGAAGAAATACGAAATATTTGCCGGAAGCACTCATTTCCTAAATAACTACTGGTAAATAAATTTATGATTCACTGTAGAAAGATAATCATAAATCATAAACTGAGAATGTTTTAAAGAATTTAGATTAGTACAAATAAATCATAAAATAAGTATAAAATAAGTGAAATAAAGCTTCTCACGTCGGCCAGTAGCGGCAGACTATATCAAGTACCATTTGAAGATTCTCATCAACACATGTTGCAATGCCGCAACCTATTTCTGTGGCTTCAAATTGTGCAATCTGTAAATTACTACAATATTAACAAAAATATGCATCCATAAACTAATTTTCTAAACTAATTTACAAATTAATTTTTCGACAAAAATAAAGCGAATATTTTAAATTTATTAGATAGTTACCAATTTTTAAAATATATGACAATTTTATTTTATCAATAAATATATCAATAAGTTAAATCGCAAGACTGATTTAAAACTGATAAACTTTATTTGATCAATAAGATTGTTTAATTATAAGGTTGTTTAATTATTTGAAATAATTTGAATAACTTTCAAATTATTTTTCATTCTTCTTTCATTCATATTTTGAAATGTTCTCTAATATCCGAAATTTCTCAAATAAAAATTTTTTAATGAAAAAAGCTAATTACATCGATATTATCGTCAACCATTTTATTCCCCCACCAACTACTGATTGCACGATCAATTTTTTGATCTAAAATTGAGATAGAAATGAAAAAATTAAATATATTTTCAAAAATATAATGGAAGTTATTTCAAAATGCCGGAAACTTAATGAGAAGGTATTCTAGGAAATGTTTAAATATCATAAAAATATCATTCTGACTAAATAAAATTTTGGATTTTTGTTAGTTAAAAAAATTTAAAAAATTATTTATTTAAAAAATTGGTTAAAAACCGAGAAATTTAGTCAAATCGCCAAATTCGAAATTATGGATTATCGTTCTGTGATATTTATAATTGGCATCGCGAAGAGGCGCAGCACATTTTTCAGCTTCCGTTTGAGCTTTTTTTTCCAATTCGCAGTTCCAATCCTAAACAATAAATTTTTAATTAAATAAAATAAAGAAATTATGAATTTTGCGATAAAATTTTTACAAAATTTACCAAAAAGAAATTTAAAACCTCGCCTAAAACTTTTAAAATTAGCATAAAATGAATTATTCCAAATCATTATTTTTTTCGATAAAATAAAATATACGATAAAAATACCAATTTAAAGAAAAACTCTTCTTGAATATGCTCGAAATTATGAAGACTGATGATGCCATTTGCGGCTTTTTTTCGATATTCCTCATGTTTCTTTTTGAATTGGGAAGGATAAGTGCTGAGAAGTTTTGTGCCGCTACAGTTATCTTTAAAATATTTCCAAAGTATTTGCATAATTATTTAGGAGAGAAATGGATGAGCGCAAAAAACAGTAATAAGTTTGATAAGTTAGTTTACATTAGTTTACGTCTTTGAAAGAATTTCCAATTAATTCGAAGCATATTCGTGAATGCATTGCAAAAAACATCTCTAAAATCTTTGAGTCATAATAAAATAAGCCATTTCCATAGACTTACATTGATCTTCAGCTGATTTTTGAATAATTTCTTCGCCACTTTCCGATGAGTTAAATATCCCTTCTGTTGAAGGAATATTAGTTACGTTTTCGGTATTGGAAGCATCTAAAATAAATTCAAATAACATTGGATGGTGCAAATCGAATCTAAAAAGCAGAAAATGGAACTTCTAAAGAAATTAAACAATAATTTCAATGAATTCGGAGGATTTTCTTGAAGGAATGGATTAGAATGAATTCCTTTAAACTATGGACTTTTCTGATTGTCAGATGTTCTGCATATTTTAGTCTTTTTTCCTGTTTTCTTTTCGATTATTTTGTAATTATCTATTGTTCATATTCATGTTGAAGCACATGGCTATAGGCGTTGCTTTATCGAATATTTAAATGACCTGTTATTGGAGTAGTCTGGAGTAGCATTGCGTGAAGGGGATTAGGGAACGTGAAATTGTCTGAACTCTGGCATAAACTCATCTCAGAATCACAAAATGATTGGTTGTAAGCATCGCAGTAATTATCTGCCTCGCAAGATGAACCTTGTCGATATAAAGGACCAGGTGTCGCCCTCAAAACAATTTTACATTAAATTTTTAAACGATCCAATATGGACTCAACAAAACGATCAATGATTTTACTTGGGCCAGTATTGACAAACGATAACCACCTCCGATTCACGACATTTACGAATACCGCAGCCGATTAACAAAGTTTTCCCATATAAAATCTAAAAATTGAAAGATAATGAACAAAAAAATTTTTTTCAATTTTCTGTTTATAATCTTATAGTCATATGATGGATAATGATGGAACCTGTACAACTTGATGACTCTCTTGGGTTCCATTCGCCCAGAAATTGAGTGCTTTATCAAACCATTGATCTAGGAAAATTTTTAAGTTTGAAACATATATAAGCATCAATGAAATGTACTTTGCATGATGTAATTTCCTTTTATTCATACTGATAAAAGTTTTTAATGCCTTTATGCTTAAATAAGGATTTAATTTGAAAATTTCGTACCACTGAACTGATTACCTGTGGTGAATTTTCCGTTGGTCCTAATTTTAAAAACATTTTGACCCGTTTCAAATGGCACATGAATATCTTGTTTTCGCGACATTGTACAGTCATCTGCATAAACATCTGCATATTGCTGCGCTAATCCTTCTAGTTCACAACTCCATTTCTCAAATAAATGAAGGATAATAATAGGATGGGAATTATATATAAATAGAGAAAATATGAGAAGATTCTCATATTAGAATATCCCTTGCTATAGCTTTTATCAATAAATAAAAATTTTACAGAATTTTCTAATAACTGGTGACCGAAAGAAGTAAATTAGACGACAAAGATATTGTAAGATAAAAGTAAAGTACCAATGAATAAATATTCGATCCCGAAGGAAGAAATTTAAAATCGCCATATGCCAATTGAGATCGAATTTCATTGTGATCAAAGAGTATATCACTGCGCGTATCATCGCTCATAATTTTTTTATTGCACAATTGAGCGGTGGCTATAATAAATGATAATAATACTGTCGAGGATATACGAAAGGTTGGGGGTCAAGTCGCCTAAAGAATAATATTTAACACTTCGTATTGCTACTAATATCATTGCATTAGGCCATTTTTAACCGCATTTTCACCCTATATCTTGAGGTTAAATTAATTTTTCTTACTAATTTTTCCAATTTTTATAAATTTATACATTTAAGGATCAATGATAATGATAATAATTAGACTAAATCTCAAAAATTATCTCTAATAGTGAAGAAAAAAAATTTGTAACAGGGTTTAAAGAGGTCCAACATATTTGCCACACAAAACTATAATATACATTATAGGCTATCCAATAAAATAAAGCAAATATAATATTCATTCAACTGAACTTTTTTCGAGCATAATACCACTGTTTTAGAGTAATTTGTTTACAAGATTAGATTATATATTACAAAATAGTAGCATCAATGAAAGTGCTGTGGAAAGCCTCTATGGTCTATGAAAATATTGAATAACGTACCATTATTATTTTCGCTATCATTGTGATGTGTTGTTGAATCATCTTCTATAAAAGGATTGCTGACAGTAATATAAATAATCAATATATTAAGGAAATTTTCGGAAAATCAGTGGAATATTTTAGGAAATTTCTAATGAAAATCGGTGGAAATTTTTATAATTTTTTTCTCATCTCTTCGAATTTTTAAAATTTGCACTTGGCTTTGCAAATAATATTTGCGCGGATATATTTATTTAAGTGAATAAATATTTAAATAAATAATAAATATTCGATTTTCGAAATATGGTTCAAACTATATTTAAATTTAATTTGTTACCTAAATTTGGAATATTAATAGTGCCATTTGATGCGAGGAAGGTGCGAAACGAGTCGTGTATTTCGGTTTCGCTATGCAAATCACATAGTTTCGTATTCAAATTGCAAACTGAATCTTTATAAAGAGTACAATTCTTCCATGATTCACATCCGTTGCCAGTTTTATGTGATTCGTCTTTTGGTGCTCTAAAAAAATAAGAAAAATTAGGAATCTATGTTAAAAAATTGTCGATTATAATCAGTGTTATGAAAGAAAACTTAGAACTTATGGTACACTTAGAATTTGAAAAATTTGATGAAAGTTGAATATTAAAACACATATTTATAGATTCATAAATCATAAAAACTACATAATAAGCTCTGCAATGGCAAAAGCAAATTTCACATTGTTAAGTTAAAGTTGGAAAATCAAAACAAATTTTTTGAAAGATGGACTAATTTATAATGGAACAATTTAAAATTAGTACTTTGGCCAATATTGACAAACAAAGAAAATTCCATACGCCACTTTGTTATCTTCTTGGCACTTACTTATGCCACAGCCTAGAAGAAGTGTTCGGCCAGATATAATCTGGAATAATAACATATTTATTGACTTGACAGATGCGAAAAAAAAGTGCGAAATAAAACACTATAAAAAAATATACCTGGTTTCGATTATTGCTATCATAGATGGTCGCCCAAGAAAACATTGACTTGTGGATGTAATGAACTAAATTATTTCACAAATTTATTGCGATCTTTTCTTAATACTAATTTTTCTAGCATGCGCTTTTTCTAGAATGAGTCTGTCCAGCGTAATAACTACGTGGTAATACAAATTTGGTTAAAGTGGATGGAAATGGAGCAAATTAATGAATTAAAATTTGAAAGAAACTTTGTAGTAAGTAGAATAAGGCATGGGCTGCCGTATAGCACCTATTTTCGTTATAGGCATCTACATATAAGGTAGGATCATATACATTAATAATAGTCGAGATTTGCATGAAGGATCAAGATGATCGCAAAACTTCCTCTTTATCAGGCACCAGCCATATAGTTATTAGCTGGCTTGGAAGCGACCAAAACAGACCGAGCTCTTTCAGGCATGATAATTCCTGCATCATCTTTTTTTTTACATAATTGTCCGAAACACCTTGGTTACATTATTTTCTCTTGCACTGAGCCAAATATAATAATTTGAATTGAAAAATCATGGTTCCGAAAAATGGGCGATTCCCCACCTGATTTTGATTTAGATAAAATGCAGATCAATGCTTAGCTTCCGAAAGTTGTGGGTTTCATGGAGCACGCATTAATAATGTAAGAAGCAATTCTCTTCTCTTTCCAGGTACAGTCGGAAAGTATAGATTCCCATAAGCAAATAGGAACTTCCTGACAGGTTGGATTTAAATTTGTAATCATCTATGAAATTTAGAAGACAGAAGAGCAATGAAATTTTATATTGATCGTAATAACTTTTGTTATCGCAATTAGATTGCAAAAGTTCAATCCACTATCTCAAAAATGGATCGGAATTAAACCCATACGCCCTAAAGCGAAGCAATAATTATATATATAATTGTGTCAGCCGATTATTGCTAGTGTTTTTAAACTCATTTTTTTTAAACAAAACACATTATTAAATGCTATTGACGAAAAAAAAAATTAAAATTTGGCAAACCAATAGTTTCTGGATTATTAGTAAAATGCTGATAAGCGATTTCCCCAATTTTATCAGAAAACTTATGCAATTCTGTATTTTTTCCACAACTATTCGCTCTTTCCTGCGCTAATTTCGCTAGGTCACAATCCCATCTCTATAATTTCGGGCATAAATTTTTCTTTATTATTCTCATCATTGAGATAAAAAATGAAGTAAGATTAACTAACCATTGTGTATATGTCTGCCTCACTTTCATACCCATGAAGATGACCGTGTACAAGCTGTGAACGAATCTTATTGTGAAATTCAGTAATGTATTCTCTTAAACCGCCTGTTATATTCGATTCGCAACTTAACTCATCAGTTCGAGGATCGTAAGCCAATGAACCCAAATTTTAAAAATTTTATCTCCTTGATAAAACTACGATAAATGAAATCAAAAATTTAGTCGTTATGTTTTAAAAAAAAATTTAAAAATTGTAGAATCGCAGTGAGGTGCAATATTTTGTCATTCGCTGTTCTTCAGATGGTATAAGGAGGTTTTAATTTCTCCTTTAAAAATTTCGCCAAGCTCGTATAGATTTTTTATTAGCCAGGAAATCTCTTATTTTCCTTCGATAAACTCTACATGCTTTTTCGACTTTTACCGCTTAGAAACATCTGAACATTAAATCTCTTAATACTCAACAGTACTTTGATCATCCTTGGAACCAGCTGTAATCCCTTGAACATCACTAAGATTTTCTAGCTCAATTATAAAGATACTGGAATTCTGACAACCTTTTGCAGAGCTGTCAAATATTTTTAAAATGAGAGAGAATAATAAGTCGTTGATCAACTTACTTGTTGTTACTGTAGAGAAAATCAGGATTAGCGTTGGGAGCGCCATATAACCACCAAAATGCTATTGCTCGCGAATTTCAGAGCTTTTATAAGAACCTGTTTACCATATCATATTATAAGCATTTTCTTTCAGCTTTAATCAACGAGGTTAAAGTAATTTGCATAAACTGAAGACTGAAGACCAAACGAATTAGAAATGACTGACGATGGAAACAACATTAATAAAAATTTGTAAAGGCTTATCTTATAGCAGAAAAGTAAATTTCCATAAATTTATCGTCAGCAAATAAAGCACAAGTGAAGTGTTAAATATCTCAGAACGATTTTTATACTTTCATAATTGAAATCCAGCCTAAAAATGCTGTCCCAACTATATGAAATATTCGTGCCAAAGCTTCAAAAGCTCAAAGGTGTTGCAAATGCTGCAGCTAGAAATAGCTTTCCTTCTTCTTTGCCTTTCGTTGAAATCGCTGAGAAATTAGCCTTAAAACGAGAGTTTGGATATATTTGGAAGACTTCGGATATATTTAGTGCCACTGCAATATTTATTTTAAAATTTTTCTCAAATATTTAACCAAATATTGATTTGTTCATTAAGTAAAGTTACGTTTTGGCTTGTAAGCAAAATTCATGTGAAATTTCATGAAAACAAAAAAACTTTCGATACTTTTAATATTTCAAGTCAATTTCAATAGCTTAAATTTTTAAACAATAAAAAAAAGCATGAAATAGAATTTATCAGTTTTTCTAAAAATATTTATTTTGCAATTATAGAGATAAAATTTAGATCATCGACCATCTCGGAAACGAAAACTTTAAAATTTCATTTATCGAAAAAGGATTAATGAGAGCGAGGACTATCCAACATGAAATGAATTTTGCATATTATCAATATAAAATGCTATAATGAAATTCTTCGTATGTGAACCAAAATGAATAAGCAAAATCCGATTTGCGCTAAATGTAAAATTAAATCGGATTAGTAATGTCAAATAAGAATTTCCTATGCTTTCATAAAATTTGCAATTATTTGTGTCCCCAGAAGGCTGGAAGCATTTGTCCTGGAAGCCAGCCTAACTGTAAACGGTGAGCATCTTCTTTTAATAATTCGTACCATTATTTTTCCATTAAGACGTCAAAACCAGCTGTAATTCTTTCAAATGACAAAATTCTCTGAATCTTCACTATTAATACTCACTATTAACCCATTATTAAATGGTACTACATCTTTTAACTTCAAACCACATAGCAATATTTCCTCAACTGATGTCATGGATAAAAAAAGGTCTTTTAATAAAATCAAAAGATAATAACGAGAGAATTTGCAGTCAAGTTGAGCACAAATTTTGAGAAAATACAATGGTGCATTAACGTTCAACGAGCCTCAATATTCCAACTATGCAACCAATTCTTTTCCAAATATCGTCAATGTCTTCCAAACTTCCTGCACTTTTTTTATAATGATGTAATAGTGATATAAGTAGCTTTTAAAAGCATTAGAAACTAAAAGCTTTTTGGAATTCGAAAATTCGGATCTAACTGGCTGCATTATCCTACTATATTTATTCTTGAAATTTTTCCATATATTTGATCAGATATAGATTTATTTATTACGCAAATTCAGGTTTGATTATAAGCAAATTGCATATAAAATTAAAAAATTGAAATTATAATTAAAGATTAAAATTAAAAATATTGTATGTAATGAAATAAATTTGCGTTTTATCATGAAATTTGCCAATGAAAATAAATCGCGAAATTCGATGTGTGGTAAATTTAAAAGTAAATCGGATTAATGTACATTTATAAGATTTTCCCGAATTATTATAGTTTTCTTAGGGAAATAATTTTCATATTTTCGTAATCACCAACTAACTTTTAATGCAGAAAAAGCATATTTTTATTGCAAAAGCATACTTTTATTTATTACAAATTTAAGCAATTTTATATTCATATTCTTTTTATTGCAAAAATTAATAATTTGCGAGTTGTTAGATAATCAATTTTTTCAATTTTCACCAATACTTTTCTGAAAAAAGCGATAAAAATGTTCGTAAAGAAATGAAAAAGGAAGTAGAATATTGTATTAGTATTGCATTTCAATGAAAATATTGTAATAAATTTCAAAAAGGTTTAAATGTTTTATCTATAAATCCTTAAATTTTTAAAGCTATGATTGTGCTAATAAAGAATGCAAATCATAAAAAATCAAAAAGAATTCTTTTTTTAAATAATGCCAAATAGTATGGAGAAAATGCGCTTTATTATCAAATTTTTTTAAAAATTTCAATATTTTATGAATATAAATTATTTGAAAATTTATTATTGCATTTCAATGAAAATAGTGTAATAAAATAATTCATTATAATATTTAAATAAAATGTAATATTTATTTAAATGAAATAATAATAATTTATAAAAATTATTATAACAAAATAATTTATAAAAAAAACGAGAATGACAACGAGAAAGTCCTAGAAATTGAAATATATTTGAATAAATAATACATAGATAATTAATTGCGAAAAAAGTTAAAGCAGCTCGAGCAATTTTAATATGTACGATATGTTAAAAGTTGTTGTTCCGGAAGTTCAGTACTTCGATTCCCGATAGGAACATACATATCTCTCCACGAAATAGTGGCGCTTTACCCTTTCTACTATCGCTAAGATCTTTGGGTAAATCTATTTGGTCCAAAGAGTTAGCGAAACAAGCAATGACCAGAAATGACGAACGTTCTTGGGAGAAATTCAATTTCGCTTAAAGAAGCCTACAACTATTTTTGGTACTTAGAAAGTGTACAGACAAATAACTATATCAAATCAATATGTTAACCACGCAATGAATAACGAATACAAATAGCAATAATGAGAAACGAACCAGAATTACTTTTTGGAAGATTCCAACCAATAAGAGTAGCCAAAATGGTGAACCCTACAAAAAAAAATTTACTGCTTTCAGTACCTTAGGAACCATGAAAGAATTTGTTCGAGTAGAAGACAGCACAGATTAGGATGTTAAAAAGGTCACCAATTTCCAATTTTAAAATTGTTCATTTAATCATTTCTACTATTTTATTTATTTATTTTTGTTATTTTTGTTTCGTGCGAGAGAAAGAGCTCATCTATTTTCACCAAGAACTACCAATTTTAGCTGAAATTATTTCAATCTCTATTTCCTAATCCAGTGGTTCAATGAATTATTATTGCCATTTCGAAGCGTCTATAGGGGACTTATAGAGTGGACTTGAGTTTCAAAAATTTAATTTCTGAGTAACGAGTCCTGTATTTCTATAGCCAAATGTCTAATCATACAAGCCAGTAGAGTAAACTACAATGTTGAGAAAACTTTTATGAGAACTCCTAGAAAAGCTCCTCACACTATTTCAGTTCATATACCGTATAAGCCTCTAAGTTTCTCAGGATTACTTACAACCCTATAGAGCCTCGAAGATCCAAAAGGGTGGTAGCAAAATTTGACAGTCTATATTAAGACGATATTCAGACGACATACAAGGATTGACAAGGATTTCATAGATTAGGCATGTTTTGGTGAAAATAGATGTTTTCAGCCAATACACTGTGATATTATAAGTAATAAATGCTGTAATTTTAATTTTATGATCAAATCAAATCAGCTCCATTCAGTCAATGCCATCGGTCCTTCAGATCTCAGAGCTCGTCGAATTCTTTGAATTTTCTACCAAATTGCGTTGTTTGATGTGAAATAAGGAGTGTTGTAAGGTAGAAGTCGTAAATGAATAAATGATTCTGCAGGATTGCTCTCTGGTGTCATTTTTCTTCGATACCATGTATCAGATGGTTGTGCTCCACAAATTTCGTTAAGTACATTCGTACGTTTGTACAAACATATGTACATTTTACTAAGGTGCAATCTTTAAACTTATGAGATTTTTTTTGCTCATTGCATTAATAAAAATTTAACTTGTCTTTAATCAAAAGGTAACCCGTGGTACTTAATTCAGTCGATTTTATTCCTTTCGGAAACAATCTCAGAAACAAATCGATCACATATTTTTAGAGAATTAAAATGCAAAAGAATTAGCCAAATAAACGATAAAGCGAATTTTTAGCATACAATCCTTCCTGTCATAAAAAAGAATTTTTATGCCAAAAAGTAAGGTGAACTTATTTCTGAAATTTTTTATTACAATAGAAGTAAAAGATATCAGAATTTCTCTCCCGTGTGGCATGATAATTTTTCTGATTTTGAGCAACGATTTAATATAAATCTGAACGAAGCAAACTTACCCTTATCTTATGGTTCGCTTGAATCGCATGTGCTCTATTCAAATGAGGGAAATTATTTTGATTTTATTGAAAAATATTAAATAGCCAACATTATTTTATACGATAAATTAACACAACAATCAGATTGTTTAATTTTTGTAGAAGGTTGAAATGGGCAAATGTATGAAAAATCACAAAAGTTATAGTTTTTTATTCACTGAAGATTCATTGCTATTCATTACTTTCCATTATTTATCTTCTACGCAAATTTCTAAATCAGTATCACAGTAGGAATTAGGCAGCGAGCTACAATCTTCGTCTTGTGCACAACTAATTGCATAACTGTAAAGTTGGTTGGGATCGCTCCTAAAAATAACGGAAGAAATTAGAAAAAATTAGAAATTAAAATTAGAAAGAATAAATATCTAACGGAAGCAAACTTGAATCGCAAAGAAAATGATCATAAGGAAAAAAATTGAATCAAAATTTTTTTTACGTCGGCCAATAGCGACAGACTATATCAAGTACCATTTGAAGATTCTCATCAACACATATTGCGATGCCGCAACCTATGTCTGTGGCTTCATACTGTGCAATCTGAAAATTGCCCATTATATATTGAAATAACGAAAATACACGTTTAGATTTTTAGCAAAAATATTTTTTCGATGAGAATAAATTGAATATTTTCATACGGCAATATTATTCAAAAATTTGGATAATTTAAGTCACATGCCTTTAAGGTGATAAGGTGATATAAAAAATGATATTAAGTGAAAGAATTTTGAACTTTCGGATCTTTGAAATTTAGTTTGAATTACTTTAAATTGAATATCTTTTAAATTATCTTGCGATCTTTAAAATATTGGCTCTTCTAACTGTTAATATCTGAAATTTCTCAGATAAAAAATTAGTTTCAAAAAAAAGTAATCACATTAATATTATCATTATCCATTGGATTTCCCCACCAATTCCTGATTGCACGATCAGTTTTTTGTTCTAAAATTAAATAGAATCATAATCGAAAAGCATACTCACTTTGAAATACAGAGATTCTACGAGAAAATAGCAATATCGAGCGACATCATTCTGATTAAAATAAATCATTTTGGTTTTTTACTAGTTATATTAATTATATGCAAAAATTGGATTAAAACCAAGAAAAGTGGTCAAATTGTCAAATTCAAAATTGAAGATGGTCGTCCTGTAATATTTGTGTTGAGCACCGGAAGAAGGCATAACACAATTTTCAACTTCCATTTGAGCTTCTCTTTCCAATTCGCAATTCCAGTACTGAATTTTATTTTCTTTAAAATCTTTAAATATAATGAAATAAATAAATTTCGAAATAAACATATTGTGAATATTTATAAATTTTAACAGAATGAAAAGATTTTTTCCAAGAAAAGCTACTGAAAATATTATTAAATGGATCATTCCAAATCGTCTTCCTTCGTCTTCTTTAAATATAAATATGCAATAAAAATACCAATTTGAAAAAAAAATCTTCTTCAATATGCTCGAAGTTATGAAGATTCATGATGCCTCTTTTTCTATATTCTTCATGTTTCTTATTCAACAGAGAACGATAGCTGCCATGAAGTTTTGTGCCATTGCAGTTATCTTTAAAATATTTCGGCCATTAAACTCTGTTTAGCGTTAAATCGATACAGCTCAAAAAAAATATTTGCAAGTGCTATGAAAAAAAAGAAATGAATGATTGTAAAAAATAATCTAGTAAACTCATAGAAACTGATACATTGTGCTGAAAAATACGAGGTGACAAGCACTATTTCTGGTATCGCTTAGCGGCTTTACCAGAATCTGACCACGGTAAAAATGTAGGTTAGATGGGCACCGATACTATTCGGATTCCTTAACAACAAATTCACATTTGCAATCCTTAGGGAATTGGGCCTACGAAGCATTTTTAAGTAACCATAGCACTCGATCATCTCTGCCCATACATCCATTTTTTTTTCTTTTTTCGTTAAAAAAGAGGAAAATTGGCGAAAAAGTTTGGGAATATTTCTAATTCGATGTTATTTAAAACGTAGGAATTTAACAAAATATGAATGATTATAATTTCATAGACTTGCTTTGCTTTTCAAATTTTTCAATAATTTTTTCGCTAGCTTTCGACGAGTTTGCTCCATCTTTACTATAAATAGCATCTGTAATACGCGCATCTAAAGTAAATTTAAGTAATACTAGAAAAAAGAAATACAAATAGTTGAAAGGGCAAAAAAAAAATTTGTCAATCAATGAATAAAATAGTAGTTCCAGTAACTGTAAATTATGCACCTAGATTCTCCTCCTTATCGTATATTTCTTCTTCCTTTTTTTTTCCTTTTAACTTTCTAATTATTGTCTTTCGATTCAAGTTGGTTTATGCTTAGTAGTCAAATGCTTAAATAACCTGTTTTCGTTGTCTGGAATTGTATTGCACGAAGTGGATATGGAAACGCAAAACTGTCCGGAATCTTGCATAAACTCATCTTAGATTGGCACGATGACCGGTTATAAGCATCGCAATAATCATTTGTCTCGCAAGATGAGCTTGGTTCGTATAAAAGACCTGGTATTGCTCTCAAAACAAATTTACAATAAATTTTTAAACAAGTTTTATGGCAAATATGAAAATGGTGGATGATTTTACTTGGGCCAGTATTGACAAACGATGACAACTTCCGTTCCAGGACATTTATGGATACCACAGCCCATTAACAAGGTTTTCCCATATAAAATCTAAAAATTGGCAGTTATTGAATGAAATTTTTTCATTTCTATTTTATTTACAACTTAATATTTCATAGTTATATGGAAAATAACATTAGACCTGTGCAACACTACCGCTTTCCCTGGCACCATTTGTCCAGAAATGCAATGCTTCATCAAACCATTGTTCTAAGATAAAATCATTAGGTTTCGACCATATAAAAATATTAATGAATTGATTATGCACAAATTTCCATTTTATTTATTCATGAGAATTTTTTTCCTAAGCTAATTTGAGGAAAAATTATTATCAATATCAAAAGATTTTATTGAAACATTTCGCACTGTTAAAGAAGCTTTTGAATGATTACCCGTAGTGTGATTGCCTTTGGTTCTAGTCTTAAATATATTTTGACCTATTTCAAATGGCAAATGAATTTCTTGTTTTCGCGATAATTTACAAATATCTGAAAGAAATTCCGCATATCGTTGAGCGAATCCTTCCAGTTCGCAACTCCATTGCTAAATTTTAAATATATGACAATGGTAAAGTCAAGAAATCTTCTAAGTTCTCTTCACAGAAAATTTCTTTGCCACATCTTTAATAATCTTCGAAAATCTAGCATAATTTTCAGCAATTAATTAGTAAAAAGAGTAGGAATAAACGTGAAGAATTTTGCAAGATAAAAGACAAAGTACCAATGAATAAATATTCGATCCAGATGGAAGAGATTTGAAGTAGCCATGTGCTAACTGAGATCGAATTAAATTATGTTTAAGAAGTATATCACTACGAATATCATCGTTCATAATTTGTTTATTGCATAATTGAGCGGTAACTATAATTAAAAATAAATAACAAAATAGAACGGAAAATTTTAAAATCGCTTAAAGGGAAATATTTATGATTTCGTATTGTTTCTAACATTACATCAATATATTCGACTTCTATTGCTGTCAATATTTTCAGTTATTTTTTTACACATTTTAAGTTAAAATTTAATTCTTCTATTTTTTATAAATAATGTTTAAGGATTTAATGCAATTAGAATAAACAACCTCAAAAATCTCTATTAAATAGGAAAATGGAAAAGTACACTGGGTTTTTTCTTAAATTTTTTCATTATTTACATCCAGTGCTTGCTTGTTTAAGGTAATTTGTTGAGATTCAAAGAAGTTCAGCATTGGTTATATACAATTATGTAACATTATAGGCTATTTAAAATAACGAGGAGGGCCAGTCAAGATCTGGACTGATACAATCAGGAAAGATTTTGAACGTATAGGGAGACCAGCGATACATGGACTTGGACGATGAAAAAAGGAATGGCGTCGGACCGAGCAGTTTGGAGACGTTTTGCCCTTGTAGACAGTGGAGCCAGTCTAACCAATAATGGTGAGAGTATTAGATGAAGAAGAACATTATAGGCTATTTAAAATAAAGCAGACATATCCATTCAACTTTTTCGAGTATAATACTACTGATTTAGATCAGCAACTTGTAAAATTTTATAAAATATAAATTATGAATAAAGGTTTTGCAGAGGGCCGACGCATTTCAGGAAAATATTATAAATATTAGAGAAACCGTTATTGTTATCATCGGTATTTTTATGCGAGCTGTTTCTGAGAAGTGTTGACGTCGTTGAATGCTGTTCTACAAAACAATCGCGTTAAAATATTAATGCTACGAATAATATTATCGATGATAAATATTATAAAAATTTGGAAAATTATAATTTGCAAAATAAATAATTTCTCATAAAAATAAAATTCTGTATTTTTTACTTGCTTTTATTTTTATAACCAATTTTTTAATCATCTGCACTATCGTTCAATTTAAATCCAAATTTAATTTTTTTGAAAAATTGATTTAAAATTTAATTTCGGCCAATTTGATACCTAAATTTGAAATGCTTATAGTGCCATTTGATGCAAGGAAAACGTGAAATGAATCGTGCACTTCTTCAGTACCATCGTAATCGCATAGATTCGTGTCGTGATAGCAAAATGATTTCTTATAAGCAGTACAGTCCTTCCACGATTGGCATGGTGGCCCTGTTTTGTATAATTTTTTTGCTCTAAAAAAAAATTCACATATTCATAAATCATAAGCAATAAACTTGATCATATTAAAAACAAATTTGGCACTGTCAAATTAGAACTGAAAAATCTGGAAAATATAGAATATTAATATTACAGTAGAATTTACGGTTAAAACGGTTAATTTATCAAAAAAACTAATATTATTACATTGGCCAATATTGGCAGATAATGAATATTTCTTGTATATCAATTTCTTGGCACTTATTTATACCACAACCTAATAGAAGTGTCTGACCGGATATAATCTGAAATTTATTCATTTATTGTATTGCGGTGAAAAAGAAAAAAATACAATGAAAATGCTCACCTGGTTCAAGGTTTCAGTCGAATTTGACCAATATTCCATCGCCTCTTCGAAATAGTCATCTCAATTATTCCAAATTATTACGATTTAGCTTAATATTGACTAAACTTAGTAGCGACAGTTCTTTTAAGAGAACGCACTTTTGAAAATGCAAAAAAAAATAAAAAATAAGGAAAAAATGGATGAGGCTAATATAAAGAATGGGCTAAAGCAATTTAACAAGATTTCATAAATAACATTATTAAAATTAATTTCAAAAATGGAAATTGGTAAAACAAGAATAATACATATGGAAATTGGAAATTTGTTGCAATAGTTAATATTTCTATACTTCTGAAAAATTGTGAGATAATCGGTCGTACAAAAATGTCCACACAATCCAATTCTTCAAAAAAGCCAGAAATGATAATTTGATAGGTAGCGCAATTTAATTTGAATAATAATACTACTGGCTAAAGATATGAATATGCCCTCGACATCCTGATTTTAACTTTAGGCTTAGACCGAAAGGCAAAGATCAAATCCCTGGTGGCGCTGTCAGCCATTATATTCCCCATGATAATGGTGATTATTGTTATCAGTTGTTATCATCCTGTAGCCGCAATACCTTTATTTCTATATTATTTGTGAAAATTATATTAAATACCAAATTTTTTCCAAAATTGATAAACTAAGCGAACCATTAATTTTTGACTCATCGACAGGCTGCTGGTAGGTGATTTCAGCAAGTTTATTAGCAAAATGATCTGATTCCCTATTTCTTTTACAGCTGTTCGCCCTTTCCTGCGCCAATCTCGCTAAGTCACAGTCCCATCTCTAAAATTTTTTATGAAAGAATTTACCATATTAACCTATCAAAATAGGACTAACAAACCATTGAATATATGTTCGTCCCACTTTTATATCCAACAAAATCCCCGCGTGCAACATCTGATCTAATATCATTGTGGAATTGCACAATATATTCTTGCAAATCGTCTGTTATATTCAATTTACAATCTATTTGATCCGTCCAGAATTCGTATGCGAATGAATCTAAAATTTAAGAGATTTTATAGTAAAAAAAAACGATAAATCATCTTATTATTAGTACTATATACTATGCTTCATTTTCGTGTTAGCCACTTCCATTCTAGGGCATACCAGAAAGTGTGTTAGTTGGATATCGGAAGCTGTTTGCAATTGTAATTATTTGAAAAAGCTGCCAAAGTACGATTTCGGGTGATCCCGACTACCGGGATGATAGGAAACTATTCCGTCTTCTTCAAAAAGCAACGCAAAGAGACAGCAATGGCATGCTGATCAAGAGTATTAAGGATCGCCTCATAAAGATGGAAAGAATTCATAGAGGCCAAACTTAACCATGAAGCGCCATCTGTTGCCCTCATATAGCTGATACTTTTACCAAAGCATACGCATGCAAGCCTCGAACAGATAATTTCCGTTATCCATAAACTTAAGGCCAATAAGACTCCAGGAGAAGATGGTCTTCGAGCCGAACTCTTCAAATGTTGCCCAATGTCTTTCATAATGCACCTTCAACAAATATACTTTCTGGTTTGGAAAAAAGAAATATTACCAGATGATTGGAGCAAAGCAATTGTGTTCCTAATTCTCAAGAAAGGTGTTAGGTGAAAGGTGGTTCTGCGACATTTATCGAGGAATCAGCCTAATAGACGTCTCATCGAAAAATTTTTGCTTCCCTATTATTCAACAGACTTATGGAAGTACGGGACAGTAGGATGCGCCCTAATCAAGCTGGATTCAGACCAGGGCGTGGTTATGCTGACCAAATATTCACGTTAAGAAAGGTGTTGGAACATCGCTTCAAATATTTGCAACCCACTGTCACGTGTTTCATCGACTTTGCGGCTGCCTTTGATTCAATTGATAGAGCGGCGCTTTGGAGTGTGATGGAACGTGATGGTATTCCAGAGAAAATCCTCATAAAGGCATTTTATGAGCGCATGTCGGCGCAGGTCTGCGTATATGGGGAACTGACAGATTCCTTCGAAATAAGAACAGGTGTCCGTCAGGGCTACGTCCTTTCCCCTACAATATTCAATTATGCGATAGACTGGATAATGGACACTGTTTGTCGGCACTCAAGAGGATGTCCGAATTAGTCCAGAGCATCGTATCACAGATCTTCAATACGCTGATGATGTAGTCCTTTTTGCTGACAGTTATGACGAAATGCAAGTAATACTAAATAACGTGTTAGAAACTACAGCAAGAATCGGACTCAGGATCAATGTAAATAAAACGAAAGTCTTTTCGCCTTATGTATAAGAAGCTGATAAAATGCCTCTTTCTGTAAATTCATTGCCGGTAGAGGAAGTTTCCGATTTTAAATACCTTGGGTCCACTCTAATACCAAATGATTAGGCAAAAAACGATATTTAGCCCGACAGCTAGAAATGCATTCTTCCGATTGACGAAACCTTTATGGAGCCGTCATAAAATTACCATTAAAACAAAAGTCCGCATCTATATAGCCGTAATTCGTTCGATCTTGCTATATGGCTATGAGGCATAGCCAATGAGAGTGGAGGATATTAAGAAGTTATCTGCCTTTGACCACTCATGTCTAAGATACATATTAGACATATTGGAGCGGATAAAATATCACATGATCACATCCACCTTCGTTCAAATACCAACTGTATTAATAATATTATCACAGAGCGTCGCCTTTGGTGGTTAGGGCACCTTCTCCATCGTCCACCACAAGAATTGTCGCATATTTTGTTACTTGCTGAACTCTGTGATGGGTGGCGTCAAAAACGAGGTGGGCCAATCAAGACCTGGACTGATACGATCAGAAAAGATTTTGAAAGTATAGATGGACCAGCAATATATGGATTTAGACGATGGAAAAAGAAATGACTTCTATTACTGTCGACGATAACATCTGACCCCTCAGTTTTGAAGTGTTTTACCTTTGTAGCCGTTGGAGCCAGCCCAACGATAATGGTGAGAGGTGAGTAATAGAAGAAGAAAGTTATTTTGTGTTAAAAACTTTTTCAAACTTGAATAGATTGCTTAATACTCCGAAAATTTTGCAGTATTATGGTAGATAATTATATACTACGATGAGATATGCCAATGGCATATGTCCAATGAGTAAAATATGCATAAAGTAAAGTAAAGTATAAATAAAATAAATAAAATAATATATTATATTCGATTTTTTATGAAATATTGTCACCGGCCTATTCCACAGGTAAAGGATAGATTCCTTTATGTTTTTACATTTATACACTTACGTAATAAATTCTGTAAATTTGAATTTTGAATGATAAATTTGAATTCTTTCTGAACTGCTTTCATTGCAGTCTACTTATGGGTAAAATGCAACAAAATTGCTTTCTTTTAATGAGCGCCAAATGCGCGTCTTTTTGGATTTATCAATTGGGAATATCCTTATCGAGTCACAAATTATCATTCGTTTACGCCACTTCAGTGACCAGTTGTAGCCTCAATGACATAACTTATAATATTTTATAATTTAGCGGAATGATACATCCTTTTCATACGCTTATGGCAAATGATGAGGAGAAGAGGAACGATAGTTTTTCGAGTTGATAAAATATATAGTTGAATTGAAAGTTCTATATATGACACATTTTTTGTTATAAAATGTTCAGGCTCTTCTGCTAACAAATGGCATTTCACTATTTCTAGCTTCACAAAAGTTATTTCTTTCCAGACTTTTTTCTCGCCTCCTCTACCAGAGATACTTTCGGATCGGACTTTAGCTGATAGATTTATCCTCATCAAGTGGTATGCTCTTTTCCTTTTTGAAAATATGAAGAATAATAAGGCTAACAAGACAACCATTTTGGCAAATTTGACTAGACTAGCTAGATTTCATTAGACGGCGTGTTAGCTCCTAAGTGATCCTAAAAACAAATTTCCTGCCAAAATCGCGAAAAAATTTTAAAAAAAGCTTACTTTCTGTTGCCACAATGAGAATCAAGATCAGCATAGACATTTTGAGAAATGAAATACCATTCTTTGCATATTGTTTTTATATAGAAACCCATAAAATACGTGCGATTATAAGCACCATTAGTCTTTGAACAATTTAGTCGAATCAATTTGCATAAAAGGCTGAAAACCAAGAGATTTATAGAAAATTGGTGTTGCAAATGATTGACGATGAAAGCAGCGTTAATAAAAATATACAAAAATCGTACAATTTGCTAAGCCAGAAGAAAAAAATTTATTCGCTGCCTTGATTTGAAATTGTGCAGTTAACAAATCCTGAATACATCGATGATGCTTTCCTTTTCGTTCGCGATCATCAGCATCTGTAAAAATTCGGTGTCGATAACAGTAGGAAAAACTGAACTTAAATCAATATGAATATGCAATTTTTTCGCAGGCGAAAGGCGAAAATTTGAGCATTTATAGCCAAAGCTGAACTCTTTTTTTCTCATTGAAAATTCCGTTTTCACGAAATTAGCCTCAAAAAGTTTAGATTCGCCTGGTTATAGCACCCTATTGTGCCAGAATGGTTCAGTGAATTATCTGCGCTCATTTCGGAGCGCAGATATTGAGGCTCTATATAGGAGTCCGAAAATCCAAATGATGCTGGTGACCCAGCAGTTCTATCGGCAAAGGGCATTCTAGTATATTTGTCCAGTGCGACAATCCAGCGGAACGAGTTTAACTAACAATGATGAGGGCTCTCTCTCAAAAAAACGCCCTAATATATATTTCTCGACAATTTTTTTTTCATATATTTAGCCAAATAGAAATATCTGAAAAGAATTAGTGAGAGTGAAAGTTACCAATATAAAATGAATATGAATGAAATTCTTTGTTCGCTAAATAAAATGAATCTGATTTGCCTAAAATGTGGAATTAAATCGGATCAACGGCGCCAGTACGAATTAAACGAAATGAAATCATTTTTCCACAATATTCATGTTCATAGATTTTATCCCAAAAGCATAGTTTTCTTAATTTTATAAATTCGAACTCTGCAAATCTATCAAATCTATTCAAGTTGTTTGAAGAATTTTCTGGAAAAAAACGGCGAAAATAATTTTTTATTGGAATAAAATTGTAAAAAATTTTGATGAAAATATCATAGAAATTGTTTTTTGTAATTTGCTTGACAGATTTGATAGATTTGATGATGACATTTTATGTACAAAAAATAGCTTTTTGGAAGAACTAGAAGATATATATCTGAGCAAATTATAAGAATATATCGCATGAGAAATTAAAACATGTCTGAGCAAACTTTATAGAGAATTGTATTCAAACCTTCACTATTACTACTATTCCTCGATATTTCCTCAAAAACCTGCAACATTCTCGAATCCTTATATTTCCTGCTCAGTAATCCCATTACTCCAATAGCCACTATGATCTTTTTGCAATTTGCAGTTTCCAGCTACGGTTGTGGAAGAAATGCACCTTTGATGGGGCATTTGGAGAACAATATAGATATCGGCGCGGCTAAACTGCGTCTAATGTGATTTAGGAAGATAATGATAATGATAATAAATTATGTCAAAAACGGTGCTTCGAGTGTTGAAGAGAATGAAATTTTTGTAGGCTTTTGACTAATGTTGAGTTTAAAACGATTAAGTCCGTGATTCTCCGTGATTCCTGCCTGCAATCAGTATATCTATACTGGAATTCAAAAAGAGAGTTCAAGAAGGCCTTTCTAGAATTCCAGGAAAAAAGCACAAGATAAAGTGTGAAGGGGAAATATTGGGGATTTGATGATTCTTAATAGGTTCTGAAGAATTTAACATAGCCTATCTATGATGTTAGAGATTATGAGGTTGGTTTAAGAAAAAATTTTCAAAGCGATATGTCGCACAAGAGTTTGATGTGGCATTCATTAGTCTTATTTGACGATAAATAAAAATAAAGCGCCGGCGTCATCCAATTTTTTAACGACAAATTTAGTCCAAAAGCCTCAACATCGGTTGCTGTAAATTCAGCCTACTGAACTAATCTACCCCATTTCGCTTTCACGATTCGGCAACACTCTCGTTTAAGCTTAATCATAGCCATTTTCGATCCTGGACTCTTCTTTTCACAAAACCAGAGGTTCACCAATATGTGCCATAAGCCTTTTATCAGAAAATTTTTTGGATCAATTGGAAATTACATATTGTGGCACTAGGATATTTTGAAATGAAAATATTTTGTTATATTTTTGCTTTATCTTTTTTCAAATTCATTCCTAAATTGGAAAAGAAAACAGTATTTCTGTGATTTTTCTCGTTAAAATAGGATAAAGCAATTCTGCGGTTTTAAAATAGGATAAAGCAATTTTCCCTCGAAGATGAAGTCATTTCTTGGATAAAAATAGCTTAGAAATTTTGTTAAACTTTAAAGACTTGTTTCTTCACTTAATTTAGATCATAAGAAATTCTGCCTATGCACATCGAATCTAAGGTCTACGATTTTATCCTCTTACTCTCTTCAGATTTAACTTCAAATAAATCCATTTTGAGAACTTCTTACTTATCATGAGATTCGTTATACATTGATTTGGACTCTCTAAATTTTATTTTTCCTCGACCAAATTAAAAAATTAATGATTACCTTAAGTCCACTGTGCTGATTTATTCACCAACTCACCAACTTTTTCCATCCTATAATTTTGATATTTCATTATAACAGCGACAAAAAACTTCATATCTTTGCGGCCATCAGAATCCAAATCATTGGCCTAAAGAGTTACAAATGGTTATTGAAACGCCACTGAGAGTTTTTCTTCTAACGTTAATTCAGACTTTTTCCTTTAACACTGCAAAGTTGCAAAATGCAACAATTTTTTGAATTTAAAAAAAAATAAGCCTTTTTTTCATAATAAAAATTATGATTTCTGATAATATAATATGCAAAATTATTTCCCCATGAAATTTATAATAATTCGAGAAAATCATCGTATCTACCAACATCGCTAATACGATTTGATTTGATTTGAATTATGTCCAACATCAAATTTTATAATTCATTTCTGATTTGACGAGCAAAGAATTTTATGGTAACGTACATTTCGTAATTCATAGATGGTGATCAACTCCGATCGCATAAATCCTTCTTCGTAATAAAAAATTTTACATTTAATAAAGTTTTTTCTCGCGATAACCTCTTCCTCGATGACCAAAATTTTGTTTTGTTTTTTACAATAAATGAGCCATTTTTTGGAAGTAGAAATTTGATAAATAAATAGAAATAAAAATTTCGATAAAATAAATTTTCTCATTTTTTGAAAATTTAGTTTGTTTACCATTTTCTATTTTCTATTTTCTCTAAACTTTTAAAATTGATTTTATATATCAAAATAAGCGGTTTAAATTTATCGAATAATTTTTCTTATTCTTAAAATTTTTCATTCCTTATAAGCATTTTTTTTCGAATTTGCCTAACAAATAAATCCAAAGTATAAGAAAATATGTGAAAAAAATTCAAGAATATATGTCATATAACGGTGCCACGAGCTCGGCTATACGCCAACATTTGACGCTGTTTCCTACGCTCCTCATCTTCTCTAAGATAATTGCAAGTAAGCTATTATAATATTAAGTTTTTATTAAGTTTTTCGTTTGAACTGACTTAGCAAACTCATCTTACAGCCATCTTTCCATTATTTTGTTCTCTCCAAAAGTTAGCATTTTAGTGATTAAGTTTAAATGATGTGATGTTAATTGGGGTGGGCGATTAAAGTATTGTTGAGAGATAAAGGATTTAAGGTTCAGCGAAGATATTTCTGTGTGATGGAAATGAAAGAAAGCAACACTTAAGACTTTATTGAAAGAAAATGGGATATTTTTTGGATATTAAGGATTTATCTATTCGAGTTCGATGAACTTTTTAAAAAGGAAATCCTCTATACTTCCTATAAGAGAAAATATCAAATATTTTCATCTTATTGAAAATAGAACGGCTCAGTGGGTTGTTGCTCAATTTGGGACGTCGATGCTGAGGTTCTATTCCACGGGAGTAAATTCTTCATGGGAGTAAATTTGTCCAAGGACCTGAGTAATGATGGCGAGTCATTTGTTCTTGTATCGCAAAGGGATTCCCCAGTCCTGTGCACAAACCAGAGGAGCGAGTTTAACCAGTAATGGTGAGGACTCAAAAAAAATAACTCGTAAAAATTTCAAGGAAATATCAAAATATTTTCATCTTATTACGACTTGTAGCGATTTTATCTTTTTTTAAATTCTTTTGAATTTAAAAACTAATTATACATAAGGACTAATTCATTTATCACACTTTTATCAAGAAAATGATAAAATTTTTAGATTCATTCGCGTACGGTTCCCGAGCTTACGAGGTGAATTGCGATTCGATTATATCAGACGCTTTAGGCGAATACATTACTGGATTTCACAATAAGATTCGCTCTGAACTTGTTCGCGGTCAGTTTCAGGGGTATGAAAGAGAGACAGACATATACACAATGGTGGGACATTTCTTTATTTTAATTTGACTGATGATAAATATAAAAAATTTTAGTAATTTTTATCAAGAAATTTCAGAGATGGGACTGTGATTTAGCGAAATTAGCGCAGGAAAGAGCAAATAGATGTACAAGAAACAAAGAATTGGAAAAGTTTTCTGATAAAATTGGGGAAATCACTTATAAACGGCATGCTGTTCATTCAAAAAATATTGGTTTGCAACAATCTTTCAGTAGTTTTTCCAAAAAATCCTATAATAAAGCCTAAAATCCTACAATCCTACTTTGCTTAAAGGATAAGGAAATAATTTTGATGATGGCTGCAATTTTTGGAATAATTGATATGAGCCACCCCATTAGAGGCCTTCTAATAAAAGTCTGGAAGACTGTGGTTAATTTTTCAGATAAACTAGGGCCCTGCAACAGCTCTCACTGGTAAAGAAACCAGGCCGCCTAACTGTTTCGGTTTAGGTGTGGGTTTGAATTTCTTGATGTATATAAGCCTTTTGTTAAAGGTGAGATTCATATTTTGATGGTAAATCTCTTTCTCCAGCCAAAATCACCAAATTTGAATATCTTGGAAAAGAAATAGATTTAGATTAATTGAGCAAAATCTAATTATTTGCGAGACCTTGGCCATATCAATTAAATTATACTAATTATTATAAATCTTTCTAGCTGAATTGTTCCTCCTAGCTGAATTTTTGAATATTTTTCAGTTAGCTTTTGAATATTTCTAAGATTTAAACTTATAAACCTTTTTACAACAATTATTACACTTTGTGTTTCTTCATGATCGCAGATTTAAGCCCAAACTCTCAAAAATCAGAATCCGCCCTCTGGGACCGACCCACTTTTACTTCCCCATGTGACTGGCTAAAAGAACTTGGTTGAATTGCTTATCATAACAGTTAAGTCATTTAATTCCCATAAGAAAGATATGATAGGACATGCTGAATATTTTATCATAAATTTGTTCAGAAGTATTAACTATTAACTATTAAAACAAGTCATCAAGTGAATTAGTTTCTGCACCACCAGTTTTTAAAGAGATAATATTATTTACGGTATTTTACAAAATTGCAGTTTAACCATTTATTAATACTAGCCTTACTAATTTTAAATTTGCTCCATTTTTATAAACTAGCCACATTTGTTCTTATTAATACTAATAAAGTAATACATGGCTTCGTTCCCTACCCCTCTTATTTTGAAAAATGCTAAGTGGATATGAGACTGGTGGGTCTTAACGGTCCTTCGAGACGGTATGATTCCAGAAAAAATGTTACTAAAAACTGTCATAATCAAGTTTAGCCATTGGTAAGGAAGAATCGCAATAATTTCTTGCAATTCAGGTGATTATATCCACGAGGCGTTGTTTTCTTGGTTATATCCGCTCGCTGGCAGTAATAATCAAGTAAATTTTTTTAATCAGTTTAATTTCTCCTTCTTAAGCAGTACAAATAATAATATTATTTCAGATCATATCTGGCCGTGCACTCCTTCTAGGTTGTGGTATTAGTGAGTGCGAAGAAGAAATTGAGGATAAAGTGGAGCATACAATTTTCTTTGTCTGTCAATATTGGCCAAAGTAAGTAGTAATTTGCGATTTAAGATTATATAAATACTGGTTTTATTTTTTAGCCCTCACCATTACTAGTTAGACTCGCTCCGCTAGCTTGTCGTGTTTAGACCTGGGATGGCGATAGAATTACAGGTGTGTCACTCAGCTTTTTGGACAGGCTTACTGCGGGGAGCCTCAGCATCAGCGATCTGAATTGAGCAATAACTTGCTGAGCCATTCCATGCCCCACTGGTTTTATTATTCAATTATTTATCGAAATTTTCTAAAATGTGGCTTAACTATTGTGAATTAATTCGAAAAATTTTCAGCAGAAATTTGTAAAATTTGTTAACTGGTGAATTTCATGTTTAAACTTTTGGTAGTGGCATGCCTTTCCACTGCACTTTGATTATTAAAAATTTTTTTTAGAGCGCCAGAAATCGAATTATACAAAACTGGGCTCGGATGTAAATCGTGGATGGATTGCACTCTTTATAATGATTCAGTTTGCAATTTAAATACGAAACTATGTGATTTGCATAGTGGCAATGAAATACACGATTTTTTTCTCACTTTTCTCGCATCAAATGGCACCATTGATATTCCTAATTTAGGTAGCAAATTTAATGAAATTAAATTTGAGTTTTTATTTATTTTAATAAAGCTAAATATCCATCTAAAAACATGTGGCAGCGAGAATCATTTTTGCAAAATCAGCCACAATTAGATGCAAAAAGTGAAAATGAAAAAGATAAAGATATTTCCGGCGATTTTCATCAGAAATTTCCTAAAATATTTTATTCGATTTTAACAGTTTGCACAATAGATATTGTTTATATTATTGTAAATATTATTTATATTATAATAAATGAGAATCATTTTATAGATGAGAATTCGACAACACTTCTCAGTAATAATTCTCATGGAAGTATCGTTGATAGCGATATTAATAATGGTGTGTATTTCTTCAATACTATTTTTTATTATTTTCTCAAGATACATCCTTTCCAGAAAATATTTATTTGTGCTGCAGTTCTTTATAATTTTATAGTAAATCAACGATGTCATGTTCGATAAATTTATAGATAAAAAATTTTTATTCCATTGTGAGGTTCTTTTCCCCACACGACTTCTCACCTGTCGAAAAATCCCAGTGATTCACCTGCATTTCTATCGCTAAGGGATTCCCTGCCATATTTATCCAGAGTGACAAGCCAATGGAGCGAGTTTAACCAGTAATGATGTGGGCTCTTAAAGAAAAAAAAAATTTGCTTGATTGTAGATTGTAGATTGTAGATAACCTATTGTGTCACATACTTTATATATCCTTTATCATCGTTTGTCACATGCCTCTTATATTATATCGCCTTTCCATATATATATATATATATTGAGCACCCTTATATACATGTGTCCAATGTATGTTGGACTTAACACTTCCTTGTACCGGTTAAAAATTAAGCAGTAAACAAAAATGAAATAATTTTAAGAAAACAAAAAAACAAATTACTTCGTCCTTTTTTCTTTACTGGAGATTTTTGTTTTTTTTATAAATCAAAACATAGATGTTAAAGCTAAAGTTGGAAGAAATTTGAAGTTTTTAGCTAAAGCTGTAAGATTGCAACGCTGCTTAAGAGAGTTAGTTCAACAGTAGAAGCATAGCAGTTAAAAGTGCAACGATTTTTGAAGCGATACGAAGTCATAAAAATTACCTTTAACCTCTCGCATATCCCATATGATATTTGTCAACGCCAATTATAGTTGCCCCACAATTATGCAATAAACAAATTATGAGCGATGGTATACGCAGTGATATACTTCTTGAACACAATTTAATTCGGTCTCAATTAGCAAATGGCGACTTTAAATCCCTTCCACCTGGATCGAACATTTTTTCACTGGTACTTTATTTTTTACCTTATATTATTTTACTGGCTGCTTTTTCTTTTGATCACCAACTATAAGAAAATTCTATTAGATTTTCATCGATTAACGAAAGCTATGATAAAAAAGTATTCTTATAGGAGGATCTACTAATCTTTTCTATATTGCATGCTATTCATCATCATGCCTCATATACAAATTTTTATTTTTAGAAATGGAGTTGTGAACTGGAAGAATTGGCGCAACAGTATGCAGATTCCAACACAGATACCTGTACAATGTCGCGAAAACATAATATTCATGTGCCATTCGAAACGGGTCGAAATACTTTTAAGACTAGAACCACCAAAAGATCCACTACAGGTAGCCAGTCTTATTCATTGGTTGAAATCATCAAATTAAATCATTATTTAAGTAATAATTTTTTTTATATTAGCCAGAAGTGAAAATATTTTCTAACACTACAAATAAAATGGAATTAGATTCATGCAAAACTCAAATCATTTATATTTGTATATGCTTGAAATGTAATGATTTTCTGTTAGATCGTTGGTTCGATGAAGCACTCGGTTTTTGGACGAATGAAACCAAAGAAAGTTATGAGCTTGCACAGGTCCATCACTATTCTTTTATAAAATCTAATTCACCTTTTATTCATTAAACTGGTGAAGAATGAAGAAACTTTGTTCAATGCTCGATAATAATTTCTAGATTTTATATGGAAAAACTTTGTTGATCGGCTGTGGTATTCGTAAATGTCCGAGGACGGAGGTGCTTGTCGTTTGCCAGTATTGGCCCAAGTAAAATCATTATGTTTCATCACATCATGCTCGCTATAAAATCTTTTAAAAATTTAATTTAATTTAATTTAATTCATTTAAGAGCGATACCTGGTTCGTTATATCGACAAGGTTCATCTTGCGAGACAAAGGATTGTTGCAATACTTATAACCAATCATCCTGTAGATCTGAGATAGGTTTGTGCCAGATTCCTAGCGATTTCGCATTCCCTGATCCTCTTCATGCAGTAAAACTTCAGGCTACTCATATAACAGGTTATTTAAACATTCAACTAACGATTATATCACTGTAGTACTTCAAGAGGGAACAATGGACAATAATTGCAAAAGAATTAAAAGGGCTAAGATATAAAGAAATATCTGCCAAGGGACCATAATTTATGGGAGCGATTTTCTTTGGTTTATTTTATCAATAAAACACTTCAAGTCCATTGAAACTATTGTTTAATTAATTGTTTGGCGAATATCTTTTTTTGCTCTTTTAATTATTTATGCTTTCCAAATTTATTTTAATTTATTTCAGATACACCAAATGCAAAAGATATAACATATACTACTGAAGGAGTATCTAACATATCTAACTCATCGAGCGAAAAAATCACTGAAAAAATAGAAAAACATTGTAAGTTCATGAAAAATACATGTATCATTTTTTTTTAAGAGTCCTCACCATTACTGGTTAAACTCGTCACACTGGCTTGTAGCACTGGGAAATATGCCAAGAATCCCTTGACGATAGAAATACAGGTGATCGCCAGCACCACCTAGCTTATGACATGTATCTATATTTTATTAAATTCCTAAAATTTATAAAAATCTTATTTGTAAAAATATATTTTAATATGTTTTTATATTGCATTATCTTCTAATTAATTGGAAAATTTTTCAATTTGATTCAAAGGCCTATTTTTGTGAACTAGAATACTATTCTAGAATTCTAGAATACTTTTTTACATTCACTAGCTATTTTTTAAATAACGCTTGTAAATATTTTTGTTAAGCGACTCGATTACCGACAGATGATTGCATTGGCACAAAGCTTCCTAGCACTTACCCATTCCAATTCAAAAAGAAACATAAGGAATATCGAAAAAATGCAAGTGGCATCATCAGTCTTCGCAATTTCGAACATTATGAAGAAGAATTTCTTTTTCAATTGGTATTGCTAATTCATATTTATTAAATTTAAAAAAAAAAGTTAATAAAAACCATTTAGATCAATTTATTTTCTGATATTTTTGATAGTTTTATTTAGAAAAAAATTAAACAAAAGTTTTTACTGTCGATTTATCAAAATTCACAAACATTTTTGGAGAGAAATTTGTAAAAATTTATTAAAATAATTTAGGATTGGAACTGTGAATTGGAAAAAAAAGCTCAAACTGAAGCTGAAAAATGTGCTGAGCCTCCTCGCGATGCCAAATATAAATATCATAGAACGATAATCCATAATTTCGAATTTGGCGATTTGACTAAATTTCTCGGTTTTTGTTATTTTAATGCATAAAAATCCTCTTAACTAGAATGTCGCTGAACATTTTGCGGGATATTTTCTCGTGGAATGTTTTGATAATTAATAACTTCCTCTGTTATGTCTGTTTTGTTTTTTGTACTTCGATTCTACTTTAATTTTAGATCGCAAAATTGATAATGCAATCAGTCGTTGGTGGGGAAATGTAGTGAATAATGATAATGTCGATGTGATTAGTTTGCTTTTCGCATTTTATTAGATAAATTTCGGTTATTAACGGTTAGAAAAATGGATATTTCAAAGAATTTAAATTCTTTAAACACTATTTTAAAGAGAGAGAGTTCAACTCTCTCTCTTTATTTCCAATTTAAGTTGAAATTAATTTTCGAGCAAAACTGCATATATTTTAATAATTCAATAATTATTTGAAATTAAATTTTAAAATACTCGCTTTATTCGTAATGAAAAAATTTTTACTTAAAATCTAAATATTGTTCGCGTTATATTTCAATGAAAAATGAGCAATTTTCCGATTGCACGATTTGAAGCCACAGAAATGGGTTGTGGCATCGCAACATGTGTCGATGAGAGTCTTCAAATGGTACTTGATATAGTCTGCCACTATTGGCCGATGTGAGTACTTTGTTTTTCCCCGTAAAGCGTATTCTACTCACTCTAAATATTCTACTGGAAATTCGCCAGAATATTTACTGTTTATTTTGGGTTCACTTTAGAAAATTTGCTTCCGGCAAACATTCTTATTTCTTCTAAATTTTTTTCAATTTTCAGAAGCGATCCAAACGAACTCTATAGTTATGCCATCAGTTGCGCACGAAATAGAGATTGTAATTCGTTGCCTAATTCATTCTGTGATACTGATTTGGAGATATGCGTGGAAGCTGAGCATAAAGCAAAATTTTCGGTGAGCAATTATCGCAGGAAATAATATCTGACATTTAATATTTTTTAAATAAAATCAATTGCACTAAATAATTCTTCCTCATTTGAACCAATACAACATGACACCATATCAAGTAGATTCAATAAATATTTTATATTAAGTGTTTGTCGAGTGACAACCGTTCAAAATCAGGAAAGTTAAAACTCTGAGCAAAAATTTTACTGGCCTTTTGTTTCTGTGGCAATAAAAAAAAATCAAAAAAGACCTTTTTTATGAAAAAAAGAATTCTTAATTTCGCTCATTACTCACCATTACTGGTAAAACTCGCCATACTGGCTTGTCGCATTGGGCAAAATGCCAGGGAGTCCCTTGGGGATAGAAACACCAGCATCACCCGGATTTTTTCACAACCCGAAACAGGTTTACTCGTACGGGAAAGAACCTCAGCATTGGCGCTTCCAACTCAGCAACAGCCCACTGAGCAATTCTATCCGCATAACGTGTCCACCGGTGCAATGAGGATAGAAATAAGCGAAATTATATATGAACGATTAATTGAGGAATTACTGGGCTATGAAGAAAGTAAAGGAAATAAACATTTGACTCCCAAATTTGGAATTCATTACTATCAAAGCAGTAAAAAATCATTGTCCCAGTGTTGATCAAAAAATTTGTTCTTTTGACTTCAGTGAAATTTGATGGAAATTTCAAGCGAGTTATTGAATCGTTGTGCAAATGATTAAATTTTCAGCTTAAAAATGCATCATCGATTTGTTTTGACCAAGGACCTTTTAGAGCTAAAACCTTATCTGCCACAGGAAATAGAATAAGAAGTTTTCGCTTGATTCTAGAATAGCTGTTCGTTCGAAAGATGAGCAAATTTCTTTAGAGTAGTGTTAATGTCAAGCGCCCTCATACACCTTTCTCCGTAAGTTTTGTCAGTTTACTAAGGAGATTTTCAAAGAGCTTTCGCACTTTTTGTTTAAGCTCACTCCACTAGCCTTTATGACCGGGTAGGTGCTGCCAGAGAATCGCTTGGGCAGCTAGGATAACCCAGAAAGACAAGTTCACTTCTACATATTCGAAATGATTTCGCCTGTTATAATATAATAAAATTACGAAATGGTAACAACTCATCGAGCCATTTTATTAAGGCGACGGATATAAGAATAAACTTTGGCAAAATTGGTTTTAGTAATTTTTGGTGAAAATAGGTGAGATTTTTCTTCAATGTACACTGCAAAACAAATAGTTGAAAATAAATAAAAAATTGTAAAAAACATTTAATATGAATACATTTAATATGAAAACATTTAATAAGAATACCATAATCTCCAGATTTTTACTCGAAAAATTCTGTTTAAAACTATTCTTAAGAGCTTTCGCACTTTTTGTTTAAGCTCACTCCACTGGCCTTTATGACCGGGTAGGTGTTGCCAGAGAATCGCTTGGGCAGCTAGGATAACCCAGAAAGACAAGTTCACTTCTACATCTAAAGAAAGCAATGACTTTAAATTGTATTTTATATTTTTTAATTGCTTTTATTGCAAGTTTTATCATCATTATCATTTCTATTAGTTGAAAATATTCCGTTAATTGACGATAACATGAAAAGCCACTATATGTGGTTTTTCTTTAAGGAAGATTTTTTTGGGTTTAAATGGATGATAACTGATAACCGTGATTTGGCAGCAAAATAGGTGCACTGAATCATGGACATAATAGGCATTTATGATGGTCTGTCGTCATAGTATCATAGCGGGATCTGACGATCTAGTAAAAAAAATCTCAAGAAAGTCTCTGTTACTGTCAGGGGTTTCGAAAATACTCTAAAGCTCCCAGAGCCCTGATGGAGGACTCGAAGTTAACGATGACTCGTACCACTCACGGAAGGTGAGAAAGATATTTGTTTTTTAGAAGTATTTAAAAATTTGAAATCCACTCTTTTCAATGATAACTGATTTCTAAATTCTTCCTTCGACATATTGGCGTGCCTTTATTTAATTTCGCTAATTTGACGAATTTGATAGGAATTAGCGTCGTATCGAAATATAAACGAGTAACTTTAAAAGTGAAATTCGGTTCGCTATTGCTCGATATCAATCAGATTTAATTGAAGTGGAACAACGTGTTCATCGAATGGTTCAATTAAAAGAATATGGCAAAAACTGAGGAAAAAATCTGTGATTTTATTCAAAAATATTAAGTAGTCAACAATATTTTTAGGGATAAATTAACAGCATAGCGGTCAATTTTTGATGAAAAATTGCAATTATTCCGTCAATTAGTTGCCGAAAACAAGAAAAACCACTATTCGTCGTCAAGGCTTTTCTTTACGGAAGATTTTTTTCTAGCTTCTCCTTCCACGCATATTCCTAAATTAGTGTCACAGAATGAATTAGGCAGCAAGTCACAATGTTCATTTCGTTCACAGCTAATAGCATAATTGTAGAGTTCATTTGGATTGGTTCTGCAAAAATTAATATAATATACTTAGAATATTTGTAGAAAAATAATATTTGTACTTATTTCCAAAATAGCCAATAAGTAGTATTCTGGTGAATAAATGTATGACTGATTTTCAGTAGAATGATTATCATAAACTGAAACTGTTTTAAGAAATTTCAGGCATAAATTGAAGAATCTTACGTTGGCCAGTAGCGGCAAACTATATCAATTACCATCTGAAGATTCTCATCAATGCATGATGCGATGCCGCAACCTATCTCTGTGGCTTCAAACTGTGCAATCTAAATGTTCATCGCATATTAGAATATGATAAAAATTGTTAATTCGTAATTTAAATAAAATAAAAAAAAATATTTCAAAATTCTTCAAAATATTCTGTAGATATTTCGGTGGTTTAGTGTAAAGGTGATCGGGGAGAATCAAGAATGATTCACATTCGGATTCGATTCGGCGCATCACGCTTTATTCGGGCAGCGTCACTGAATGGTGAAAAAGTAGAAGGTGATGAACCGGTTCAATAGATTGTTTCCCATTTTGGAGCGCCGATGCTGAGGTTCTACGTATGGTAGAGAATATAACCATTCAAAAATTTAAGTGGTACTGGCGGCCCAGCTATACTGGTATCGCTAAGTGATAGAAAAATTTTTCCAGTTTAACAAGCCAGCGGGAGCCTAACCCAGCAATAGTTAACAATTCTTTGAAAAAAATTCTAAAATCTAAAAATCTAAGTTTTTTTTATTCTTTGAAATATCCGCTTTTTTGTTAATATATGAAATTTCTCAAAAAAAATCCATTTTTGCATAAAAGGAAAGATTAATCACATTGATATTATCATAATCCGTTATATTTCCCCACCAATTACTGATAGCATAATCAATTTTTTGATCTAAAATTAAAAATAGAATTAAAGTTTTAAAAATGTAATAGAGGCGAAACTGCTTCGAAATGAAAAGAATTTACGAAAAAATATTCTTCGAAATGGACATCATTCTGATTGAAATAAAATTTCGGTTTTCACTAATTATATTAAAAAACTGGATAAAAACCAAGAAAATCAGCCAAATTGCCAAATTCGAAATTATGAATGATCGTTCTGTAATATTTATGTTTGGCATCGTGAGGAGGCAAAGCACATCTTTCAGCTTCCTTTTGAGCTTCTTTTTCCAACTCACAGTTCCAATCCTAATTAAAAAAATAATTTTGAATCAAATAAAATGAATAAATTATAAATCTGTTGAAAGAATATCTATTTTAATACATTAAAAGAATTTTTAATAAATTTTAAAAGTTTTTTCTAAGGAAAACTATTAAAAATATTATAAATTATTCCAAATCGTTTAATCATTTTTTCGGTTAAATATGCATATAAAAAAATACCAGTTTGAAAAAGAAATCTTCTTCAATATTTTCGAAATTATGAAGAGTGATAATACCCTTTGCAGCTTTTTTTCTATATTCCTCATGCTTCATTTTCAATAAGGAACGATAAGAAGTAAGAAGTTTTGTGTCATGGCAGTTATCTTCAAAATAATAAAAACTCTGATAATAAAATTGTTTAGCAAAGGTATTTACAACTTGCATAAAAAGAATGATATATAAACGGAAAAAATTAGTTTAGCGAGTCTACAAGAATATGCCTTATTGAAAAAGTAATGATAACGCACTAATTCTAGCTAAACCACCTACGCTACGCTAATGCAGCTGACTCACTGGTATTGCAAGTTTTTTTAATGATAAGTTTCTCATTATCTATAAAGAATCAAACTATGATATCGTATGCTAATCCAAACAATCATATCACTCGACCAACCCTGCCAATAATTCCATCCTTGGCTCTTTTGCGTTAAAAAAGCAGAAATTAGTCGAACAGTATCAGAAAATTTTACTTTCACTTAAGCATTTCCACTAATAAATTAAGGATTAAATTAAGGATTAAGGATTAATGTAGGAATATGTATTTCATAATCTTACATTGTTTTAAAACGATTTTTTCGAGAGTTTCGGATGAAATGGACATTTCTGTGGTCGGAGTGTAGGTGACATTTTCTATATTAGGAACTTCTAAAATAAATATTGTTATCACAGATAATTATAAATAGTCGAGAAGTCAAGAAGTGAAACTTTTAAAATAATAGTTCCAATTCGAAGTATTCTTTTAAAGGAATAAATTAAAAGAATTTTACTTAAATTATGGACCTCTCAGGATCTCTTAAGACCTGAAAATTCTTAATTACCACACATGTCTTCATCTTTTGAGTCCTTTTAGTCCTTTTTATTTTTTCCTTTCAGTTCTCTAGTAATCATTGTTTATTATTTCAATTCAATTTTTAGGTTTTGGCTTAGTCGTAGTTGTATTTAAATACCTGTTATTGGAGTAGTCTGGAGTGGCAATGCGTGAAGAGGATCAGGGAATGTGAAATCGCTTGCAACCTGGCACAAACTCATCTCAGAATCACAAGATGATTGGTTGTAAGCATCGCAGTAATTACCTGTCTCGCAAGATGAACCTTGTCGATATAAAGGACCAGGTGTCGCCCTCAAAACAACTTTACATTAAATTTTTAAACGATCCAATATGGACTCAACAAAACGATCAATGATTTTACTTGGGCCAGTATTGACAAACGATAACCACCTCCGATTCACGACATTTACGAATACCGCAGCCGATTAACAAAGTTTTTCCATACAAAATCTAAAAATTAATATTCAACTTTCTTCATTCTTTCATTCATAGTTTAACATTCCACATTTAATTATCTGGAGATTAATAATAAACCTGTGCAACTTCATGACTTTCTCTAGTTTCATTTGTCCAGAAATCCAGCGCTTTATCAAACCAGTGATCTGAAAACACTAAGCTCAAGCATAAATTATATAAAGACTGTTATGCATGAAGTTTATTTCATTCATATAAAAAAAAAATTTCTCGTTAAGAATTAAACAATTTGATTTGAAGATTTGCAAGATTTCACCTGTATTGAAACTTTCGTTAGTCTTTATCTTGAAAATGTTTTGACCCGTTTCAAACGGGATATGAGCATCCTGTTTTCGCGACATTTTGCATGTCTCTATAGAAAAATCTGCATTTTGTTGAGCTAATCTTTCTAATTCACAACTCCACTTCTATAAATTAAAATTTGAGCATTATATATAAAAATTAAGAACATATCTTTACCACAGCTTTATTAATAAAAATCAGTCCAATTGAAAGGCAAAGTACCAATGAATAAATATTCGATCCGGATGGAAGAGATTTAAAGTCGCCATATGCTAATTGAGATCGAATTACATTGTGAATGAAGAGTATATCAGCGCGTAAATCATCGCTTATAGATTTTTTATTGCATGATTGAGCGGCAACTATAATAGACGGTGAATAATATTGTTTAAGATATCCGAAAGGTGAAGGAATGGTCAATTTTGAATAGTACTTGAGACTTTGCCCCTATTAGTATATTTGGTTTGGTCTGGTCTGTTTGAAAAACATTTAATTGCAGTCATAAATCTTTAGTTAATATTTAATATTTAATATTTTTAATATTTATTTATTTTAAGTTTTGATAAAGGAAACTAAAGGATTTAATAAATTAATGAGGCTCAAATAAAAAAAAGGCAAATGATTAAAAAAATTTTCTATGTTAGATCTTATTTTTCTTAAGTTATTTCATTGTTCATAGCCAATTTTCCCAAAACAATTTGTAACGAGATTGGAAAAATTTTTTAAGAGGAGAATTCTTCTTCTAACAGCTCTCACCATTACTGCTAAGGCTGGCTTCACTATAAGCTACAAAAGTAAGATTCAAGCTGAGTGGTCTGATGCCATCGTCGACAGTGATAGAAGCCCCTCCTTTTTCCACTGTCCATATATTGCTGGCCCATCTATATGTTCAAAACCTTTTCTGGCCGTACCAGTCCAGGTCTTGATTGGCCTCATTTTTGATGCCACCCACCCATCACACGGTAGCAAGTAACGAAATTATGTGAAAAGGGAGAATTTTTATTGTATTTAATTTTTTTTAAGAGCCCCCACTATTATTAGTTAAACTCGCTCCACTGGCTTGTCACATTGAGCAATATGCAAGAGAATCTCTCGGTGATAGAAATACAAGTGAGTCGCCAGAATCACCCGGATTTTTGGACAGCTTTACTCCTGCAGAAAACCGAACCTCAGCATCGGCGCTCCCAATTGAGCAACAACCCACTGAGCCACTCTATCCCCATTGTATTTAACTAAATTTAATTAAATTACAAAATATAATATAACATTTTATAATGATCTGGAATTTAAAGATTTATGTAGTAAGATTTATAAGAATTATAAGATTTATTATTTATAAGATTTATGTAGATTTGTTATCTTTTACTATATAAGATTCAAAAAAGAAATCATTTTCCCACACCCTGGTCTGGGACCATATAATATATATATTTATATATTAAATAATTAGATTTTATCAAATATATTGGAAATAAGGCCATAAAAAGCTATAAAAGATGTATAATAGGCTAACAAATATTAAGCAAATATTTTCGTCTGAAACATTGGTTTAGATTAATGACTTGCAAAATTATAAAGATTGGTATTGGTAGAAGAGCATAAATAAATAAAGGTTCTATGGAAAGCGGATGAATTTTAAGAAAGTAATGTAAATGTAATGTAAGAAAGTAATGTAAGTAATATATTAAAGAAACATACCATTATCGTTTTCGCTATCATTGATATTTCCATGAGAACTATTAATGGAAAATGTTGTTGTGTGCTCTTCTATAAAATTGCCGTATTTTATAATAATATATGAATAATAAATATTTGCAAAATGAGTGAAATATTTTAAGAATATTCTGTATTTAAGAATAATTTAAGAATACCATAAGAATTTTAGAAATAAAAATCTGTGGAAATTTTTTAATTCATTTTTACAGATAATTTTGCCATTATATTTATTTTGAGATACTTGCTAAATTATAAATTGTCTATTATTTATTTTAAAAAAATTTATAAATTGGTTAATTAAATATTCAACAAAATGTTTTTGGTATTTAATTTTCAAAATTTGATTCAAAATTTGAAAATTTGATGTAAGTTCAATTATAAATTCAAATTTAATTTCATCGAATTTAATACCTAAATTGGGAATATCAATAGTGCCATTTGATGCCAGAAAAGTATCAAACGAGTCGTGTATTTCTTTACCACTATGGAAATCGCATAGTTTCGAATCAAAATAACAAACTGACTCCTTATAAGTAGAACAGTCCTTCCACGTCTCACATGCAGGTCCAACTTTGTATAATTCACTCTTTTGTGCACTACGAAGAATTACAAAAATTAAGAAATATTACAAACTTATTGTACTGAAAAATATGGTAGAAAGAAGTTTTAAAATAAATATTTATGCATTCATAAATCATAAATGCAATAAATTTGCTAATGTCAAAAGCCAATTTTCAAATTATGAAAAATATGAAAAGCATAAAACTATTTGTTTAAGTAACATAATTTATATTAGAAAATTTGAATTACATCGGCCAATATTGGCAAACTAGAAACATTTTATGCACCACTCTTCTGTTAATCAGTTCTTGGCACTCATTTATACCACAGCCTACGAGAAGTGTTTGACCAGATATATTCTAAAATAATATATTTTGTTATAGAGTGGAAAAAGCACAAGAAGAAGAAAGAAAAATCAATAAGAAAGTACACCTGATTTAAAGGTTCAGTCGCATTTGACCAATAATCCATCGCCTCATTGAAATAATCATCTAAATTATTCCAAATTACGACTATATGACTATAAGCTTAAAACGACTGTTCTTCTAAGAAAACGCATTTTTGAAAATGCAAAAAATAAAAAATAAGGAAAAGTGGATGAAATTAACATCAATGGACTAAGGCTGTAATTTAACAAGGTTTCGCAAATAACATTGTAAATTGGTATCATAATTGATATCGACTAACATTGGCAGAATTTGTTTAACTGGTAAAGCAGGAATAAATCCCTTTCAAAATTTATTCCACTAGTTAAAAAAAATATGAGATGGGAGAACAATCTTACAAAGTGGTAACCTAAATACAAAATTGCTCAAGAAAAATTCAGTTAGAAATGATAATTTAATAGGCAGCGCAGCATATTTTGATATGGCCGAATAATAACAGACTGGCTAAAGTTAAGGATTTATCCTCAACATTTTTATTCTTCTTTAGGCCTATTTCAAAGGACAGAATGAAATCTATACTGGTGACGCTCAATCAAAGCAATGATCTTATTCATGATAATACTAATAATACTTATAGTCATTATCAGTTATTTTTCTGTAAGTACACCAGCTTTACTTCTATGTTATTAGTGAAAATCATATTAAATGCTAAAAATTAGTTAGTTTTGAATTGATAAATTGATAAATAAATTAGTTTTCAATTGATAACAAACCATTGTTTTTTGATTCATTAGCAAGCTGCTGGTAGGTGACTTCACCAATTTTGCCAGAAAAATAATCCAATTCCTTAGTTCTTCCACAGCTGTTCGCTCTTTCTTGCGCTAATTTCGCTAAATTACAATTCCATCTCTAAAATTTTTTATAAAAATTTTTATTAATAATTTCTATTACCAGCCGAAAAAATATAAGTAAGAATAAAAACAACCATTGTGTATATATTTGTTCCGCTTTCATATCCATCAAAATCACCTCGTGCAAGATCCGATCGCATTTCGTTGTGAAATTCCACAATACTTTCTTGTAAATTGTCAGTTATATTCGATTCGCAATGAATCTTATCTAACCAAGTTTCGTATGCGAATGAACCTAAATTTTGCAGAATTTTATCGTGAAGAAAGCCATCTACATCACATTACTATAATTGTAAAAATAAAATTGTTTGTTTTTTGTAAATTTTCGTTCAATTGATATCGCTGAAGGCCGCAGTAGTATATGATGGCATTCGCTCTTCCTCAGAAGCTACGCATAAAACTGGTTTGTGTATTTTCTTAAAATCCGATGGATTTTTTAATACCGAGGAAATTTCTTATTATTATAGCCAAAATTATGTAATAAGATATGATAAGTTAATGATAAGTTAATAAAGTTAAAGTTAATAAAGATTTCTTCGTTTTGGGCTGATTTCCTAAAAAAGGAAGATAAGGATAAGGATATGCTTCTAAATTCCGACATTTTTTCACTCAGCTGTGACGCGAAATTTTTGGTAATAATGCGAATGAACCTAAAGTTTGCAGAATTTTATCGTAAATCTCTTCGAATTGCATTAAATTCTATAAATATCATAAATATCGTCGCAGTCCATTTAAACGGAAAACGCAACAATTATTTCCTTTCAACACCAGCAAATAGCGCTGCACTTTTTAGTGATCAACGATTTGGAATATGAATTGACCACAGATTCCTATTTTTTTATGCCACTTTAATTTCGTTATAACCAGTTGTAATCTCATTAACAAAACGCAGTTGAATAATATACCTTCAACAACTTGTTATGCGTTTATTACATGGCTGCAGTATATTTTAAAAGCGGGCGATCGGAAGAAAGGGAAGTAGGTTGAAAGTAAAGTATATTGACGAGTTTGATGGGTTGTTAAGAAACATAACTGAATCTAAAGACGGTTCTGCGCATAAAGGATCTTAATACTTTTTACTTTTAATACTTTTTTTAAACACCTTTTATTACTCCGGACCTTTTTTTATCCTTCTTCGCACCATTCCTCTAACAGTATTTACCATTTCTAGTTTCGCTAAAAAAGATGAAATCGCTTCTCTAAGATACAAAAATGCTTCCACCATTACCAGAGATGCATTATCGGATTGCATTATTTTAAATGATAGATTGGCACATTCTTTTCAGGAATTTCCAATGAAGTTCCACTTTCCTTACAACCCAATTGGCAGACTTTACAGTGGATATTTGGTTAGACTAAATGGATTTCGGTAAAATATTAGCAACAAGTGGTCCTAAAGTTGACTGCTTTAAGAAGCATAAATCATCTAAAAAAACAAAATTCTCTCGAAAAAAAATTTGAAAGAATATTAGCTTACTTGCCACCGCAAAAAGTAGCAAAACCGGCGTAGGAAACACCATGATAGCGTATGTGATTGCTTGTGTATTGTCAAGCTTTTATATAGGAAACCATGGTATTACGCATGATATAAACACCATTAGTCTTTGAACAATCAAGTCAATTCAGTTTACATGAAAGACTGAAAATCAAGAGATTTATAAAAAAAATGGCATTGCAAATGGTTTACGACGAAAGTAGCATTAATGAAAATATATGAAAATCATACAGTTTGTTATTTTAAAAAAGGAATTATGGTAAATTCCCAACCCTTGCTTCGATTTGAAAGTTGAGTTAATGCTGATGATTTTCGTTGACAGTCAGAACTGCTATAGGCATTGCATTTAATCTATTAGTATTAGGCAAAATTGGGCTTCCAATCAAACTCTTTCAGTTTAAAAGATAACAATTTGAAACATCTTGGGGACTCTCATCACTAATGCAATCAGAATTTGTTTTATTCCTCTTTTAAATTGTCGTGAAATCTCATATTATCCCAGAAAATTCAAAAGAATGAACATTCCTAAAAAATCATTATCAAAATTAAATCTGTAAAATTTTAAGAAGAAATCACTCACTCACTTACCCACTCATTCACTCACTTATTATGCATTTCATATATGCATCAATGAATTGAGCTTAAGCTTAAGCTTCAGTTCAAGCCCGTAAGTGTGAGCTCGAGCTTAAACCTGAGCATAATTCCGTTCTCAGTTCCAGTCATATTATATCACAAATCAAATTGATTTCTGAAATATCTCCAAAAAAAATTGTTTCTGTTTCTTTTACTATGAAAAATAAAGCAAACTTTAGAGGATTTTTTTGAGGATTTTGAAAAATTTTATTTTACATTTTTTTAAACTTCTAAATATCTAAAAGAGGATTGATGAGAATGAAGATTATATCAAAATAAATTTTTATATCATGAATATGCAATATAATTATGGAAGTCTTCATTCGTTATTCGTCAACTAAAATGAATCGGAAAATTTGAAATTTAAAACTAAATCGGATTACGACGTCAAGCAAAATTTTCCAAAATTATCAAAGCTTTCAGAAATAATTATATTAATTATATAATAATTATACAATTATAAAAAATAATTTTCCATAACCATGAAATAATCACAGCTATATTTTTTATTTTAAAAAGAAACACAAATTTATTTTTAAATTCGAACTACTTTCACATAAAAAGAAATTAAATTCTTTATTTTAAGAAGGAAAATTTACCATTCATTTATTTTGCCATACCATATTTATAAGTGAATTAAGCTTAAGCTTATGATTTTATGGCTTTCAGTTCTATAATTGAATTATGGACACTACTTAAAAATAGTCAAGAAATGGCCTAGTCAGTGGAGAACTGAGTACCACAAATCTTGTTATTTACGGTTCTAATCATATATCCTTCTTTGCTGACAGTTACGAAGGAAATAGAACGACGTTCTGGTGTTCAAATTATGGATTATGTTAAAAGCTGAGAGTGCCTTACTTCTGCAATAAAATAAAATTAGATCATGCTGGCAAATTTTTACCCTTGAGTTCTTTACAAGATGCGGGATAGTGAAGCAACTTATAGCAACTTATAGAAGCGGTTAACCACTAAGTGTATAGCGAATACTAGACCATGCATCGATATTTGCATCAATCAGTGTAATTAAGAGGAAAGCCTTTTCGTTTTCTGAATATATTTTATCTATTCCTACAGCAAGTGGCAAAACGAGACAAAATTCCATCCAGAAGGATAATTGCTACTGGAATTTCTCCTTCCGTCTAACAAAACCTCATTTACCATTACTTAAGGCAAATACATTATAGGTAATCAGTAAGGGAACAGACTCTCGAAATATTATTGAAATATTATTCACCTTCACCCTTCACTCAAACACCATCTGTATTGCATATTAGTAATAATATCAATAATATTACCATTTAGCGTCCTTCTTCGTTTATAATTTTCATCGACTACCGACTACCACAGGACGCATAATTTACGCATAAAATTATTGCATGTATGTATCGCACTAACAATCAAATCCTAAAGAGATGCGGTCGAAAATTTTTTGAATGCATAAATAGCTAGAGATTTATGGGTTTAGACGGTGGAAAAACTAGTGGCTTAAATTTCTCTTAGATAAAAATATGCTGTCGAATCAAGCTGCATGGAAATAATATATTTATAACCAGCGTAGCCAGCCCCAATAACAATACTAGGATGAAAAAGAAATATAGTAAGAGTTTTAAGGGAATATGGAGTCTAGAAATGTTTTGCAAATATGATAGAGCCTGGGAAATACCAAAAAGTTTGGATAGATTAGACTTAGAATATTTTCGAAGACTAGTTTCTCTGGATACGTTTCATAAAAATTAATGATAAATTAATTTAAGGATTAATAAAAAATATGATAAAGTAACTTTGCGTAGATATGGCAAAACTGCATCGAAATTTTAAAATACTCCTTAGTACGTCCTTAAAAACTGTGATAGCTTTTTAAGACTCTTTAAAGCTTGTATTCAAATTCTCACATTACTCCACACTATCCTCCAATTCCCGCTATATTTCCTCAATGCTCTTAGTCATTGCGTGGTACTTTATGCAATTTGCAATTTACAAGTGTTATTAAATATACTTTAATAAAACACTATGGAGGTTGTTAATAATCTAAGTTTGACAGGCTTAAAACGAAAGCCATTTAAAATGATGATGGATTATATCAAATAGTCAAATAGCTTCTGATTTTGAGGGGATATTTGACGATATTGCTCGTTTTTCTCGAAACCTATTGGGTTTAAATGGAGGCGACCATGATATCGCAGCATGATAGGTAAACTGGATCGTGGACACAATAAGTATGCAACATGTTGGCCAGCATATTATAGTATCATAGCGGGATAGCGGGAACTGGCGATCTGGTACAATTCAAAAGAGTGTATGGTACTATTAGAGATTTCAAGAAAGGAATTCTATTTGATAGGATGTTAAAGAAGACAAGGGGATTTCAAAAATTTAGAGCTTCTTAGCAAATTGTGATGAACTTGTCAAAGTTCCTAATAGAGCAGATATTTTGAGGAATTGCTATTGATTAGGTATGGCAAAATAGCACTGTCTTCGAATATGAACATTAATAAAGCATAGCGAATTTTTGAGAGGAGCTGTAACAGGAGAGATTCAGAGGAAATTGATAAGGAGCTAGAAGTTATATTTGAATGATTTGAAGGATGAGAAAGGGATCTTATATTTATAAAGGATTTTATATTTTATATTTGTATTTTAAAAATTCCAATTTGAATTCCACTCTTTTCAGTGATAACTGATTTTTAAATTTTTCTTTAAATTCTTTAAATTTAAATTCTTCCTTCGACATATTGGCGCTGCCCTTTATTCAATTTCGCTGATTTGACAAATTTGATAGGAATTATCGAAATAGAAACGAGTAACTTTAAAAGTGAAATTCGGTTCGCTATTGCTCGATATCAATCAGATTTAATTGAAGTGGAACAACGTGTTCATCGAATGGTTCAATTAAAAGAATATGGCAAAAACTGAGGAAAAAATCTGTGATTTTATTCAAAAATATTAAGTAGTCAACAATATTTTCTGTGATCAATTAATAGCATAGAGGTCGAATATTCAATTTTTGGTGAAAAATTGAAAATGTTCTGTTAATTAGTAGCCGAAAATATGAAAAAGCACTATTCGAGGTTTTTCTTTACAGAAGATTTTTTTCTAGCTTCTGCTTCCACGCATGTTCCTAAATTAGCATCACAGAATGAATTAGGTAACGAACTGCAATCTGCATCTCGTGCACAACTGATCGTATAACTATAAAGATGATTTGGGTCGCTCCTAAAAAATTATGGAATGAGATTTTAAACTTTTAAAAAAAGAGAAATTGTCGGAAGAACTCAATTTCCAAAATAATCACAAACAAGACAGATGTTCAAACAAATAAATTTGACGAATTTTCAGTAGAATAACCATATGAGAATTTAAAGTATAAAGGAAAGCTCCTCACACTGGCCAGTAGCGGCAGATAATATCAAGTACCATTTGAAGACTTTCATCAATACATGATGCAACACCACAACCTATTTCTGTGGCTTCAAGTCGTGCAATCTAAAAATTTACCATAAATTAAATTCTCACGAAGAATGTATTTATATAATATTATATAATATTTCTATAAAGATAAAAAAGAGGATATTTTAAATTTATCAAATATTTCTTAAATTTAAAAAAATAATTCCTACTTATTTGCTACTCATTCAACTTAATATTTATTATTTACTTATAATAAATATTAAATTGTTTGCGATTTAAATAACTTTTTACTTCTTTAAAATTATTTAAATTATTTTCTTATTTTTTGAAATATCGACTTCCTTAATATTTGAATTATAATTTCGATTTTTCAAAAAAAAATTTTATGGAGAATAATAACATTGTCATTATCGTTATCCATTGCATTCCCCCACCAACTACTAATTGCATGATCAATTTTTTTATCTAAAATTAAAATCAAATTCAAAAAGTCCAAAAATAAAAATTTAAAAAAAAAATAAATAAATTACTTGGAAATATAATTCTATTACAACGAGAAAAATTCTTCGTAATGTCATTTGATCTCAAAAAAAAATTTTCGGCTGTGTTGGACTTAAAATTATTTCAACTAAACAGTTGAACTGATACCCAAAGAAGTAGCCAAATTGTCAAAATCGAAATTATAAACGATCGTTCTATAATATTTGTGTTTTGCATCGCGAGGAGGCTCAGCACATTTTTCAGCTTCCCTTTGAGCTTTTCTTTCCAATTCACAGTTCCAATCCTAATTAATTCATGTAAATTGATATAAATTGTAAGATTTTCGACTAAATATTTATAAATACATTGAAAACAATTAAACTTGCCGAAACTTTTATTATTTTAAATCGTTTTCAATTCGTTTTATTTTTCAATTAAAATAAAAATATAAATTAAAAATACCAATTTAAAAGAAAAATCTTCTTCAATGAACTCGAAATTACGAAGATTGACAATACCATTCGCAGCATTTTTTCGATATTCCTCATGTTTTTTCATCAATAGGAAACGATAAATGCTAAGAATCTTTGTGCCATTGCAGTCATCTTTAAAATATTTCAATAATTGATTTTCTGATTATAGCCAGAAAACTTGTATCCTCCAAAAAATTTTCAAATATCTATGCTAACTTATGCAAATTTTATTCCACTTTCTCAATTCATATTCTTATTTATAAACTAGATTATTTTTTTATGTTTTCGTTTTATTCAGCCATTCATCTTATTTTTTCCTACCTTTTTTTATTTTTCTCAAGCACATGGACTCTGCTTAATCAAATGTTTATATAATTATATGCATATAATCCAAATATATGACCTGTGGTGGACAGGAGCTGCTTTGCGCGAAGAGGGCTAGGAAGTATAAAACCATCCGGAATCTGGCATAAGCCCGTCTCATGATGACAAGATGATTGGTTGTAAGCATTGCAATGACCGTTCGCCTTACAAGATGAACCATGTTCATATAAAGGACCAGCTATCGCTCTCAAACAATTTCAAATCAAATTTTTAAATGACTTTATAGCGAACGCAAAAATGATGAATAATTTTACTTGGGCCAATATTGACAAACGACAGCAATCTCCGATTCCGGGCATTTACGAATACCACAGCCGAGTAACAAGGTTTTCCCATACAAAATCTTAAGAATTATATATGAATAAATAAGGAAATAATTTTTAAAATTCCAAAATTGTGGGCAGAAAAATAATGTATTAACCTGCACAACATTATTACTTTCTCTGGTTTCTTTCGTCCAGAAATTCAGTGCCTCACCAAACCAATTACCTAAGAAAAAATCATTAAGGCTGAAGCATATATAAATTTTTATTTAATCACGAGATTTCGAGAGACGTTTGATTACCTGCTGTGAAGCTTCCGTTGGTTCTAACTTTAAAAATATTCTGACCAGTTTCAAATGGTACATGAATATCCTCTTTTCGCGATATTTTACAAGTATCTACAGAAATATCTGCGTACTGTTGTGCTAATCTTTCCAGCTCACAACTCCATTTCTAAGAACTAAATTTTATAAGAAATACAAGAGATAAATTGGCATTGTACAGAAAAAACTAGTAGATTCTCTTATTTACAAGGAAAGATAAGAGAAAAAGTACCAATGCATAAATATTCGACCCAGATGGAAGAAATTTGAAGTCGCCATTCGCTAACTGAGATCGAATTATATTATGACCAAAAAGTATATCACTGCGCATATTATCGCTCATAATTTTACTACATGATGATGCGGTGACTATAATTAAAATGAATATTTTACAAGATATGCTCATTTGGTCATAAGCTTGAGGGTCATTTGCAGTTTAATACTTCTCAACTTTACAACACTTCAAAATATCATTCGACGCGTCAGTAATTGACATTCGTGGCTTTCTTGGCTTTAAACGCGATTAACCGCGTTTTAAATTTTAAATCATCGCTTGCGATTCGATTTTTTCACAAATTTCTGATTATAATTAAAATTAAAATCAATGAAGTTATATATTAAAAGAAATTCTCAAAATTCGTAGATTTTGTTTTTCTCTTAAATGCCAAATTTGCAGCCAACTTTTTCCTTAAAGTAACTTGATTCGTAACTTGATTCGAGAAAATTTTAAGAGGAGAATTGTATTATATTTAATTAAATAGCAAAATTCTGAATATTAAAATAATATTTTAAATAATAATTTTTTTGAATATTAAAATAATATTATATGAATGATCTGGAATTCTGAAGAGTCGCTAGATTATGGAAAATGTAGATTGCAAGAATGTTGGAATCAAGAAGGCCGAAAAGGCTATCATGCAAAATAGCCATTTAATAGATATGCGTATTTTCCCTTTTTTCATTTGAAACTTTTTCAAGCACCAGTGATTTATGTTATTGTTTATGAAAAAATATGCATGTTGCAGTATGAATGAATCGATGTGCTCTGGGAAAATAAAATAAATGCTGAAATACATACCATAATTGTTATCACTACCATTGGCATTTCCACGTGAATCCTTTCCGAGAAGCGATGATATTGCTGAATGCTCTTCTATAAAATATTCTATAAAATCGCAAATTATCGACAATTTTGAAAAATAATATGCAAATTTTTTAAATAAATAAATTTAATATTTTATAAAAACCGGTAAAATCTGTGAAAATTTCTTTTTTATATTTTCTTTTTTCCATATTTAAATTTAATTCTTTTAATTCGCATTGAATTTTATGAATAATATTTATTTAAATGCGATTAATTATATATTTGAATAAAAAATTAATTTAAAATTAATTTATTTTCAGGTTCCATAATCCAACTTAAATTTAATTTCATTCAATAATTTAATACCTAAATTAGGAAAATTAATTGTGCTATTTGATAAGAGGAAAGTGTGGAACGTATCATATATTTCGGCCTCATTATATGAATCGCATAATTTCGTATACGAATAGCAAACCGATTCGTTATAAACAGTACAATCCTGCCATGTTTCGCACGATGGTCCAGCTTTATACAATTTATCTTCTCGCACGCTAAGGAAAAAAATTAAAATTTAAAAATATTATGCTAAAGTAATATTTATGCTAAAGCTATAAGTTTATATTAAAATATTATAAATATTATAAATATTTATATTAAAATAATTTCGACAACAAGAAACAGAACGTAGGGAAAATATATGAAAATACATATTAGAATATAGCATAGGTTTTTTCTTAGGTTTTACAGCTGTAATTTGACAATGTAGGAATAGCAATTTTTTTGCCATTTTCTGACTAATATGTAAATCTCTGCTTTAAAAAATCTGCAAAGCCAAATAAAAAACTCCTAAATTCAGAAATTATAAAAGTCAAACAACAAATTCAACAATGCCAAAAGTAAATTTGATATTGTTGAATTAAAAATTGGAAAATCTGGAAAATATAAAATATTGAAAAATTAGTACATTGGCCAATATTGACAGACTAAGTACATTTCGTGCACCATTCTTTTCCTAACAACTTTTTGGCACTCATTTATACCACAACCGACCAGAAGTGTTTCACCAGATATAATCTGAAATAATTTTATTCACTATGTAATGGGAGAAATGTAATAAGAGAAAAAGAAAAAGGAGTGAAAAAATTTACCTGATTCAAAGATTCAGTCGTGTTTGACCAGTAATCCATCGCCTCTTCGAAATAATGACCTAAATTGTTCCAAATCTTTCATTGTATTTTTATACTGATTAATAACTTAATAATGATGGTTCTTCTAAAAAGTACTTTTTCTGGGATTCTCTCAGGGGAACCATCACGCTGGTCATCTATTTGTTGTTTATTTATTTAAACAATTCAAGAAAAACAAATACACGGGCTTCAATGACTGTGAATAAATGAGTTCAGAGTTCAGAGCAGAACAGAACAGAACAAATGGTAACAAATAAAAATGCAAAAAAAATGATTAAAAACAAAAGAAATGATGGGGCTTAGGGCATTTGTCATTAAAAATGGACTAAGGCTGTACATTTATAAAATATTGTGATTAATATCATAAAAATTCTTTTCAAAGTTGGAAACTGGTGAGGCAAAAACTTTATATGGTAACTTGTTCCAGTAGTTAACACTTCTAATGAAAAAATTATAGCAAGGACAGAACATTGCTTCTACAAAACATTTGCGTAATTTGAACCTAATTTAATTGAGAAAAAGTAAAGTTTAACTGAAATTGTAATCTGTAAATGGCAGTTAAACAGAATCAGATTTTGTTTACATCCTTTTTTTTAAATGGTCCTCACCCTTACTGATAAGCTCCACTGACTTACTGCACTAGACAAATATGCTAGGGAGTCCCTTAGCGATAGAGGCGAGTCACCAGCACGGACAGGTTTACTCATGCGGAGAATCGAACCTCAGTATCGATTGCTATTATCAGCAAAATTATTTCTTCATTTCGTTAACGGATTTATTTTTATTTTTGGCCAAAATTATAATGAACATATTAAATTTAATAAAGACCATTATTTTTTGATTCATTAGCAAGCAATCGATGAGTGATTTCTCCGATTTTATCAGAAAACTGATCCAATTCTCTATCGCTTGTACAACTGTTCGCTCTTTCTTGCGCTAATTTTTCTAAATCACAATCCCATCTCTAAAATTTCTTCTATAAATTTTTGTTTAGAATTTTTATCAATCGAATAAAAATAATAAAGAATAATCAACCATTGTATATATGTCTGTTCCACTTTCATATCCATCAAAATCACCGCGCGCAAGTTTTGATCGGATTTTATTATGAAATTGAGTGATATCTTGCTGTAAACCAGCCTTTATATTCGATTCGCAGTTTAACTTATTAGTTCGAGGATAATAAGCGAATGAATCTAAAATTCGAAAGATTCTATCATGAAGAAAGAGACCAATATGCCTAAGAAAGATGCGACTGAAAACTTCCAAAATAGCAGCAAACTGAGATAAAACTTTACGTTATCCACACTACAACAGATGCTGTTATTATTTAAAATCCTGACAGGCCTACCACCATCTAGAAAATTTCTCATTTTCTTTTCAATAAGCGCCAAACAGCATTGCATTCTTATAGCTTCTACCCATTGCGAAACCACAATTTCCTAAACCCTTTATATCATTTCAGTCTCAGATATTACAACAAACCCATCATCACCCAAACCAGTCATGCATATTCAATGCGTTGACTCGGCTTTTGCAACGGCTGAAGCACATTTTTTTATATTTTCATGCATTCCTGATGGGTAGAGAAGCTTCTGAGTCATTAGAATCACTAATGCTAAGGTAAGCAGCGCACTGGTACGAAGGATAGTTAAGAGCACATCACGAGTTTTCAGGAATTTCTCTGAAGCTAGACTTTAGGTGATTCGATGTAGCTCTACAGCCCGCACAATTGACCTTACCATTAAATAATTTTCATCAGATTAATTACAAAATGATCCCATCCTTCTTCAACATTCATCATTTACCCTTTGACTAATAAAAGCTACAGAAATGCGTATAAATGCATTAAATGAGTTTCTACTAGCATCGGACTTTAATATAGGTGAAAGGCTTATTCCTGGTAAGAGATATATTAGTCTACCGACGTTGTCTCTAGGAAACATGAAATTTTTACATGGAGACTTAGTTTTACTTTTTATATGGATCGGAGACTACGCAATTACACTAATATAAACTTGAATATCTCGATAGACTATATCGAAGTGGTCCTAAAAATGCAAAATTATCTCAAAATCGACAAAATAATTGATAAAACAATAGCTTACTTGTTATTATCACAGAGAAGAACACGACCAGCATAGGAAAGGCCATGATGCTGTATAAAATACCATTGTTCGCGTTTTTTCACGCTTTTATAGAAGCCTGGTAAAACAAAGATCAAGATCAAAATCAATTTGCATATGCATGACGTACGGAAATCGAGCGATTCACAGAAAATCTTCAAAGGGAATGAGAATGAAATGAATTTAATAAATTAACAGAAAAATTTCCATCATAAAATTCACTTACTCGTTTACTTATTTAGAATTATAAAGTTGATAAGTGAAGTTGAAATGAATGCAGTGGTAACGTTGTCCTCTTCTAGAGTTGCTTGCATCTAATGGAACCTCCTTGAAAAGACCACGAAATTAGCCTCAAAAACAGCTATATGGCAGCAGTTCACGTCGCCCTAGCAACTTTTTTCATACAATAATCAGCCAAGCAAAGATTTCATTTCATAGAAAAATTCATCAAAGGTTTGCTTAAAAACAAAATTCATATAAAATTTAAATTTATTAGGCAAAATTTTAAATTTCCGATGAATTTTAAAATCATTTATTTCGATATTAAGGAAAGAAGAAAATTCTTTTTAAAGATTCAAAACGAATTCTAAAAAAAGATCATCGAATAAAATTTTTCCAATTCCTAAATTTTTTTTTGCAAAAATAATGTAAAATTTAGATCCTCGAAAACTTTGGGAAAGAAGCCTATTTAAAATTCCATGCATCGCGAAAGGATTTATGGGAGCGAAGAATACCAACGTAAAATAAAATTCGCTTATTATGAATGCCATAATGAAATTATTGTTTGTCAAAGAAATTACTCGCAAATAAATATTTGCGACGAATTTAAATCGGATTAATGATTAATGATGAAACGTAATTTTCCGGAATAATTTTCCGGAATCACTACAGTTTTCACACAAATCGTAATTATAAATTTTATTATCAAAATTTTATTAATTTTCAAATTCAAAAATTCAATTCTGTTGTTTATCGCAAAAAATTAGTTTGCGCTAGAATCTTGTAAAACAAACGACAGAAAAATTTTCTCCGACCCAATATTCAAATAATCAAGAGTATCTACAAAACGCTACCAATGCTTTGCTTTCAAAAATGTAGCTTCATATCAATTCTAAAGGTTCCAATTTTCCTAATCTTATTATTAATGGCAATATAATCAGTAGAGTCTCACACATTTCTGATCTTGGAATAATCATGGATGAAAATCTCGATTTCGACCTTCATTGCAGAACCATGGTAAAGAATTCCTCAAAGACATTAATTTTATTTTTCGTTCCTTTAAAAACAAAATTTTCTTATCAAAATGTACAGAGCGTTCGTTCGGCCACTTCTTGACTACAATACTACATATTACTCCCCGAGATATAGTAAATCAAGTAAAATAATTGAAGGACTCCAAGAAGATTTTATACGCCGCCTCTCTCCTAATTGCAATTTTAATTATAAACGAAAACTTCTACAATATAATCTGGATTCTCTGTCAGTTCGTCGCATTAAACGTCTTATTAAAGATTTAATTTATACTTATAAGATTTTATATGGTTATGTTAAACTAGATTGTTCAAAATATAATTTTAGGATAAATTTAAATCCAACAAGAACTAATGGGCTAAAACCTATGTAAATTAAGGACTAAAACTAAAAACTAAACTAAAGTTTCTCATGATTTCTTTATTTGTAATATTAATTTCTAGAATAAATTATCGAACGACATAGCTTGTGCGCCATCCATCCTTAGCTATGTTTAAAAAAAGAATAGATAATATCATTTATGATGTTATTTAAAAAGTTTAGATCATAAGTAGGAAGTGTGAAATCTCGATTTTTACCATCCGATTATAGTTATTTCGAATTAATATTAATATTAATATTAATATTAATTAATATTAATATTATTTTATAATTTTCTCTTTTTTTCATCTTTAAATTTTTAATTTTATATTATTTTAACCGTTATTATATTTTTATTATATTTTTATTTATTATATATTTTTTTCTCATTAATTCTTATTATTTATTATTTTAACCGTTGTTATTAATACAAGCACTTGGCATTAGCTTTGATATGAATCTGTTTTTGTTATTGTGACCGTAAATAAGATAATACGAAGCTTCATTATTTTTTTAAAATTTATTTTAGCCTTTAATTTCAGTTTTTTCGATAGACAACCCTACTCAACATACCCCAGTTCCCTTACCCAACCCTTTCACTTCCCTTCTTCTTTTCCCCCTACCTCTCCTCACTCTTCTTCAAGTCCCAAATGATCTATTCGGAGCTAGAGGATGGCCAGGATGGGCGGATGGCTTTCGTCTTTCTTCCACTTTTTCGAAATGGAATATATTTCTACTGCGTCTATCTTTCTTTATCTTTCTTATATATATCTATCTTTGAATAGGTACTCCAATTTGCTCTTTTTCATCTCATGTTCTTAATGATTTCGGATGGAAAGAGGTAGCACGGCGAATGACCAACCCTAATCGTCCTTCCTTCTTCCTTCGCCATTTGGTAACAGCATCTTTTGCTCGGATTTTATTCCCGACATTTACTAATATTAGCTAAAATAGATTTAGCCATTTAATGCGTCCGATTATTGTTATTTCTAGTTAAAATCATTAAACTCGTCCTCGGGATTCGCGGAACTATTCTGGGATTTTAGGAGTGATTTCTGGGCTGGAAGCATCGCAACAATCCAATAATAATATTTTGTAGCAATCCAATTTGTATTTTTAATTTATTTTCAACTACGCTTATAAATTTTATAAATCTTATAATTTTAATTTTTTTCCGTAAAATTTGCACTTCTCTTATAAAAATAGAGGAAACCTTCCTGCGGAAAGAAGGTTAATAATAATAATTTCAATAGTTTAAATGCCAATAATTATTTTTTTTAGAAGTCCTCATCTTTACTGGCTAAACTCGCTCCACTGGCTTGTCGCGATTGGGTAATATGCAGGGAGTCTTTTGGCGATAGAAATAGAGGTGCCAGCATCATCCGGATTTTTAGCCTGCAGGGAATCAAACCTCAGCATAGGCGCTCCCAATTGAGTAACAACCCATTGAGCTATCCTATCCCCTGTTATTAGTTATTAGTTATCAATAGTTATTATAACTGAATATTAATTAACTGGCATCAATTAACTGATTTTTATTGATAAATTATCGTCTATTAATTGGAATTAATTATTTTTTAACAAGTAAAAACTTTTATTACTACTGAAATAATTAATTCATTCTTATTACTTTACTAAAAAATTGGTATTGTAAATTATTATCAATTTTATAACTATCGTTATTAAATAATTTTTTACTTAATTTATTAAATTATCAAATTTTTTATTTCTATGAATAATTCACTTATTAAATGATCATAATTAATGAGGAATCTTCGTTTCCTAATAGTTCTTACCATTTGGTTAGGTTGGTTCCACTGAGCACAAGAGTACAAGGAATACAAGAAGCTGAAACACGTAACAAATGGATAAGAAATCCCATGATCGATATAAAAAAAATTAAAATTCTCGAATAATTAATTTTGAATTTTTGGAAATGAATTTTTTAAATTACTTTATTATTCTAAAAAAGTGGAAATTTCGAATAAGAAAAAGTAAAGCTCATTTAAAATCTAAACTGATATAATAGAAATGATCGACCCATGATATCTGACGAATGAAATGGATTTTCACATTTCAAGTACATAGGTAACAAATGAATAAAAATGGTAGATAAAAACAAGAGAAACTGAAGGCGAAATTCCGAAGCTTAATCTAAATGGAAAATAATAACCCACAAATGAATATTATTAAAGAAATTGAAATTTATGATAAAAATGAGAATATTAAATTTTTCTTTTATAAATAATTCTTAAAGTAAAATAATTATAAATCATTTTCTAAGATAGCACGATAAGCGATGATAGCTAATATGACCAACAACAAATGATTTGACCACTAACTGAATCGCAGATAGATAATTATTTCAAGCATGGTATCGGATTGACGCCCCAGCAAACGAGGATGGCTGGCAGCTAAACCAGAAATAGAATGCAAAGAATGAATTCAAAGTATAAAAAAACGGATTGGAAAAACAATTTTTTATTTCAAGCTTCGAATTTGATTTTTAAAATTACACCAAAATAACTAACATTTAAGAATGACATAAGATTTCCATTATTGAATCTTGTGTTGCCAATGTTAAAAAATTTACAATTTTTTATAAGCAAAGTAATACACTTGCTTAAATTTTCGTCTACAGCAAAGACGAAGCATTGTGGGAAAACAACAAATAAATGAAAGTAATAATAAATATGCTATTAAATCGGGTGACCAACGTGTAGCAGGAGGATACAAAGGCAAAATTCGTTTAGGCCGTAATGAAACCCAATCGTTAGATCGATACTTACGAAACATATATTCTGCGGGAATTTTCTGAAACGCCAAATCATCAATAACGAATTGCATATGACGTAGATAATTTTGATCCAATAAAAATAGCAGAAAAACGGTTAATACTCCACCAGCTAACGATGTTAAATGTACTGAGCAATCTGTAAAAAAAATTTAAGATTGTGAAAATTCAACTGCTTGAAATTTTAATTATCAGAAAAAAAAATTTCGAGAAAATGAACCAAAAATAAAATTAGTGGCGGCATTTCCATGAGTAATCGTCCCTGCATAATCATGAAGTGATGGAACCCATTGCATATTCTCATTATAACAACCATATTTTGGATGTTGCCAATTTAATATTTTTTGAAGTAAATCGACTGGGCCGAACTCGATGAAGCCAAATTGACCACAGACGAGAACTGAATAGAAAACAAGAATATGAATATGAAAGAATATGAATCTCTAAAATCTATGGAAAAAATATTCTTTTTGAATCTAAAAATTTCATAAAGAATATCAATAACGGGTATAATGCATGGATTTCTTGCAAAATCATGAATACTAGGATAATTTCCAAGTAATACCTTGGATCACTAAGCATCAAATCTACGCTTAATAACATCGTTAATTGCTAAACTCTAAATCAAATCAAATACACATAATATTAAACCTTGTTCCATCATTTTCTCATAAATATTTGATTCAGTTCTCCTTAAATCATATAAATATTTAAATTCTTCTAGTATATTCGTGCAACATATTGCAATAAATTCTTCCAGTGTTTGTTTTCTCTTTTTAAATAGGTATTCAGATATTTGGTAGGAACAAGGCAACTGAAACAAACAATAATACTGCATATTATTATTTATTATAATTCTGATCTTAATAAAGAATGGTAAAAAAATGCAAACCTTTCCCGTACTGCGTCATGAACTACATTTTAAATCTTAAAAAAATAATTTATGTGATTATATTGTCAGCATCCTTTATAATTACATTCTCAAGGAAGGTGATGCCTCAATCTTTTTTCTAAAATTTGTAAGGACAAAAATATCCAAAAATTTAACAGTATATTTGACCAAATAATTTGTTATAAAATAAAAACGCACAGATCGCAAAGTCGCCAGATATAATACTTGACGAATAATAAGGTGCTCGGTTGATATTGTCGTATTAAACATTCGCATTAAACATTCTTGACTTATATTACAATAATTAATTTTATTACAATTCTGCGATAATATTTCGGCAAAACAACTAAAATCTCTGGATTAGCGAAAAATTCAAAAAAATATTTCCAGTGATATTAATCCATATGGCCATCAATTTTAGTCATCGAAAAACATTTAACTCCACGTTTTCCTCAAAAAAAGAGAGCATTTCTTTCACATCATACAAAAAACAGCCGCGTTATGTTCAGAAAAGATTATGTTCAAACGATTCCACGGAAAGGTGCAATGTTTATAAAGGGTTACTGGTCGTTTCGGAAACTGATATTTGGTAATAAGATGAATAAATTAAAAGTAATTCTAAAAACTAACTGGTCGGTGAAAGTTCCATCGCTAAAAAACGATTTAGAATATCGACCGTTTTTAATGAATATCGGTGATTTTTTTGATTGCTTCTTTATTTTCTGATTTGAATTGTAATGTGGGAAGTATTGACAGTTATTGATATACTGAAAAAAAAAACAATTTAACAATAAATTACATCTGATAACATCAATTGGTCGAAGCCTAAATATTTGTACTAAAAATTCGAAATTAATATTTATCGTTATACCTACTTTCAAATAATTTTTTTTCAGGCCTATTAAAATTAAACAATGGAGATAACGAAAAATGCAATTAAAGTCACAAACTTTCTTAAGAATATTGGATTGGTTAGTACTATGAAACGAACTGGCTCTATTCACAATTTCATCGGCACCAACGCTCAATTTTTGTATTTCTTTGATAATCTCAAAATTAATTCCACGAATATAAACGCTACTGGATAATTCATTCAATATTCCTGAAAAAGACAAAATATCTAGTTTTTTCATAAGAATATTTGTTTATAGATTTATTTCTTTGAAGCCCACACCATTAGTGGCAAAACTCGCTCGGCTGTCGCATAAGTGTGCCAGAGAGTGATATGGCGATAGAAGTACAGGTGAATCACCAGCACTACCCGGACATTCAAACGAATGAAAGATATTGGAAAATATTCCCAAGAGATGCCTCAAGATGCCTCATGAAGAAAGATTATTGAAGACGAACAAAACAATAATAAAACAACAGAAATCTGCTAAAGGAAGTAAAAAGGAAGAAATCCAAACCTTTGATAATATGAAAAATAAAAACATCTTCAAAAGTGAGCTGCGATATATGTTCATGGTGATAATTCTCGATACCAAAAAGCGCATTCAAAATCAACGATATCAAATACGCCCATTTCCAGTCGATACTCTGATTTAGCGGTGGTGCCATATTTGTTATAACTTTCACATTTCTTTTCTAAAAAATAAGAAACATAAAAGTACATAAAAACAAAAAAGTAACGATAATAAAAATCGCGACTGGCAGACCGCATGCGAGAAAGCTAATAATTCGACGCCTCCTCATAAACCCAAAAATTTGTTGGGATTTTAATCGAATAAGACGTTTTTTGACGCATTAACTTCACAAAAACCAGTCCAATATCCCAGTTTCATGCTGCTCTTTGCTGTTTTCTTTTAATTGCACAACAAAAAATATAAAAAATAACAGAAATAATGAGAATAATAATGAAGTTTTTGCTCATATATTTTTGTATATTATTATGTAAATTATAGGAGGCCCAAGAGAAGACAATTTCTTGTGTCCTAAGGGAAACCAAAAGATTGGACACGTCTGCTTAAATTTAAAGAGAGTAAATCAAAAAGGCGTAAAAAGTCCGATATACGCCCTTTTATTTACCCTTTATACTCCTTTTTGATTTTAATTTGTTCTTTTTAGGTTCGTCACTTGTTGAAAATCTATTTGCCGAATTTGCGCAGCGTATCATCCCAAAACCGATGGTGTAAACAACAATAAAACCAACCACATATAAATAAATATAAATCTACACTTGGTTGCGGAAGCTCTTAAGACAAGGGAATTATTCCAATTTATTGGGAATAAGGATAAAGGCCAATACGCCCGACAAGGCCATAACCATTGCTGTGTGGAACATCATGAAAAGAACACCAAAACGCTTATAACATCGACACCAGATGATCCACATCCTATCCAAATATGACGTGGATACCATATGCCTATAGGAAGACCATTTTCCTAATTCTAGATCAGCAGTAGTTATTACTCAACTTACAGCAAAAATATTGGTTGTATCACTCCAAGCCATTCATGGCAAACCGATATCCACTGCCATGTCTGAAGGCTGAATCAAATTTAATTAATTGATTACATCAATAAGTGATCATGACAAATTTCTAAATTTCTAACTGCAATTACTAACACAATCCCCCGCAAAACGCAACATGATAATAATCGAGAAAAACTGAAACGATCGCACAGGACATGAACGCTGAGTCCAGTGTATCAATGAATAACGTCTTTTTCATACTTTCTGCTACCAAAGATATCTGATTACATGGAACTATAATAATAGTGAACCACCCTATATTCTAGTTAATGTCCTGGAAGAGTCTCGATAGCCTGTCATGACGTTAAAAATGGCTCTTAACTGATTAGACTAGTTAAGCATCGAGCAAGATCTGCAAAACTGAACTGACAATGCGCAGAAAAACATCCCTTGAAATCTTCTAAAATCTACATTAAACTACAAGGATTTCTGCATAAAAAGTACAATTTCAAGGCGAATCATGTAAACATCTTATTACAGCAACAAGAAAGCTTTTTGCAAGTGCTGATTAGTGCAGGCAGAGATTTATATTAAAAGATGGGAAAATGAGCGGCTTCTATTGCTATTAAATATATGAAAAAGAGGCTTGGAAACTCCTCTTCTGTAGTTCTGCATTTCCAGCTAATCTAAGCAATAATGGCGTGAGAAGATTCATTTGTCAATCCTAATAATTAAAAAAAAAATCCCTCTCCCAATCCTTGTAGTTTAATGTAGATTTTAGAAGGTTTCAAGGGATGTTTTTCTGCGCATTGTCAGCAATTATGACTCGATAAGCAGGAATGAATATTGCGCTGAGACTTCTAGATAACTCTTTAGGAACACTACTAAGTACGTCCACAGCATCCATGCCAACTTCACTCAATGACTTTATTCATACTAGAGGAACAATGAAATCAAAATCCATCTTATCGAAGTAACATAAGACTCGACCTCTGTTTTTTGCTACCTAATAAAATAAATAATAAATAATGGAAAATTTAGAATATATACAGATGTATAGGAAAGAATTAGTTAACTAATTTTTTAATATGTTCAAAAAATTATTTATCTTTACTGGATATAAACAGAAAAATAATTCCAGCCAGATTTTTAAAAGACAAACAAAATAAAATAAAACTAAAAAAAAAACCAAAGGACAAAAATGAATCAAATAAAAAATATAAAGGAGAAAAATATGATCAGATTCACTGAAAGGATTCATTCGTCGCTTCATCACCGGCTCCAACCCATAAAACATTATTGCATCTGAAATATTTACTATATAAATATTTGAGAAAAAAATAAACAATGAAAAATAATAATGTTTTATGGGTTGGAGCCGCTATATAATAACACAAATGACACAAACAGAAATATTCTTTCTTATATTGTAAACTCTAACGAACCAATTCTATCAACAGGTGGTTCCTAACAAAAATTTTTAGCCACATCAACAATCTAAGCTAACCTAACCAATCATTTTGCATGAAATTATAAAAATTTTACAAAAAAATTTTAAAGCAAATACCTGATTAAAACTTCTCCAATATGATGAGCAAAAGCCCCATCAACGTATTCTTCAGTTTTTGCCAGTTGTAAATTCATATAACCATCTACTGATACCAAAATACCTCAAAAATAAAATAATTAAGACAAATTATTTAGGAAAAGAGATATTTCTTCATCAATTATTAAGAAGTCAACTCTTTCAATTATCTTATCCAAATAACTCATAAAGGATATAGAATACAAAATTAAAGAAACATCGAGAGCGAAAAATTGCATATATGAAAAATAACTCACCTTTATAAATCATTCCCCATTTTAATTTACATGTTACTGGTTTTCCAGTAAGATTATTGAGAAAAGGCTTCGGATTGGTTGGCTGAAGCGTTGTCATTTTATGATAATCTTAATCTAAAAAAATAAATTTTAAATAAAATTGCGAAAAAGCAACGATTTTTAGATTAAAAAAGAATATTTGTTCTTTTCTTCTAATTATTCTAAAGATTCTCTCATTTCACTTTGACAACTTAATTTTTATTCGTTCAGAGGAAATTTCACTCAATATCAACGATATTTTATGAAATTTCCTCATTAAGAGTTAGAGGAATCCAAAAGACGGCGTCTCTGCTTCACAATTCTCTACTCAATATTTATTCATCCACTAAGAGAGTTTTATTTTTAATGGCCACTCGAATGGAAATGGAGAAAACGATATTTCTGCTACACACAAACGACGATTTATATAATTTGGAAATTTTTCGAGAATTCTTTCTTAATTATTAAAAAGTCAACCCTACCAATTACTTATCCAAATTGCTCATAAAGAAAAATTCTATAGAATTAAAATTAAGCCATATAGATGGTCAAAATCAAAGCAAAAATTGCCAAAATGCAATAAAAAACTACAGTTTTTTAAAATTTCAAACCAATAGAAGAAAAAAATTTCAACGAAATCCAAACAATCGATGATATTTTTATAATAAAAATGAAAATTAATAAATCAAAATTTAAATTTAAATCAAAATTTAAATTCTTTTTCTAAGAACGCCAGAAATATTGGATTGAAATGAAAATGAATTAAGTCGGAACGGCCACACCAATCTTCATTTACTAAATATGAATGCTGTAGAAACAATTAAACGATGTCCCCCCTACCTTGGATGCACAAGAAACAACGACGCTAGACACTGGGAAAACTAATATTGATAAATTTGAAAGAAGGCTACGGAAATCAGAAATTCCACTCAAGATCTGATTAATTTTAGATGAGTATTTCTGGTTTAGATAATTATTTTGGCCCTGCGAGTTATTCATTCAGATTTTATTTATCTTACAGATAAATGACGCTTTGCTTTACTCTAAATCCGACGTCGAAAGCCACGACATACTGAAGAAGTTGATATTAAATTAAATTAGAAAATACTAAAGATTAGAATGGCTCAGTGGGTTGTTGCTCAGTTCGGAACGCTGATGCTGAGGTTCTACCCCGCGCAGGAGAAAACCTGTCGAAAAATCCGGCGACCTGCACTTCTGTCGCCAAGGGGCTCCATGGCATATCTATCTGGTTTGACAAGCCAGCGAACCAGTCTAACGAGTAATGTTGAGGGCTTTTAAAAAAAAGATACGTTAAATCTATTCTATCATTAATAATAATAAATAGAATAATATTTATGAGGAAAATAAAAACGATGAAAAACGCATTTGCAGTAACAAAGTTACTTATGAAAATTGGGCTGATTTTTTTGCGAAGCAATTCTCAATTTTAAAAACTCAAAAATTGTCACAAAATCAGCTCCACGAAAATTTAATCACATGTGAATAATTCGCCAAATATTCCTGCAAAACGTGAATAAGCGTAAATTTTCAGAAATCTCTGTACAGTGCGAAAAACGAAAGTTTTTTCAGCTACAAGCCTCAAGGCACGATGATTATTCTTCATACTGAAATGTGAATAAACGCATGAGATTCAGTTGAGATTCTTCTTTTTTATTGTTTCACGTAGAACGTCGTTCACGTTATGGCTAATGGGAGCCAGGCGATAACTATTCACACTGTTTCATGTCGATACTACTGAGTTGTTGAAAGTCTCTTTTTAAATTACTGTATTTTTTTAAATTTATTTCTATTTATTATTATTATTATTTAGTTTAATCTCTTAAATTAACAGATTTTGAGAAACTATTTAGTTAATTTGTAATTTTTATATTTGCTGAAATTAATATTTGAATTTGCAGTATAATTAAATATATAAAACTTATTATATATTAACTTTAATCAGTTTTTTTTAGGTATTTTATATAAATTAAAGATTATTTTATTACTAATAAATACTTATAGAAAGGAGCAAAAAAAACTATTGTTTTTTATGAAAATTAACTTTAAAAGTAATTTGTTCTTCAAGCTGATCTAAATTCTACGATATATGCAAAGTGCATCTAACTTTGGAATTAATTTGAGGCTTAAACGGCTCCAATCTCCAATCCAGCCGTAAGCAGCCTTATTAGCAGTCAGAAAAGTTGTACTTTTCCGTTATGCAGTCAGGTGGTTGCGATTTGACACACGAAAAATTTCTCTTTTTTAAAATTTCTTTTTTATAATTACTTCTCCCTGGTATAGTTGTCTAATCCGACAAGCCAGCGAAGCGAGTCTGACCGATAATGGCGAGTGGCGAATGCTAAAAAAACAATTTATATATATATATATTTAATTTATTGTAAAAAGTTTCTGCTAAACTCGATGTAACAATATTGAATATTTTTATATTACGAAAATTTAAATAAAATATGCGAGAATTTCCTCTCATTTAGAATGTCATAAATGATTGAATTTTTCGCACATAAAATAGATTATAAATAATATTTTTTATAAAAAATATTTTATTGTAAAATATTCGCAGATGTATTAAACAAATAGCTCGAATAATCGAAATATTACTTAAGGCGTTCTTCGATTTAATACTTTTTATCGCAATTTTATAACCTCAAAAAAATAATTTTAAAATTTGAAAATCAATTTAATTAGAATGAAAATTTTAAAAAAATTTTGAAATTTTCGAAGAGAAATAAATAAATTAATAAAATTTTGATGAAATAATTTAGTATATTTCGTCTTTTAAAATTTTTTAAGTATTAAATAATTATTGAACAATAAATTCTAATTTAAAAAATAAAATAGTGTCAAAAAACAGCGAAAAAAGGCCTAAATCATTTATGACATTTATGATATATTTATAAATATTTATGAACAAAAATTCATAAAATTTTTCAGTATTTTTGCAAAACAATGAAAAATTATTTTGTACAATTTTCTCAATAATTTCTTCAATGTTTTTTTTTGAATTTTCGAGTTGTTTGCTTATCAGTTTGTCCTATCAGCTTAATAATACTATCATTGGATGTATTATATTTAGTGTATTACTGTGATAAAACAATCCTCCAATGTTGATCAACTGGCATCATAATTTCGAAAATGGGAAATATAATTTATATAACTTGTAAGTACACCTACAACTCTGAGAATGATGAACAATTTTCTAAAGGTAACTTATTCAATAAGCTTATTATTTATATCCACGGTAGTTTCAATAGAAAAAATTTTTTATAAAATAGGGCGAACTCGATAGGAGTATGTCACAGTCTATAAAGAATTCACTTGGCAAGCAGTATTCAGTTGTCAATCATCAGTGGTATGTTTAGAGATAGTTATAATCACAATTAGACGTGGAATCTGTGAAATATTAAACAAATTATTAATTACATATTTTCGATTTGAATAATTGGAACAAACTGCCTAATAGTAAAAAGATGATTTATTTAAATTATTGGCAATAGTATAAAGTAGTAAAATCTTTAGACATTTTTATAAATAAAATAATTAATAAAGATTGCAAAAAAAATTTTATTTTCAAAATTGATGCTAAATGAAATTTATTTACTCAACATTTTATGCTTAAATATTTGAGAAAGAATGAAGAATGTTGCAAAAAAGAATATGAAATAAGCAAAAGTTTTTTGAATATTGGACAATGCAATCGTCGAACTATTCTCTACAGACCCCTTTCAACTTTCATGGAATACATTATTCCTCTTTAGATTCTTCTTCTAATAGCCCCCACCATTACTGGTTAAGCTGACTTTGTTGGCTACAAGGGTCTCCAGCTGCCTGGTCTGACGCCATCGTTAGTAAAAATAGAAGCCATTTTTTTTCCATAAGTCCATATATTGCTGGTCAATCTATACGTTCAAAATTTTTTCTGATTGTGTCAGTTCAGGTCTTGATTGGCCCACCTCGCTTGATGCAATCCATTAAACGATTTAGCAAGTAACGTCAACTCTCGTGGTGGACGACGGAGAACGTGCCCTAACCAGCGAAGGCGACATTAACATTATTAATGCAAGTAGTATTTGAATGAAGATGAATGCGATCATGTGATATTTTATTCGCTCGACGGACCCTTAAAATGTAACTTAGACAAGAGTGGACGAAGGCAGATAACTTACTTCCACTCTTATTGGCGATGTATCGCAGTCATATAGCAAGATCGAACGAATCACGACTATATAGATGTTTCGTTTTTATGGTGATCTTATGATTCCATAAAGTTCCATAAAGGTTTCGTCAACCGGAATAACGCATTTCTAACTGCCGTGATCCGGGCTATAATATCGTCTTTTGCCTGGTCATTTGGTATTAGAGTGGAACTATTTAAAATCGGACACTTCCTCGACCGGCAATGAAAAAGGAATTTTATCAGCTTCTTGTACATAATATAAAAAGACTTTCGTTATATTTACCCTGAGTCCGATTCTTGCTGTTGCTGACATGTTAGTTGGCATTACTTGCATTTCGTTATAATCAGCAAAAAGGACTACAATATCAGCGTATTCAAGGTCTATGATATGATGCTCTGGGGGATATCCATTATTCAGTCTATCGCACAGTTGAATATGGTAGAGCAGAGGACGCAGCCTTGAAGGACACCAGTTTTTATTTCGAAGGAGTCTGTCAGCTCCCCGTATACACAGACCTACATACGCTCATAAAATGCCTTTATGAGTCGAATGATCTCTAAAACACCTTCGCATTCCATCATTCTCCAAAGCGCCTTTCTATAAACTGAATCAAAGGCAACTGCAAAGTCGATGAACACGTGACAGTGGGTTGCAAATATCTGAAGCGATGTTCCAACACCCTTCTGGTGAATATGTGAATATCTGGTCAGCACAACCGCGCTCCAGTCTGAAACCAGTTTGATTAGGGCGCATTCTGCTGTCCTGTACTTCCATAGTTGAGAAAAAGGGAAGCAAAAATTTCCAACTTTCATGGAGTACTTTATTCTCTCTTAGATTAATTTAATATATATTTAATACAGTTAATGTATATATCTTCTAACGC